TTCTCTTTAAAGACAGTAAAATAATTATCTCCGATAAATTCAATAAAATTATTTTATAAACTAAATAGCATAGTAAACATTATTAGATTATATTATTTACTAACACATTAGTAGTTATAACTACTCTAATAAAGATAGAGAAAGCTACCTATTCCTATAATCCCATCATTAGACCAGATCTTTATTCTTTACTACTACATACCATAGTAAAGATAAATATACTAATTATAATCAATCTTATTTACCACTGAGCCTATCATACTAGTAAAGATTAAGTTAGAAAGATAAAGTAATTAGTAATTAGTATTAATCTTAAAAAGAGTAAAGGTATTACTTTTCCCTACATTCTATATATTTCTATAAAAAGAAAGTAGTTACTATTTAGTAAAGAGTGTTAAATTTGAATCTATCTAAGTAATCTAATTTATATCGATATCTGCAGTCTGATCTCCATTACTAGGTATAGTAGAGAGAATATATTTATAACTCTTATCGATGATATATTATATTTTATATAGATCAGCTTACTTAAATATAAAAGCGAAGTAATTAATATTGTTGAACGGCGAGTCACGTGACCACTTATCACGTGAGGTCACATGAAATATCACATGATATGTCATCTGACTTGTCATGTGATCCATACTCGACCTTTCTTTCGCCTTACCTTTCTCTCTCTTTCTTTCCTCTCTCCAGACGCAGAATACAGCTTTACCAGTTGATATCTATCTACTATAGTTGTCTTCTATCAAAAACCCTTAAAGATTATTACTGATATATATATAAGATTCTAGAGAAATTATAAATAGCTAATTTATAAGTGGTTATTAATAAATATAAGTTTTTAATATAAAGAACTAAATTTCTCGGATTTATTATTAATATATAAAGTATTGTAGTTAATCTTGAAAAGATTTAGATTATTTAGAATTAAAGATCTTTTAATATAGTAAAGAATATATAGAATTTCTTTAGATTCTATGATTTTTATTAATAATTTATATAACACTATAGTAAGATTTTTAAATCTTTATATTGATTAACCTATAAAAATACTAATTAGGAATAGAGTAAGAAGTATAAGATTACTTTTTAATAGATAAAGAATACTTTTTTAGTTGTACTAATTCTATAATATTATAATCTAACTTTTCTAATCTATTTAGAGATAAATACTTCTGATGGTATTATTAAGGTAGTAATTGATAGAAGGCAGCTAAGGTGAGATGGATATCAACTGGCAAAGCTGTATTCTGGCGTCTTGGAGAAAGGAAAGAAAGAGAGTGAAGGCAAGGCGAAGAAAAGGTCGAGTATGGATCACATGACAAGTCAGGTGATATGTCAGATGATATGTCAGGTGACATACCCCATGTGACATACCACTCACGTGACATGACATGTGACCTCACGTGATATATGGTCACGTGACTCGCCGTTCAACAGTAATAATCTAATATAATAAGAATAATAATTTTTAGTATTTAATAATATTTTTCTTAAAAATAATATAATTAATAGAACTAAACTATAAAATATAAAATAAAAAATTATTAGTTATAGTATACATACTATAAGAATAGAGATTTAAATTATTTAATTTAGTAATAGTTAAATCTCTTAGTATTTTAATAAATTATTAATCTCTAGAATACTTTATAAAGAATCGATAACTAAATTAATAATAGATATACTAGACTAAGTTCTTATTTTAATTCTGTTTTATTATTAAATATTGATCTAGGAAAAAGAATATAATTACTAATATACTATTATAAAAAGATATTCTTTATATTAATAATAGTAAGTAAACTATTAAAATCCTTAAAGATTAGTTTAAGAATTTAATAAAAAAAATAAATACTAAATAGCTATAAATAATTATATTTATTCTTTTTAGGGATAGTGATAGTAAAGATTCATTATTAGTAGAATTCTTAAATATTATTAATAGAGTTTTATAGGTAAATAGAGAGGATCTAATATTATAGAAGTATTATGATTTAGTAAATATTAATAGTTTTATATAGACTATATAGAATAGATTACTTCCTTACTATAATAAATTAGAAGTACTAGATTTAGATAATCTTAGAGTAAGACTCTTAAATAAAATATATTAATAATCTTTAATCGCTTACTTTAGTATTAAAAAACTAAAGAGATTAGTCTCTGTTTAATACTATTAATATAGGTAAACTATAGATATAAAGTAATATATTAATAATTATTTGATTTATAAATGAATAAAGATATAGTGGGATTAAACTCCTAGATTATTATATCCTATTAAGATTCTAAATTAATTATAGGAATATCTTATAATAGATTTTTGATCTTTCTTAAAGGATAAATATAGATTTAATATAATTTTTATGATTATATATAAATTAATAAAATAATCTATCTTTATTCTCTATTATAAAGAAATAAATATAAAAGAAATGGCCTAATTATTTATTAATAATATTATTAGAGTTATTAATATTCCTATCTTAATTATATTAGATTATAGAGAATAATTTATCTCTAAATTCTAGATTAAATTCTATTAAATCCTAGGAATTAAAAAGAAACTCTTTATATCTTATTACTTATAGATAGATAGTTAGAGTAAAATTATAAATTAATATATAGTTTAATATCTCCAATCCTATATCAAATATTATTAAAAAGATTAATTAGAATATTTAGCTATAATAGATTTTATAACTTTAGTATTTTTATAGAATACGATAAAGAACTTTTTATTTTATATAGAAAGAGACTATGATTTATTAATAATATTTAATTAGAAAGATTATAGAACTCTAAAAGATAATATCTATAAAACCTCCAATATAGTTTCTTATCTATATAATATCTAAAAGGATATAAAAAAGTAAATAATAAGATTATAAGATTATTAAGCTAAATAAATAAATTAATACTATTATAAAATCGATTTTGATAAAAAAGACCTAATTTTTATTATAATAAAAAACTAACTAAAAGATAGACTTAATAGAAAACTTTCCGATATTACTAATAGACTATATAAGATATTAAATAAAGAAGGATATTTATTTAAACTAAAATTACTATCCTTAATAAAAGTATACTTTATTTTCTATATTAGTAAACTAAAGAAAGTAATAACTATACTTCTATTAATAAGATAATATAAAGATTCTCTATCCTTAATTTAAATAGATAAGATAGATAAATAGGAAATCGATAAAATCCTAAATATAAAATTATACTATAGAAAACTAATATATTAAGTTTAATAACTAAATTTTAATATTAATTTAATATAATACTCTATTAAAAATTTTAAAAACTCTATAAATAAGATTAAGAAGTTCTATAATAATGACTCTATAAAATCCGGACCCCTAAAGTAATTACAAATATAAAAGAAAATTATAGTAAATAATTAACTCCTAGATAATTATCCGGATAATAAACTATAATAACTTTACTATTTTAAAAGATTAAAATATAGTCTTATAAGAGGAATATTATATATTAGATAAATTACATATTATGTAGTTATATAATAGATTACGTATTGAAGTTATATATCTATAGTTATATAATCCTAAAGGTTACGTAATATAAATTATATAACTGACGGTAAATAATAAGATAAATAGCGAGAAGAGATAGATAAGAAATCTCAGGCTAAGTCCTATGACCTTAAAGGAAAAAGGCAGCTCTCACCTGGAGCTCTCTTTCTTTCCTTTCTTTCCTCAAGTTTAGTATTCTGAATTGATGTACCTTTCTTTTTTCAAGGAGAAGTCGGCTCGTGATACCTATAACTTTAAGGGAAAAAGATAGCTCTCACCTGGATCTCTCTTTCTTTCCTTTCTTTCCTTAAGTTTAATATTCTGAATTAATACACCTTTCTTTTTTTTCAAGGAGAAGTCGGCTCGTGACAGAAATAAGAAAGTCCTAGGGGACTTTCATATCTTATAGCATTTCTGTAAGATAACCGAATAATGATCTGTCAACTAATCTGTATCTTTATATACATAAGTTATAATATAGTAATATCGCATAACCTCTGCCTTTGTTCCCATAGAGGATGGAATCTTCTGGGATCTTCTATGTTGCATCTATGTCCTTGGTTCAAACCTCCTGCTCCTGCGGAGTTAGAGATTCACATGCGAATCGCTGGTGTATCGCCAACACTTCGTTCTGACATTGTATGAAGTCAGGACTTCTTACACATGTCTATGTGACCTGGGAACACTTATTCCCATAGATCCCACCAGATAGCTTCTCTTCTTCAAGATTATCAAAGACAGTATATCGACCTAGTTCAATTGCATCAATTCAGCTACAGCCCTTCACATAATATATGTAATACATAGGAATGTAGGTTAAAGGTAGGAATGGAGGGGAGTAGGATTATACAAATTTACCAGGTCGCCAAAACTGGAGGTTATGCATTTTCAATTACTATGGTATTACCAGTATTGTAGCGAAATCACCTGCCCATAATAGCGGCCAATGGGAAAATTACATTGCATGTGTAAAATTAGTCGGAATGTGTGTGCCCGTAGTCGATCTCTAGAAGGCAGACTTTCACATATATTGTTTCCGGACCTCCCATTGGCTAGAATCGTACTATCCTATAAAAAACACTAGCGTGTGTGCCGGTACACAGTCGAAAAACGTGTGCCGTTAGTTGAATCCTTAGAATGATGTCACAAGAACCTTTCATGTCCCAGGCCTGTTTCCTTGGGTTGTCGAACCTGGTTATTCTCCATCGAATCGCTGGTGTATCGTTGGCGATTCGTATGGACCTTGTACGAAGTCAGGACTTCTTGCATACCGGGTTGGGTCCGGGCTTACTGGGCTGGTGCGGAAGTCTACCCACACCGCGTGAGGACACCGCTGGGTCTTTCTGCCGGATTCAGGACAGATTAGTCATTCCCGCGATAAGCATCCATGGATAAGGAAAAAAAACCTCAAAGGTTACCAACTTCATCTCACCACTTTCTCGGTCCATAATCATGGGAGTCCAAAAAAAGACTCGCAAGTTTGCCCTTGCTAAGCGAGCCATCTCAATGCGGGATAATCGACTGTAAGAGACCTCCGTTCGCAGGCCTTCCTACTTGCTAATCGTTGAACGCTAGGAAACAAAACCAAGAAAAGACCGAGAAAGGCAAACAGGCGAAGGATGACCTGATCAAGGAGGCGTAAGTGGACTGGATACAATCAGTGGCGCATTGCTCACTCCTCTCTAGCCCACAGGCGCCTTCGTCGATGTTCTTCCAGTACAATACTGCCCTTGCGCCACCCTACTCAGTTTTGGTTGACACCAATTTCATCTCGCACACCATCCAACATAAACTCGAAGTGATCCCAACAATGATGGATTGTCTTTACGCCAAATGTATCCCAATCGTGACCGACTGCGTTCTAGCCGAACTCGAAAAGCTCGGCCCGAAATACCGACTCGCGCTGCGGGTGGCCAAAGATCCTCGATTTGAGAGAGTCAAATGCGACCACAAGGGAACATACGCCGATGATTGCTTGGTGGATCGTCTCATCAAGCATCGCGTTTACATCGTAGCCACGAACGATCGTGATCTCAAGAGACGGATTCGGTACGTCATGTACCCTCGCACCGCGACATGCTTCTAACACTACTACCAGCAAGATTCCCGGCGCACCGATAATGAGTGTAGCGCGTGGAAAATATGTGATTGAACGACTTCCTGACGCCCCCGAGAAATGAGCAATGCTTTTGTTGCGCCATTGATATAATACCCGCCAGTTGTGCCATCGCGAAGGATACGCAACCAGGCACATCAATCTACTTGTTTTGTTCCTAGCTCAATCGTGCGCTGTTTCAAGGATATCTACTGCCCACAGTCGACCGCGGTTCACTCCCATACGATGCTGAATAGGGGCGGCTGGCATACACTGAGGACCATGCCGTGTCTTTGACATGTAGAGCTGGTACCTTGCCACTAAGATTTTGAGCGCTGCGTAGGCCATGGCACGATCTCCTGTCAGCTGGATTTCTGACCATGGAGCGAGCCCCTGCTGCAGTGCTCGAATACTCTCGACCTTCGCTACTTTTCGCTTGAGGTCCTCGACTACCCAAGTGCTGCTTCTGTTGTCATATTTATCACGTATCATATCCGGTTAACAGTTGAGAAACTACATCCTCCAAGAGCCACCTTTTGCCAAAGCTCTGGATCAATTTTTGTCGCGACATCATGACGTGTAGCGGGGGTAGCTTGGCCAGAGGTGGTAAGTCACAGCCTCTGGGCGCCGCGACATCACGAAGCTGTTGGAGCATCCTGAGGGAGTACAGAACAGCCTGTACCTGGGCAAGTAGGTGGATGTCTGCCCAGCCAGTACTCCCTTCCATGTACCCATGCGTAAGGAAACTCTCCAATTGTTGACCACTGGGTACTGTGTTTGATGTCTCATAGATCTCAGCGAGGGCGAATGAGAACCAAAAGCTTTCTGCATCAGGATTAAAAACCTCCTGTGCTCGAACAAGGCGTCGGCGTAGCAGTTGCATGTCCGATGCCATAATTGTGTCGTCCAGTGTGACTTTGTCAGCGACAATTCTTCCGCCTCTGCGAACAAACTCATATATAGCCGTAAATTGACTACCGCGGGAGGCGTTGAAGGCAGCGTAACCGAGGCGTCTATATCTTTGACCCTGCTCCCAAGCGCACCGTCTGCCAGGATCTTCATTCAGTACACCAAGATACACATGCAGACTCTCATCAGAGCAGTAAGTGTCGGGGAGTGCATATTGCCAATACAACTCGGAGACTCTAGGGTCCATCAACTGTGGCTGTTCAGCCCTACCTGCCGATTGCCGATCTGTGGGATGGTGATATTCCCGGAGGAACTCATAGTATTCTGATGAAAGCTCAGTCCCTTCGACCTTGGATTTACGAATGGCCTCGGCAAACCGTAAATGAGGATCTCTGGTTAATTCAAACCCGAAACGCTGGATGTTTGTGATGCCCAATCGTACTGATAGATCAGAAGGACAAATGCGCAGTCCTTGGATTTGTGGCTCGACGGGATCCCAGACACGCGTCGGTGACTGTACTGAGTCCAGGAACAACACCGAACCAGAGGATCCAAGGTCGTGCAGCAGGAGATCAGAATCGTCTGTCAGTACCGCACAGCCAGTCAGCCTTGACACACGAGCACACTCAACATCTGCCTCCCCAGGCACCATCATCGTGATCGCTGCCCAAGGATACTCAATCCCCTCGAGACAGTTGATGTCATGGTGAATTTCCTTCTGAATCACGTCCTTACTCCACCGGTACTGCAGGTCTTCGCAGACCGCCGAGACCATGAAGGGATTCTCTGGAAGACCTCTTCGCCCTCGAGGTAAGCCTCGGCTGCACCAGACCTGTCCAGGCTCAGTTGCAAGGACATCGCGACATCCTGATGCAGCTGGAAGTGATAGATTTCGACGAGCCAGAGTCAGTCGATGCCGTGATTTCTCCATGCGGGACACACGGGTCTTTCGCTTGGCCAGAGGCAATGCCCCATCAAAGCAGATGCGGTGTCTGGCGAGACTGTCAGCGCCGAAATCACACCGCGTGGGCCCAATCAACTTGCATCGTTACACCCAGCCTGGCGAGCTCTAACAAAAAACTCCCGACTCCGCGACTTATTTCATCACAGGAGGGCTGGTAGTCCAAAATATCACAGTTTGGGTCCATCCAACCTAGAAGTCGACGATGGACATGATATACTAGACTGGGTCCATCAATGACCACCTCATGCTTACCGTCCAAGAACACGGTATCGGCATATGGAAGCAGATGCTTGGTGAGGTATGGAATGCCCATCATGCACTGAGGTTATGTTTCTGCCAGCTACTTCCATGTGCCAATGTGGGTTTTTGTGGTGGTAACATTAGTCATCCGACATCAGATTGATGCCCAGGTGGATGGATGGATGGAGCCCTAGAGTCCTCGTGAGGAGACTACATATACAGTACATCACTATCGACCAAGGTGCAGATAGCCCTGGATGTCCCGGGAAAGTATTTTACGCTGTGCAATGCATGCTTGAAGTCGTATCGAGGCGTGTGTCCTGGACATCTAACTAGATATTCTCCTACCGGCCGAACTTTTGACCTGGCTCCAGAGGTTTGTATGGGCAAGCAACCCAATCGCATCCCTAACACAGTTAGCATATAGCATAGAATCAGGGCAGAGGGCGAAGGCATGTATTACCTGTTTGTAAATCTCCGTTCCCCACCACTTGAATCCATCTACCCAACCTGGGTAGATGAAGGCAAAGAAAACCACCACAACCGCAAAGGCCAGCCCAGAGTCCAACGCCGCAGAAAGGGTCATGGCGTACTTTTCCCACCAAGCTGTTCTTCTTCTTCGGATCAGGTAATTGAATACGAAGCAAACCAGCGCCCAAATGGAGAAATTTAGTCCAGTGGCTGGAGGAATCCAACTCAGACTGCCAAACAGGATAGGGAAATTGACAAGACGCCAGAAGCTCTTCTTACTATGTCTCCCCAAGAGCCACGCCCCCAAAGGGGCAACAGCACCCACGAGGAATGCCCACACCAGAGGTCGATACAATCCCCCAGGCCCAAAGAAACGCTGAGGGCCAACCACGCCCCACAGTATGCTGCCGTTAAAATGCACTCGAGCAATAGGACAGTTGAACCCGTTGATGGCCTCCGGAGTACACAGCCCTGGGATATAACTGAACATCCAATTTAATACTCCGATCTGGGTCAGACTAGACGCCAAAGTCGCCATCATCTGCACACCAAAAAGGATTCGTGGTGGGATCTTCATATAATGTCCGAGTTTGAGATCTGAGGAGAACTTGATCCCTTGCGCGGAGCTGATATACGAGTAGGTCACGAAGATCATGTTTGCAACAGGCCGACCCGGGAAGACAATGCCACAGAGAAGTTGACAGATCAGATATAGACTACTGTGCTGGTTCGTGACAGCCATGATGATCCCCACAGGAATGAAGAACACGCTCGTAATCATGAGAGCCAGAAGAAGCCCGTACCAAGGTAGGTGTGTGGGATAACTGTGAAACAGGTGTTAGCGCGAGGGACCCAGTATCAAAGACAAATGCAGAGGGCACGTACTATTCCACAGTGAATGTGGCAATTGCTAGCATGGACACGAGAACAAAGAGATACCACGTCAAAGGGGCGTCCTTGTAACGCCTCATCAAGCGGCAATGAACGTCTTCTCCTCCAAGTGGAACTTCCCGGCCAGGGTCATGCGAACTTTGCCTCGAAATGTCAAAGCTCCGTCGGCCCGAACTACTTTCTTCCCGTAGGGGTTGGTAGATCTCTCTGTTTGGTAGATCTTGTCTTTCTTCAAATGCCTTTCTGCTTTGATGCCATATGTCCTTGCCGTACCAGCAGATTGTGTGGCTGACAAGGGAGGTCAGAGCAGCGAACTGAACCCCATAAGATAACACATAGGTGATTGGCAGATAAACCGGGGAGTAATCCTCATAGGCTTTCTGATCGAATAGAAAATCCGCGGTCAAAATTCGGCTCACGTTGTATGGTCGCCCAGCGTTATCGAAGACTGCCGTTGACAGGATGGGCATATAGGCGGAGTAAAGAACGTTTTTATAATCTGATACGGTTGATGAGTATGTATGCCCAAATATGGGGGGGGGAACACATGTGTCTCACAGAGTATGGGGGCGACAGCCCAAATGACAACCACTAGTCCCGTCACAATATTGGCTGCAGCCCACCAAGGTGTCAGGAGAGGGGAGCCAATATATGCAATCTGAGCCCAATCGAAGGTCACCGGGAACATTCCAAGACCTGAGGCAACTCCAAACTGTAGATTGTTAGTGAGGTGGTCATAAAAATTGATTGGACAGAGGTTCAAGTCTCACCAAATTTGAGAGTACAACGTTCTTGGGTGCTAGCCAGGTGATCACATTGAAGTAGCTCAGGGCAGGCATCAACAGCCCCGGAACGAAATACCAAAGGAAAGCACCGGCCCAAACAACGACAAAAAATCTGTATCGAGAAATGCTCCAGCCATTAGCCTTTTTGTTCACTGATTTGTGCATCGTAGAGAACATTGCGGTAGACATCAATGTGCCCGGCCAGATCATTGCTGATGGCCGCACAAGAAACCTTCGCGTAAGTCCCGCGAATGCATAACCCAATACCTGGGTGGATATGATCAGTAGCAGCTGGTAAATGATTGGAACATCCTGTTTGTAGAATTTGTGCTGCTCAACAATGACCTAATATCCAATATTAGACTTCAGGCGTATGAGAAGATTCATCGGCTCAAGGCACTCACGTCAGTAGCAAAGGCAAATCCAAAGGAAACGTTGCTGCTGATATAGACACACGCATGTTCTTTTTCGTTCCAACGACCTTGGCCAAACCACAGCCTGACTCGAGACACCAGTGAAATTGGTAGGGTCTCAATCTCGCCGGAAGGTAGCTCTCGGTGGTGGAGGGAACCATTCTCGAAAACCTCGAAAGGATCCCCGGTTTGTTTAAAGACCACATCCCAGAGCTTGCCTAGCGGATGAACCAGAACAAGAGCGATGATCGGGGTGATCGCAACACTGGGATATCGCAGAGAGAAGAAGAGATTGGCAGCTGACCCGCTCAGAGAAAATAATAGTGAAAGAAGCCACATCCGAGGTGCTGGCCACAATTAGATACAATGGCGATGCTGGACCACAAGACCTACTGTTGATCGAAAGAGAGACATTGTCTATTGCTGGGACAGAAGCTCGCACTTGAGCATATGGTGAATTGTCCGGAGGATCCTCATCAAGCGATTTGGGATCCTCGTCGTCGATGTCGAGGATATCGTCATCTTCACTGGTCATGTATGGCGAGGACATGGGGGTTTCTTGCATCACCGGGTTGCCCGGTACCGCTAGACCAGTGGCAAAGGAGTATTTGGAATCAGCGCCCATTCCGACATCAGATGTGGCCGAGGACGGACGACGTGTGTGTCTTTCCGCGTACGTGCTACTCCGTCGCCTGCTAAAAGAGAGTGACCGTCTTGGACCGTGGTTCCGTGTGATCGAGGAGCTTCCGCCATTTTCGAAGCTCGCGCGTTGTAATCGAACTTCACGCATATGACTGTGCGCCGTATCGCTCACATCATCCGAGTCCGAATCTAACGCTCCATATGGCGAACCCGTGGGCGACGGGCGGAGAAGAGGGGCTTGCGACATTAAGACCTGAGGACGTGGAACGCTCCCTTCATTCACCGAGAGATTACCGTTTGAATCACCGTGTCCATTGTCGCTCCAACCATCCGGGTAAGAGTCAGTGTTTTCAGCGGGAAGCCACTCGCGCCTCGGGGAGGGGCAAGATAGCTTCCGCGTCCGCAGTGGAATATTGGTCGTCGTGGTGGGGGTATGACGAAATACCAGTAGTATTTCCCTAGGGCGTGCAGTAGCTCAAAATGGGCATTGGGGAATCAGCGAGGAGGAAATGAGGGAGCTAGCGAAGAACCGGGTTAGAGGAGGAGTCGGGACCCGCCCCAGATCGGTGTATTACAGATACGGTATTGTTACCTTCTGGATTATGAATTTCCGTTTTGTAGTACTTCCTCTTTAGAGACATCTAGCCTTTACATTTTTCTTCTACACCGTCTATACTTCGTCTCTCATCAAAAACAAAAAAAAAAAAAAAAGAAGAAGAAGAAGAAGAAGAAGAAAAAAGGGTATCAAAACAGCTCAACAACCTTATCATCCTCATTTGGCGCAGGGGGTTGCTCCGCTGGTGGTTCAATGTCTTCTCCTTCACCCTCCTCGTTTCGCATCAGGACCTGAACCAGCCGATCGCACGCCTCCTGCACAGTTTCGTCTTCCACGTGGAGATGAGTCTCACGAATCAAGGGATACACCTTGACCGCGCGCATCAGGTCCCGACCCTCGCGAGTGGTGGTGAGCAGACACAGCGTTTCGAGATGCGTCGTGATAATGGTGTGGTCACTGTCCCGCTGCTTGTCCGGGGGCAGTAGCTGTAAATCGGGTAGCATATCCGCCGTATCCTCATCTGACAGTTCCTCCGGGCCCGCGAGTGGCAGCAACAAGTAGGGGAGGAGGTTGGCGCCATCCTCGGCGAACAGCATGGGATGCGAATTGACCTCGAACGCAACGTTCTTGATGGTGGAGGCGACGCCCTTCCTCCGAATGTCACTGTTGTGCTCCGTGAATACTGTCAACTTCGTGATGGGGACCACCCCGTCGTATTCCTGGCGCTCCAAGAAATACGCTCGGCCCTTCTCACTCTGGGACAAGTCGGCAAAGAGGTAGGACAGGTAGTCATAGTTGGCGTGCTTGTTGAGGGCGCCGTCGGCGCCCTTGACGAAGCAGTCCATGATCTGATCTATCGCGTTCTCCGAAGTCGACACCGACTTCGGAGCTTGCCGCTTGGTGGTGAAGAGTCGCTCTAGTTTGTCGGACTTGACGAGATTCGCCAGTAGCATTGCGACCTCATCAGCAGTGGGCTCCTTGTCGTTCTATGTGCGGCATCTGTCAGCTCTGGTGTGAGGTTGTAGTCCAGGTTACCCACTGTCAATTTCGCCAACAGATCCTCTAGAAACTTATCATCATCAACCAGGAGTTTGAGCACCTCCTCGTCACTCGACAAGTTCACCAGCATGATTAGCGCATTTTTCGCGATGGCCTATACACACGTATCAGCTCAGAGCCACCGTCCACGAGACCATTCATTGCATACAGTATAATCGCGAACCAACAGCTTTAGATCGCGGACGGGGAGTAATTGATGGCGCTTGAACAATTCCGGCTTGGCGGTTGAGAACCCGACAAGATTCTCGGCAGCTGTTCAGTTAGAGAGAGAACTCCAGATAGGTGGGGGTAGTATGTACCGATTTGACGAATTTGGGTGTTGCCATGGTGGAGGAATTCCACGAGCTTTCACAGTCAGTAGGGTAACAACTTTGGAAAGGATGGGACGTCAGGGTGGTACCTCTTCAAGTTCGGAAGGCATGTTGGAGAGATGAATGGAAGAGAAGTGTGTTCTTTTTTTTTTTTTTTTCGTTGGTGGGGGATTCTCGACGTCACTGGAAACGCGGAGATTTGTCATGGGCTATAAGTCCGATCACAGATACTCCAGGGTAGATCCATGATGGTCGATATATGTATATAATGTATACTAGGTAAATATAGTGTATATATATATATATTTGACCATCATCTCAACATCATAAATCATCTCTACATGATCTACCTAGGTATCAGTCTCGGCTTTAATTGCTTGCTCTGTAGTACTTCGTACCTAGGTCGACGTGATCCTCCCGCGTCGACTCCGCATGTAACTGCACTCACCATGGAACCAAACTTGAACGAGATTCATGACTTCTTGGTGTCATTGGCTTTCAAAGCGGGCGAGATCATTAACAGTGCCCTCCCAGAAACCAATGATACTGGCTCCAAAAAGAATAGTGCGTTGGGAAACAGGAGATGGAAGGGCACACTAACCGGGATTAGGTGCGGACCTGGTGACCGAATATGACCGTGCAGTGGAGAACATGATCTCAGGTGCACTGAGAAAGAAGTACCCTCACTACGAGTGCGTATCAAACCCGGTCGAATGCATTCGCTGACGCGGATCCCCAGATTCCACGGCGAGGAAACATATGACCCAGCGCACCCATTGACAGACGCCCCAACTTTCATCGTGGACCCAATCGATGGGACAATCAACTTTGTTCATGCCTTTCCATTTGCCTGCGTGTCTCTTGGATTCGCCGTGGGCCGAGTTCCGACGGTAGGGGTGGTGTATAATCCGTCGACCAAAGCCCTCTACTCCGCCATTCGAGGCCAAGGGGCGTTCCTAAATCGGGAAATTCGTCTTCCAATCAAAGACACTCACGCCGAGCCCCTGGCCGGTCTGAAAAATGCCCTCATCGCCGTGGAATGGGGCTCAGATCGTAGTGGTGTCAACTGGGAGACGAAGATCCGGACATTTGAGAGACTGGGTGCGTCTCAGGAGCATGGAGGGGCCATGGTGCGTGCGATGCGAAGCTTGGGCTCGGCGGCGTTGAACCTCTGTGCCGTGGCAGACGGCACGTTGGACCTGTACTGGGAAGGTGGATGCTGGGCCTGGGATGTCTGTGCTGGATGGGTCATCTTGTCCGAAGCCGGGGGCATTATGGCAGATGGCACCCCAGGAAACTGGGAACCGCGTCTGGACGGGCGAAAGTACCTCGCCATTCGCGGTTCCCCTGGCGGGTCAGGACAGAAAGAACTTGTAGAGGAATTCTGGAGTCATATCCAAGGCCCGCTGCAGTATTGAGTGGCTCGAGGTCTGACGGGAGACGCTAGGTTCACATAATTACAGGGTATATATCTATGGGGTTGTATGTACAAGAAATGATCCGCTACGTATGTCGCGACCACCGAAACCCAGCGTTACTGTCCTCCAAACCAGATTCACAGTCGTCGTCTTCATCAATCTCACGATCCGTCCATCGTGCTGAATCTTGTCTGGATACCCCTGGGGAATGCCCTCTGTCGCTGGCACTCAAAGGACGAGGTGAATCCGTCTCGGCGGGGGAGGCAATGCCATCGGACACCCCTTCTGACACGTAGAGTCCAGAGACACTTGATAGTATGTCGGTGTCTCTCCGGATGATGCGGGAACCATGTTCAGACCCAGACTGGCCTTCCACTTCGTCACCCGAGCTAGTCGGTCCAACACCCGGGGATTTGGCTCTGTCCACGTTCTGCTTCATTGAATCCTCTACATCCACGAGAGGGACGTGGCCGAAATGGGTGTCAACCAGGTGTTTGACGACAGGCCAGCCATAGGCATTGGTGAACATGCGTCGCACGATGATATTGTTATGAGCATCAGGTTCCAGCCGAACAAGTACCTTCCGCCACGAAAGATCGCGGTGGTAGGCCCTTGCAATCTTCTCCTCGACCTTTAGGCCACTCTGGGGTTGTTGAGTGGCCGACGTGGGCGCGGACTTTGATTGTTTACTTTGCAGCGAACCAAAGTTCATGGTACGTCGCTTCTCCGGTAATGGGCTAGGTATGTCCTCTGGATGGTATACGCGATCATGAAAGATTGTCCGGGGCCGCGCTGCAGGATTGAGGATAAACTCCGGAGGGGGGAGGGGTGGCATCAACAAGTCTCCTGCAGATTCGAAGAACGTGGTTTTGGGGGGCGTGTGTACCCCCTCGTGTTCATGCTGGCCGTGAGCCACTGGCGGCGCGTTTCCATCATCGGTTTGAAGCGACCCCAAAGTTTGACTCCGATTATAGATTTTTGACTGTTTGCCGCCAAGGGATTTCTTTTCTTTGGGGCGGAATATTGACAAGAAGCTGTCAAGAGGACCGAGTGGTGCATTCTCCGAGGAACCATTTGAATTGCCTCTGTGAGAGACATTGTGTTGACGCTGCACCAAGAACTGCCCTGGCTGTGGGGAGAGGGGACTTCTGTCTCCTTGGTTGGTTGGAGAAATTCCGATAGAAGATGTATTCTGAAGACCAATGTCCGTAGTGGAGAGGCTCAGCGGCGATTCTTCGTCGGGGCGAGCAAACCGCGGCGATTTGGAATTCGCTCCAGTCAGCTCTGCCCATCCCCATTCCGCCATTGTTCCCACAAGACCGTTGTCTCTCCTTGCCTTTTCGACCCGACCTAGACCTTTCCAGTCCAAGAAGAGTAGACACGATGTCCGCAGTGGAACGATCCCATCGTTCACTACGTTAGAATAAACGGTGCGATGTTGGAACTTGCTGAGAACCTCATGAGCAGGACCGCAAGGTAAAATCCGCAGAAGAGGTTTGGAGCCAGGCTCTGGGTTGCTTGGGTCCTTTGTAGCATCACCGCGTCCTGCGATCATGGCGCCCCATCCATTTCGAACCTTGGGGGCCGTCCAGCTCAAGCCAAGATCTTGCCCAGTGCGGCCAACTAATCCCAAGTCCAGAGCAAAACGAACATACAAAGGATTTTCATTGCTAAGACCAAGGAATGGGGTTGCCAAAGCGATGAAATTGATCGGTCTGATGTGGTCAAAAAACCGAGGCGAGTGCTTTTGAATGTAGGCGATTGCATATGTTTGGACCAATCCTCCGAGCGAGTGGCCGATGAAACTGACGCTTGTGATCTGGTAAAGATGGTCGTCGGTTGCATCTGCCTGGGTTTCATGGGCCGAAGCCGATGGCTGTGGCCGGTCCTTGCGGGCACTGAAAGGTCGCGAGAATGGATTTGGCTTCGGACCCTTTAGAGGAAAGTAGGGCTGGTCGGGATATGTGAGAAGCAGGACATATTTAGCCAACCGTTTCCCGAGGTATTGGATTCCACGTTCGGTTCGAACTGCATTTCCAGAGAATCCCCTCACGATGACTTCCTCTTCTTCTTCTTCTTCTTCTTCAAAGTCACGACTCGTCTGGCTGTCCTGACTTCCATCAGCAGAACTGTTGACAAAGGGTTTAGCAAAATGCACGACTGAATTTGAGCCAACACAGCCACTCTAGCGAACAAGGCATACCTGGAATTTTCTGGTCCGATGGGATCTACATGAGGAGTGTTGGTGTGATGAGCGTTCTTGTGCGAATTTCTTGTGGCAGCATCTATACTTTCCTTGAGATAAAGCATATCTGCGCCGAGATTACTGTGCAATCCGTGTGTCAACAAGACAAGATGAACCTTTTTCTTTTTAGCTTTCTTTGCTGAGGTGTCCGAATTCTCCGCCGACTTTGAGGTTTCGACTATGGGCTTGGTGTCTGTACCCCCTGGCTCAGTTATAGTCGAAGCATCTTTGACGGAGGGAAACGATGGGGTGTTCCACAGACTGCTTGTGTCATCAACGTGAGCAGTGATGGACTTTGAGTACACTCCCTTCAAAGCCAGTACCTGTTTGCCTTTGGTATCCGGCTCCCAGTGGTCGAGCAAGTTTCCCGGAGGACCATTTCCGCTGCTCCATGCACCACCAGAGAAGAACCCCAAAGACTTCTCATCCCGGCTCACCAGTAACTCAAAGTGAACCGCTGCACTGCTCGAAAATATCACCTGGGATTGGATCTCAACAATCCATGTGACGCGCTGTCCGCTGGTTGGGCCCCCTTGACCGGGAGACCCGAATTTGTGCGCCTCTAGGAGATCAGACGGTACTTTGATGGTAGCATCCCAGCCGCCACCAGCTTTGAGGTATGGCTCATACTGTGGAAACCCCTCAATCCCTTGCTTCTCGAACTTGGTGTTCGGGTCGAATTGTGCGGGATAGCAAGCGGCATACAAGGTATAAGGGCCGTGAAGGTAGGCGGCGCGCAGCGGAATGGCCGATGTATTTCTCACTCGGACGTAGAGGTCGGAAGGAATAGGCAGGATAGGATCGGCAGCCGGGGTGTATGTGATTGTATACCTGTGGGTCACGGCGATTAGTGAAACCAGCTCAACGAGGCCTGGAGGGCTAGAGGTCTGGGCATGTGAACTCACCTGACCACTTCGCCCACTCGGACACTGCCAATTTGGTGAATCAACAGCATGTCAGTTGCTTTGCGGGCATTCACCGGATTCTCCCGCCACCCGGAGAGGGTATGATACGAGGGCCGTTCAGTGGAAGGTGTGGCACCTTGATCTGGGGTTTGAGATGCCAAATACGTGCGCGCAGTGATCAGCATCGAATCCACTCGATTCCATGATAGAGAAATCCAAGCAAAAACAAGTCTCTGTACAAGGGGGGAGGGTGTGTCGTTCTCATGTGGCTGAGCGGGAATGGCGGGAAACACATGATTTTACCCTGATCGGCGAGACCCCCATCCATTCTACATCTTCTTTCTCTATACTCCGTACCTAGGGACTCTATTCTAGTATACTCCATCCCCCGAACTTGCAAATTGAAAATATGTCAATGAACCAGATGGAGTAACCGGCCGGGCTCTTTGCGAAGTTCCACCCAACCGTCCCTCTGGACCACCACGATCTTGCCGTCAATACAAACACGCCGCCACCTTTCCTCCTCTTCTTGGAAATCGATTCGCACCTTCTCCACCTCTGCATAAGTAACTGTTGGCTCCTTCACGTGCTGCCCGCCTTGGTAGGCCAGAGTCATCAATTGCATTGCTTCCTCGGGGGCCATAGGGCCGAACCGAATGAATTTCATCTGGCCTCCAAGAGGCTCCGAATCCGGTGAGATCAAGAACTCCTTTTCAAGCCGGGGAACCAGCGTGGCGAGCGCATACATGTGCTCTAGATCTTCCAGATGGTGAGCTTCATCTGGGTTCTCCGACGTAGTCATTGTGATTTGGCCTTTGAATCGATGGCACGAAGTACCATCCGATGGGTATAATAATTCATTAGCGGCCATCTTGAACCGATCAACTCCAAACTTGCGGTATTCGGCCGTGTCGCTATCAGCAACCAAGGCCGCATGGAGCCCCCAGCTTGCAACAACGGCACCCCACAGTATCTGCGGCACACTTGCGTCCTGGTCGATTGGGACGCGTAAACGCCCCTCATCGGTCACCAACCGGCTGCCCAGGGAGAACTCAGCCGCAAAGACAGGCACCGATGAGACATGTCCATGGAGTAAAGTCGAGAGACCTGGTAGCGGACCCGAACGTAATCCAATGGAGCTAGCCATGGCATTCCCTGTGCCGCAAGGGATCATTGCCAGGCTGGGAGGAATATTGACTGTCTTATTAGACCTGTAGAATACATCAAGAATATCAACCAACCCCCCGTCGCCCGACAAAAGGATGATGGTTTGTGCGATGCCTTGATGAGCTTGCTCCAAGAAGTGGGTTCGAGCTAGGTGAGAAACCGTTTGTGTGTCCTCCGTCTCATGGGCGGAATGTTTGACTCCGACATATGCCAGGAACGGCTTTACCGCGTCTTGATAGACCGTCTTGGCCTTCCCCATCCCGGACCCCGTGGATATCACGACATGGACAGTAGCTTCACGCAGATGCGTGGGAATGCTGGTCACCAACGGATCGAGCTCCGTGGGTATAGACGTAACCTCCAACTTCTTCAGATAGACACGCTCTGGGTCTCTGTGAAAGAACAATACTCTATGCCCTGATGGGCTAGTCACCACACAGAGAATGTCATGCAAGTCGACCGTGGTATCGACGCCGGCATGAGAGCAGTGTAGCACGTCCTTGACGATGTTGACGTTGGCCATGTTGGTGAGGAGGGGATGTGGCGGGGCTCCAGGCTGAATCATTTAAGTCCAGAGCTCCAGACCTCACTCCGCTTACAATTGATCGCCAATTTGACATCTTAGCCTCATTTATGACAGTTCTCATTCGAGGAATTTCTTTCTCGTTTCTTTCTAGACTTGTCTCTCTTGCATACAATACAGATAACACAGAGCCCCTTCCAGTATCAATTTCATCCCTGAGAAAAAAGCGCTGAGACCAAACTCATTACGCTGGAGAAGCCCCACGCGAGCCCTCGTCATGAGAAACGTGCTTGTCACTCAAATTCACGGCAATGAATGTCTTGGGCAGTTCCACCCTATATTAGATTAGCCATGCGGTCACAGCGGCCAGGGAAACAACCCGAGAACTTACGTGTTGAACTTCGCCTTTAGCGTCTCAATAACTTCCTTCCAATCTTGATGGGCCGTCAAGCTTCGCCGAGGAGCACACCCAATGGAGTGCCGAGAATCGAGTTGTACATCGAGGGGGTCAAAGGCGTGGCATCCCGGGCTGACCGAGATACGAATAGAGTAGGAGTAGGAGTCCGACTCACTGTCGCGGGCCTCGTATAATTCAAAACAAATCTGAGAAAGATAATCAAGTTCGGGAATTGCACTTCGTGCAATCTTGGTTTGAATTCCACCCTCCAAGATACAATTCAACAGGGTGTAGATGTGAGATTCCTTGGTGAAATAGAAGAAAGATTTGGCGTCCTGCGAGGCCTGTACCTCTTCAAGGTCCCGAACAATCTCTTGGAGCAAGGGAAGAGAGGTGAGAAGACCAATTTCTAACTTCTCGCTGTCGGTTATACCGTATTCCTGGGGGGTAACGTAATCGAACAAGACCTTGGCCAGCTTGAACAATTCCCGAAGTTTGGAAAGCCTTTCGTCCATCTTGCATTTCGAAGAATTGGATCCCGGGAAGAGTTTGAAGTAATGATCGTACGAGTCATCGAGCGCCCGAAGATGGGGGAGGGATTCCAGCGCCTGCATGCGCTTTCTTAATCCAAAGCGGTGCGCGAACGTGTGGGGTTCGGCGCGCTCTTCGGATCTATCATTCCCTGGGTCCTGGGGCTTGCCATCTGCACTTCCATCGGATTTGGCGGCACACTTGCTCTTAATGCTATCCTTTTCGTCGTCATCGCGACCAATGTCCGGAGGCATAAAGACCCACTCCAAGAACTGCCTGTTGTGAAGGGCATCGAACTTCATACTGTCGTAAAGTTCAGAGAACTTGCTAGGATCAACCTTCTCTGTGTCACAGAACTCCGCAAAGAGTTTTTCCCAACGCTCTTTAAAGAGACGGGGATCTTCTCCTGCGCACCACCGTCCCTGGATATTGGATACATTTGGGTTCTCCGACTGTGGGTCGCTTGAGTTCGGCTGGATCGGATTCTCGGGGTCATTGGAAGGTACCGGAGAGACATCCGGTGAGCCATCAAGCTTCTCAAAGTTGTGGTGCATCACGCTTCGGTGGAACTTCATCAGCTCAACCAATGTCGCCAGTACAACCGAAGGCTCTGGAATATTACCATCCTTAGGCCAGGCAAACTGAGACGGCGCAGAGCCTTCTCGCAACAGCAATTTGAGCTTCTTTTTGACTTTGTCCATGACATCTTTGGCAGCGTTCGAATCGTCAAGCAAGTCTTTGCGGACCTGGATGAGGTCTTCGGGGATATCCTTCTGGTCTAAGAATGAGCAAGCCCAAATTTGTGCTGATGGATGAAGTTGATTAGCTGGTATTCCCTATTTGATGGCCAAGTGAAGTTAGCTTCGTTCAACTCACCACTAGTGCTAACTCTGCGCTCCGAACTGGTGAATAGTCGGACATTATTCAACGCCTCCTTGTTCATCAGCTTCAAGTCGTCTCGCATGTTGAGCCCAAGATCTTGCGACTGGTAGCGTGCCGCATGTGTAGGCTCGCCCCCCCATTTAATTACAAGCTGCAGCTTGTCGAGAATCAGATCGTTCTCAGCAGCGGAAAATCGAGAGAAGGTAGCACCCGATATGGAATCGCTCCGTGTTTGTGGCCTGTGCAAGTCCTCATTATCTTGGACCGTTTCACCCGCCACGGGTGAGAGCGGCTCTTCGCCGGGCTTGTTGTCGGGCAACGGGGTAGAGTTGACGGATGAGTCCTGCTCTTTCATTTCTTCCGGCTTTCTTTTCCGGAACATGGGCTTGATCTGTACTTTGGTTCCCGGCCAACCACCCTTTTTCTCCAACGATGTTCGAAGCAATTTCAGCTTTTCCATATCCTCGAGGCCCTTCTCCATAGCCAGTTTGACGGCATCGGAAACACTACCCAATGCGGCCTCGCCCTTGATGACTATTTCCTCCTGGTGGCCCTTCAAGAGATTCACAAATGGCTGGCTGTGGAATGTGAACTTGAACTTTTGCTTAGGGGTTCGATCGGCGTGCCGGATCACTGCAACCATGCCCTTCAGCTTCCATGAGTGCTTGGAAGCAGGAAGAGGCGGGAGCGCCTCCTCATTGGGGTGCTGAATGGAAAGAGCCGGTGACTTAGGGTTAGAAGGACTGTACCCCCGAGCGGTACTGTGTCCTTCCCTGGAGTTTAGCTTGCTGAGAGCAGCACCGACATCAGTGCCCTCGAGTCCAGAAGAGGAGGCTACCGACGGAGTACAAGTGGAGACATCAGATGGAGGGGTTTCATGGGTTTTGTGAGAGCCTTGGCCACCATAGAGTCTTGAAGCGCTCGGCGACTTCAGCAGTGTCTTCAAAGCCTGCCGGTGAGATCCCACTGTGCTCCTTCTGGATGGGCCCATGTCTGGTGATGGCGGCTCGGAAGGTTCAGTTCCACCTTCACATTTCCGCCTTTCGTTCAAAAAGATATCTCTGAGAATGTTGGCACATTTATCGTAGTAGTCATTGTTGTCTTTGACAAAACTCCAGCCATTGACATCAATGACATAGCTCTTATCTCCAACACGGAGCATATCAAAGCCACATATCCTTTGGCCAAACCCATTGGATATCTTTGACGCGATAACCGCCTCTTCTTTGCCAAGTTTGGTGATGTATCGGATTTCTTTCCCATGGGTATTTCGACGCACAAGCCCGTCGACCACGGGCGATTTGCGCGTCTCGGCATGACAAAAGTCTGGCCCAACAGTGTAGGCCTTCACGTCCTCAGCATTGTCGACTCTGAGGAATTGTTCATACAAATAACTTGTATCTGGCTCTGTAACAGACCTTGGCACAGAGAGGGTGGGGTCGTACTCAGAGCTCTTGTTGCCCACCTTTCGAAACAGCCGTCTTCCACCCCCGCCATATTGCTGATCATTCGGGAAGTAAATGTGAATGTTGTGGTCCTCGCCATTGACGGGCTTTTCGACAAAGGGCTTTTTAAAAACCTTTCCATCGACGATCAAAGCCTCTCCATCTTCCGACATGGCAACATTTTGGGTCCGAGGGGCTCCGCCACCAACTCCGCTCTCCGGGCCTTCGAGTTTCACGCCAGTTAAGTGATAGATATGCTGGCCCAATTCTGGCGACTCTAAGACCGGGCCACCGTCACGATTCACCTCTATCCGCTTCGGGGTGGGGACGCCCATGTGATCCAGAATCATCAAACAGAGTCGTCTATCCCACAAGACCTTCTGCATCGGAAGATCATTGACACACAGGGGTTTCCGTAACTTGGCATATGCAATGGCTTTGTCCAAAGGGAACCCATCTGAGAAGAACGCGACCAGAAAGTCGCATACCGGCCAGTTCTCCACTGCTTCGTCGAGGATAACCTTGTCGCCGAACACAATCACTTCAAAGTCACCTCTTGATTGGAGACGAGTCAAGATGTTCTGACTCGGTTTGCTGCGGGCTTTCACATCCAGGGCACAGACACCGATTCTCCATGGCTTGAGGGAACTAGATTCCATTTCACTAATGGAGCTCGCGGCGGTGCTGGCGGCCGTACTCCCGCTGAACCTCCTAGGTGCACGGCTCGAAGAGCGTGTAGACTGTCCCATGAGCCCTATGGTACGAGCCTCGGATGCCTGGTTTCCGGGCTGGCTCTGTGATGGTTTCGTATTGGGGGGCTTGGGCGAAACCAGTGTTGTCGGCTCGGGGACGAGGCCCGTAGGTGTCTGATCGTCGTTTTCGGAACCCATGTCGGGTGATGGAGGCCCCGTCGTTGACATTGGGCCTGTGAGTCTCATGGGGTCAAGGTCGGCAGAAGAGCCGTTGCTGTGTTCGGTGTCCATTGAGATAAGGCCCACCGGACAGGAGGGGCAAAAGTGTGGGGCAAGGCAATTTCGGGGACAGAGGATAGTGTTTTGCAGCAAAGTGATCAAGGGTACAATTCCGCCATACGGTTGTGAGAAGATCGTAGTTGAAGAATGAGCCGCTCGCATAACTCCGGATTCTGTAGGCGGAGAAGGATTCACCTCCGTTTCTTGGCGATGATATCTCCTTTAGTTCTATATGAACTTTGGCCTGTCGGTTCGGACTGATTATATACCAAGTGAGAACCCCAGAAATAGGATATACCTTAACCGAAGGGATGAGATCAATCTTCCGTCAGGGAATGAGACCTGCACGTCACCAGACTGTGTATATGTATACAGAAGGTGGTGTATCGATCGTTCCTAGCACTGTGGGTGTTGACTACATTCGAGTCATTGAATAGCGTTAAGGCCACGCGTCCACCTGATTCTGAACACATTTCCAAGCTTTATGAACATCCGAATACCTCTCTGAGTACTACTCCGTACCTAACTACTCCGTCCATCTATCTACGTGATAGAAGTATGGACCGAAAATAGCAGGCGGTCTGTCAGCTACAGGCCTGGGCGGGGCAGAAAAAACCCCGACAGAAAAAAAAAGAGATCCGCAGGCCCTGCAGTGAGCAGGAAAGTTAGCTGGACGGTTGAAGACTACTGTGAACAGACCAGATCTGCTTCTTCAGACCTCATCTATGTCACCATGCCCTCTGCAACTGAGAAATTCGACCTCCCGCTCGCCAAGCGACAAAAACGGGTGTCCAAAGAAAACAAGGCTGGACCACGGGGTTCAAAGATCTTTGCTCCTTTCCGGGTATGTCAATGAACGAGTAGTCCCTCTTTACTTGGCTGACAGTGCCTGTCTCAAGACATTAGGATTGGTATCACCGACGCCGGTACCGTTCACGTCGGTGCGCCTGGGTAAATCGACCTATCAAATCACCACATCTGTTGGGCATTCCCTGCAGACCTATGATCTCCGCAAAGGACTGAACTTGATTTTCCTAAGTCGACCGCAAACCCCGGAAATTATTACGGCAACATGCGCATGGCAGGATAAGGTCTTCGCGGCTTGGGGCCATCTTCGCCCGCAATCTCCCGGGGGAATCTGGGTCTTCAAACGTGGTAAAAAGGTCGCGGCTCTTGCAAGCCCTGCAGATCTTAAAGGCCCTATCGAACGATTGGTTGTATTCGGCTCGTGGGTAGTCGGTTGCTGGGCCGGAGGTCTCGAGGTCTGGAAGACAGGCACATACGAGCACTATGCCAGCATGCGACCTCAATCCGTCCAGGGCTCTTCTCAGGGACAGACCTATACCGGTGTCATGTGCAACATGCCCACCTATATCAACAAGATATTCGTCGGTCGATCCGACGGCGCGATTGATATTTGGAACCTGCGCAGCGGCAAACTCATCCACACGTTGTCACCATCCACTCCAGATGCTGGGCCTGTGACGGCAATTCAGCCCACACCTGCTCTATCACTTGTCGCCGTTGCCTACAAGAGCGGCGCCCTGTCAATTCAAAACGTTAGCTCGGGCCAGCCTGTTCTGAAGTTGAAAAACGCCTCTTCCCGGGGCCTTCCTGTCACATCCATCAGTTTCAGAAGCGATGGGCTGGGTGCCGGCCATGATGGTCGAAGCTCAGGCGTTATGGCCACCGTCTCAGCTGGCAGCGGCGACATCACTTTGTGGGACTTGAACAACGGAGGTCGCATTGCAGGTATCCTACGTGGGGCCCATCGTGTGTCAAGCGGTGAAAAATCGATGGGTGCGAATCGTGCCGAGTTCCTGGATGGGCAGCCAGTGATCGTGTCTTCGGGCGACGACAACTCTCTGAAGACATGGATCTTTGACACCACCCCGTTCTCGCCCATCCCCAGGCCACTCCACATCAGGAGTGGACACTCGGCTGCTGTCAGTGCCCTCGACTTTTTGCCAGGGTCCTCGGACGGCTCCGACTCGACTGGAAAATGGCTTCTTAGTGCAAGCAAAGACTGTAGTCTTTGGGGACTCAGTTTGCGCAAGGATAGCCAGCACACCGAAATCTCCCAAGGAAGCGTGGAGCGCAAGGCTAAGAAGGCAGGCCCATCGACAAACTCAAGCCCCATGTCATCGGAGGAGCTTAAAGCTCCAGAAATTACCTGTATCTCTAGCAGTCTTAATCGTGATGGCGGTATGGGAATCACCACCTCTGGTCCGATCTGGTCAAACCCCAAGGTGACGAACGCCGACGCCTCTAATACAACAGGGTGGGAAAGTGTCGTCACTGGTCACCGAGGTGACAAATTTGCACGCACCTGGTTTTGGGGTAAGAAAAAGGCAGGCCGCTGGGCATTCGCCACAAGCGATGGAACGGAGGTTAAGGTATGCACGACAATGCACGAGGAAACTCTGGGATGTTGCTAACGATTGGCTCACAGAGTGTAGCAGTCTCCCATTGTGGAACCTTCGCGGTCATCGGGTCTGCAGGAGGATCTATCGATATGTTCAACATGCAGTCAGGCCAGCACCGACAGAGCTTCCCGACTCGTCTACCCGCTTCACGCCTGAAAGCCAGCGCCCTGGCCACAGCAACAGGGTCTTCGAAGCACAGCAAGGCGGTGACTGGCTTAATGATTGACAGTTTAAACAGGACTGTCGTCAGCTGTGGTTTGGATGGCAAAGTCAAGGTGATCATTCTTCTTTCTGGTCGGGTTGTCGCAAATGACTGATATTTTCAATTTTCTCTAGTTCTGGGATCTCCTCTCTGGAAAATTCATTGACGAGCTTGACTGGAACCCAATGACTGCCATTACTGGACTCCGTTACAACAAGGCAAGTGAATTAGTCGCTTTCAGCTGCGACGATCTCTCGATTCGAGTGATCGATCTCGAGACCAGGAAGCTCGTGCGTGAGTTTTGGGGATGTGTAGGCCAAGTGAATGACTTCATCTTCTCTAATGATGGACGTTGGATCATTGCTGCCTCGATGGATTCGGTGGTGCGTGTCTGGGATCTCCCCACGGCTCACCTGGTTGACATTTTCCGCGTGTCAAGTACTTGCGTTGCTCTAGCCATGTCATCGACGGGTGAGTTCCTTGCTACTGCACATGCTGGGGGGATCGGTATCAGTCTTTGGAGTAACCGCAGTCTCTTCATGCCCATTTCCACCAAGAATCTGGACGAGAGCATCATCGAATCTATCGGGATTCCGGCAACTTCAGGAGAAGGTGGTGCGGGTCTTATTGAAGCAGCTTTTGCTGAGACCACTGAAGAAGATGAGTCAGAGGGACCGGTGCTAGCGACTGAACAACTCTCGGAGGATATGATGACTCTCAGTCTTGTTCCCAAGAGCAGATGGCAGGCACTTATCCACTTGGACACAATCAGGGTGAGATTTCTGCCTTCAACAAACATCAATTCACAACTAACTGATTCACAGGAACGCAACCGTCCTAAGGAAGCTCCGAAGGCACCAGAGAAGGCACCCTTCTTTCTTCCCTCTCTCCTTGACAAGAGTGGCCCAGGTTCCAACAGAAATGGCACCGAAACGGATGCCGAAATTGGTTCGTTGGCAAGAAGCACTGAGGCCGAAAGGCTGCGCATTGTCAAGGCGCAGAATGGCCAGACCCCCGACTCCCCTCAGTCTCTCTTCACACGATCATTGGCCTCCGGTCACCTGTCTGGCAACTTTGATTCGTTCGTCGATCATCTCAAGTCGCTGCCTCCAGCTAAGGCAGATCTTGAGATCCGTTCATTGGACCCCCGGATGCGTGATGGACACTCCGAGCTGTCCGATTTTGTCACTGCCCTGACATGTCGCCTGAAGTCCAAGAAGGACTTTGAATTGGTCAATGCTTGGATGGCAGTGTTCTTGAAAATCCATTCCGATACTGTTGCTCTTTGTTCTCACCGCGATGAGCCCGAGTATCGCCTGTTGCAAGGAGCTCTGGCTGCTTGGGCCCAGGAGCAAGAGCAGGAGGGCAAGCGCCTCGCTGAGTTGGTGGGATACTGTCGTGGAGTAGTGGGATTCTTGCGATCAGCTCGGTAAAGGGGCCCTCCTTGGGCAATAGTCGGTGTTTTTGTCTATACTTTGATTTAATGTCCATTGAAATCATGATGCGTTCCTCTCATCGATTTGTTTTGAGCAAAATGCAGAGTTGGACATATTTCGTGATTGACATCTCTGCCGCTAACTTCGGAAGTCCTGAACAGGCGAAGACAATCAGAATCTTTGTCCATAAAAATCTTATCAAGGAACAAGACCGAATAGAACAAAGCATGGGTGTGTCTATTGTCGAAGTGATAAATTAATTACCTAGGTAATTGATCCATTGATCCATTGATGGATATTGACGCTGCTTACATAAGCAGCGTCATACCCCGGGGCCGTCGATTGGACTATCTCCTCTTTCTTTCTTCCAACCTCTCAACCATCGCCTTGTCGCAGGAGAGACCGGAACCTCCTATCTTTCCCTCTCATTTTCACGCCAACCTCACTATCTTTGACTCACCCGGCTTCTCCGCGTCGCCGTCATGTCAACTCCAACAAATCCCTCGACTGCCCGAACCCCAACCGGACCAAATGGCGCGCCTCTCAGAATGCGTCGCCCGAAAGCCGCGGATCCTTTAGTTCGACCAAAGCGACGACCTTTACCCAAAGCAGCCACAGCGGCAGTGGGTAGCTACAGGACCGCTACTAAAACCCTTCCCTCGCGCCCATCAGAGTCTGCCTCTGTTTTCCAATCAGATAGACCTATGATCGAGCTTTCAAACAATGAGATGTCGGCCAACGGATTCAGTGGACCTCTTCTTAGCGACAAATACTGTGACTATCCGGTGGTGACCACAAAACGGGCCCTCATGGAAGGACTAAAGCACCATGTTGCGCGATTCGCCTCCAAGAAAAGCGTCGACCCACGCGATGAATCGCAATTTACCAGACCCGTTCGACTTCACCGCCGGGACCCGCGTTCGCGAACACACGATCCAAATGCAGGCAGAACCGAGGTAGACGGCGAGCCGATGGATGCAGCCGAGCGTGAGGCCTATGATGCCAGAAAGGATGCCCGCGAAAAAGAGCGTGCCCAGAACTTAGCTCAAATCGCCCCTGCACTTGGGTCAACCTCGAAACGACCAAACGCCCCAAAACAGAAGACACAGCAAGTTTTCAAGTCGGACATGACACCAGAGGAGATTGCAAGAGCGCGGATCAAGTATGAGGAGGCTTTGCCCTGGCATTTGGAGGATTTCGACAACCAGCATACTTGGGTAGGAAACTATGAGGCAGCCTTATCCGAAACCCACGCAGTGTTCATCCCGGAAAACGGCAAAATGCGAATGGTGCCAGCTGAGAAGTGGTACAAATTCAACGCGAAGAGTAATTTCAAGGCTTTGACAATCGAGGAAGCCGAGAAATTCATGGCGAAGAGAGTAAAAGATCCGCGTTGGTTCATGGAAAAACAGCAACAGATGGAACAAGAGAGAGAACTAGAAACCTATGCCAAACAGCGCAAAGTCTACGCCGGAAAGCAAGGCGCACAGGGTGGCAAGGGCGAGGGACTGGAGGCCGGTGAAATGGATTTCGAAGAAGATCGATTCGCCGACGACGAGGAGCATGATGACCTTTTCAATGAAGACGAAGACGCCAAAGACGCCGAGAAACGGATCAAGGAAGACCAGCTCAAGGCCAACGTGTTCAATCTCAAGGATGAAAAGGAATACGACGCAGAGGAGGTTCGAGAGAAGCGGGAGCGGGAAGCTCGACGTGTCTTGGGCAAGGGTGTTCGTAAGGCGCTGAAGAAGAGAGAAAGGAACTACGACTACAGCAGCGGCTCGGATGCTAACCCCTACACGGACGAGGAGGTGTGTCATCCCGCGTTATCAAGCCAAGTGAAAACTAATCATTGCTTAGAGCTCTGACGACAGTGAGACCGAGCGTGCCAAGGAAGAAGAGCGCAAAAAGGCAGAAGAAGAAAAGAACCAGAAAGATTCTGCGGCCTCATCCAAGGGCAACAATACACCCTCTGGCCGACCCAAACACACAGACGCGTTGAAAAAAGCAGCTGGATCTCGGAAGAGACTTGGGTCGCCAAACGCATCCGACGCCAGCGGCACTGATACTTCCCGCAAGAAGGTCAAGAACATGCACAATCTCTCTTCCCAGCCACCATCCCGCCCGATCTCTCCCTCGGCACTGCAGGTATGTGTTAGCACCATGAGTGTCATCGTTGCCCACTAACCGTTCTAGACTGGCAAGAAACGCGTGCGAGCTAACGCTCCCGGTGGTGCGGGATCTGGCAGTGATGCTGATACTGGAGTCGGTTCTGGAGCTGAAATGACAGAAAATGGCAAGATCAAAAAGCTCAAGCTCAACCCACCCACTGGCTCCCGAACTGGCACCCCGCAAGGTTCCCGGGCTGGCAGTCCCATTGCTGGCCGACCTCCTGGAAGCCGTGCAAGCAGCCCTGAGGGCCCAATGAAACGTCAAGCGCGTGTCTCAACCCCTGTATCGGGCAACCAAACGTTCCCTACCGCCGGGGAAATCCACGCTGCCATTCCGGCCACAGGAATCGTGAGTAGTGACTTGCTGAAGATCTTCCGACCTCGCATTGGCGGCTCCAAGGAGAGCCACCGCAGATTCATTGCTATCGTAAGGGACGTCAGTGTTTATGGAAAAGAAGATCGCATGCTGCGCCCTGGTAACTGGAAAGGAAACTGATAGCGTGCGTACACCATCTGGCAGTCGAGCAACCCGCCTTTACATGTTTGATTGTATTTACGTGATCCCCATATGGGACCTCGGGACCTCGGGAGCTACAGAGAATGTCACATATTCAGGAGAACATAATATTGAAACAAGGACAAAAACTAGAAAATTCATTTATATGCACACATAAAACTCCAAGGCTGAGACATATCACATCATGACCCAAGAAAAAACACAAGGTCTTTCAGACACACATTATAGAAGGGGAATCGAGGGTTGATCATTTTTCAACATTGGTGTTCCCTTCCTCATACTTCTCCCAGTTGGCCAGGATGGAGGCAATGCGAGGAGAGTTGGTGAGCTTGTAGACATCCTCGAAGTACTCCTTGGTAATCTCGAAGGGACGGGCTGTGACGTTGGGGATGTACTTTCCGACGAGCTTGCTGGGGTCGATCGTGGTCTTGTTGATCTTCTTCAGCAAGAACGAACGGAAAGGCTTCACGCCAGAGCGTAGGAAGGTACTGTGGAAGGGAACATCAATACCCTTCAGAGGAATAGTGGCGAAGCCACGCTCCAGTTGGATGGGACGGGGCTTGGCCTCGGTTTGCTTGACACATTCCTGGATGATGCTGACCAAGTGCTCTTTGACGTCCTCCAGAGACATGCTCTGCATGAGGGCCGGGATGTCAATGTTCTGCGCCTTCAGGAAGTTGAGCAGGTTGGTGAGACAGTCAAGAGCACGCAAGTCACCAGCCGTAACGTATTGCATGTTGGCAACGTTGTAGTTGACAATCTCCAGCAACCAGCCGGTAGTTTCAGCAATGACTTCCACAACATACTGCAGAGCCTGCTCGTTGAAAGTCTTGGAAATACGGCTGGGGTTGACAGCACACATGGAGTAGTTGGAGCGACCCTGCGCATCGCGCTCGACGGCGACCTGCATGGTCAATCCACGGTAGAAGACAACAGACACCAGACTCTCGATGGGCATGACGTCGGCCAGGGCGGCCAAGGCAGAGTATTCGCCAAGAGAGTGACCAGCGAAGCTGCTGTCGCGTTGGACCAAACCCTTTGAGCGCATGTCTTCGAAGCTGGCCTTCTCCATCAGAGTCAAGGCAGGCTGAGTGAACTGGGTAGCGGAGAGGAGACCAGTAGGGGAGCGGTAGGTGTAAGAGGCAGTATTCTCATCAACCTCCTTGAAGATCTTTTCAGACTTGATGGACCCGTCCGCGTTCACCGACTCGAAAGTCATGGCCATGTAGTTCTGGCGAATGGCCTTACCACGGGGACCACCAAAGTAGACAGTGAGCTCCTTGGGGTTGTTCTTGACGATGTCGATGATGGAAAGGCCGTAATTTTCCATGAAGTGGCGATCGGCACGGTCCCAGACCTCCTGAGCAACAGGGCTGCTGCCATAAAGCTCCATACCCATGCCCTGTTCCTGAGAACCTTGGCCGGTGAAAACGTAGGAGGTGACAGGCTGTTCAACTTCTGCCTCACCCTGGAGAACCTTGTCCTCGGTTTCCTTGTTGCTGGCCTCGACCTTGATGATCTTGCGACCGGCAATCATGCCGACATGTTGAAGCTTGACAGTAATCATGTCATTGGGCAGAACCATGCCAACGAGGGAAACCTGGAAGCCACGGACACGACCGATGTTGTTCTCGGCGGCCCAAGTCTCGACGAGACTGCGAACAGCGGCACTGCTGTACATGCCGTGGGTGATGGTACCAGGCAGGTTGGCGTAGCTGGAGAAGACACGCGAAACGTGAATGGGGTTGTAATCACCGGAGACGCGGGCATATGTCTCGTTAGAGGCAGGGGCACGCAGCTCCAGAGCGGTCTTTCCACTGAGAGGGATAGGGTTCTCGAAGTAGACCGGCTGCTCAATGGAAGTTCCGTTGCGCTGGAGGTAGTCGATGACCGGGTTACCGTGGGAGTCACCAGCCTCGTATTCAACGGACGCGACTTGGATGACCTCCTTGGTTGGTAGCTCAAGCAGAGCCTGACCAATGGTCTGGACATTGCTGAAGACGGTGTTGTTCTTGAAACGGATCAAGCTCTGCAGACGGAAGGTGAGAGTTTGACCGAGGAGCTCGGTGTCAGAGTCGTCCATGCGGAACCACTCCTTGGAGCGAAGGATGGCAACATCCCGACTGGTTGCGAGGTGAACTTGCATGGGAACTTCGTCCTTGCGCTGGAAGGTATTCTCGAAGTCGGTGTAGGCACCGCGGTACAGGAACTGACTGGTCACATGCATGATGGCCTTGCCCTCACGCTTGATGGTACCGCAAACCTCAACCATTTTACCAGATTCCTGGTTAATGACGGCATTGATCTGGGCAGTTGTATCCAAAACGTCTCCAACCTTAAGGGGCTGGGCGCCAGGGACCATCTTGAAGCCGTTGGACAGGTGGACCAATTTCAGAAGATCTCCATCGATAGTACGAGGGAAGATAGGCTTAGTGATGGCCTTCCAGCCTGCAACAATGGCGAAGTCCATGGGGGCGAAGACCTCCTTGCCTGGACGGTCGACGAAAGCCTCACCGGTGTTACCGACGGCGTGAACAAAGTCAGCGACAGCCTGAGAAGTGATAGTCTCACGACCACCGCTGAAGGTGGCAGTGGTGGGGGTGTCAAAAGGCACGTCCTTGTTGCCGAACCAGATACGGTAGTAGAATTCCTTGATGCGGTCGTTGCGGTCACCCATGACCTCGCGGATAGGAGCGTATCCAGTCTCGGGGTGGTAGGTGAAGAGGAAGTTCAGAGGAACAACCCCGTTCTCGGCAGTGCGGCCCTCAAACAGAGTGAGGCTAATCTGTCCATTCTCGATCACCTTGGCCTCGACGGTCTTAACGAGCTTGCCGGACTGGTAGGGCTCGCGCACGCTGATGACCATCTTAGAGGGATCGTTGGGGTTACAGACCTCGACGTGCATGCCTGCAGTGGGGGCCACAATGCGCTTCATGGGATTGGTCTGGAAGCGGTGACCCTGGACATAGACATCAGCAAGGAACAGAGCGTGTCGCCACGAGTAGACACTGCCGGCCAAAAGGCCGAGCCAGCGGTCAAGGTCGGGAAGGACCGCAGAGGGGGAAGACGACAGGCGGAAGCTAGTCTTGTTCGATTCCTCAGAGATGGTGAGTCCATCAATTTCCGGCTCAGTTTCGGTGTTCAGAAGCTGACCACCGAAGTACTCAATGACGGGAATCTTGGACTTGTCACCACCGTAGACATCACGCAGAAGGCCGGCAATGTGGCCCTGGTGAACACCATCGAGAATGTCCTGGACAGGCTCGTCGATAATGTTGGAATAGTGAGCAGCCATAGGACCCTGAAGGATACAGGTACGACCGACATCTTGGTCAACCACAGCCTCAAGATCCTCGCTCTGCCACAGAGAATCCTTCTTAAAGAAGAATTCAAATGTTTCGTCCAACACGGGAACGAAAGGCACGGGCTTCTGACCGCGACGCTGACAAAGGAGCAGGAAGTGCTGGACATCCTGCGCATTAATCAGCTGATCAGCAGCGGCAGGGTAAGCAGCAAGGATGTTGTCAACGGCAGGGTAAGGGGTGTCAAGGTCAGAGTAGCTCTGGAGCAGGGAAGCCTGTCCCTCAGCAGTGGTGAAACGCTCCTCAACACGGCGGAGGAAGTCACCGGCCAATCGCTTCAATGAGGGATCGATCCAGCGAGACTCGTGTTTGATGTACATGAGGTCCACCATACGATGAACAACCTCAGTGTAGGTCATATCTTCCAGGTCAACTGTCTCGCCAGCAGCGTTGCGGCCAAACCAGACCTTGTGGAAGTCATCGTTCAGCTTCTTGATGATGTAGTTGCGCTGCTTCTTCAACTCAGGAACACGCTTGGCCTTGTCGAGCTTGAAAATCTTCTGGTCCATCTCTTGCCAGAACAAAACACCACGGGTGGCGAGCTTGTGAATAGGCTCACCCATCTCGGACAGAACGGTGATGACACCACCGGTAGACTTTTGGTAGGTCTTCTCCCATTCCTCATCACCAACACCGGGAGCCTCGGCGATGGCCTTCTTGGCGTTATAAGAAGTGTGCGCCTCCTTGGCAATCATCATGCGGCTACCGAACAGACAACCATCGAAGGGCATGGGAGGGTAGCCGAACTTGGCTGACCAGCTACCGGAAAGGTATGGGTAGGTGTCCTCGGAGCCACCGAAACCACTGCCAGCGACGAGGACGATGTTGTCCTGCTTGCGGATACGGCTGTACATCTGCAGCACAGGCTGGTGGAAGTCCTCAAAGGAGTGGTGACCACCGCCACGGCCACCGGTCCACTGAAGAATGATGGGGAACTTAGGGTTGGCCTTGGCGACGTTGATGACCTGCTGAATAGCGTCGACAGAGCCGGGCTTGAACGCAATGTGCTTGATTCCCAGAGTCTCAATGTACTCATTGGCAACTTCAATGGAGGGTACGCCGGCGCCGATGGTCAGACCCTCAATGGGGACACCCTCGGCGCGCAAGCGACCGATGAGAGGGATCTGCCAGGCCATGGCACGGGGGTTGACGTAAATCAAGTTGATGGTGATACCACGTCCAGGGGGAATGGTCTTCTCGATCTTCGTAATGGCCTCGGTCATGGTCTTCGCGTTGTAGTAGCCACCGCCAGCCAATTCAATGTGGTAACCGGCGTTCATAGTGGCCGCCACAAAGTCCCATGCCACGGTCGTCGGGGTCATACCGGCAACCATGACGGGAGGGATACCCAGCAGACGACTCATCTTAGTGTCAACGTAGGTTTGGCCAGTGGAGGTCCGGGTGAGACGAGGGCCGTGATCCTTGACCCAGTCCACGGCGAACTTGACCGAGTGCTCATCACGATCAAATAGTTCGGGCTTGTAACCAACCTCAGCGTTGGTGCCGTCCATTTCACCGGCGAGAATGACACGGACACCAGTGCCGTCCTTGTTGCGGTTGGTCAAGACACCCAGACCCGAGATACCACCAGGTCCGAAGTCCAGAATATGGGTGGCACCGGGGAAGACGGTAGCCTGCTCCCAATTGACGGCATCGTGAGTGATCATGCGGATGAGGGAAGGAACAACGCTCTTGTCGCCGAGTTGACGAAGATCCTCTCCAGTCTTCGTGTGGAAGACGGGGATGACGAGCGACTTGGCGGGAATTTCAACCACATCCTCCAGATCCTCGAGGATGCGGTCGTAGGCCGATGAGAGGTACTGGCTATGGAACGGAGCAGTGATGGGGAGGAAGCGGTTGACAAAGCGGACCTTGCGCTGGGTGAAGGGCACCCGGTTCTGGTCGAGCCCGGTGGGGGCCTTGACCTTGCGCAGGCGGAGGTTGAGACCGTAGAGAGAAATGGGAGGACCCGTCACGACGAAGTTACGGGCGCTGTTCACCAAGGAGATGGAGATGTGGCGATCCTCAGGCAAATGTTGGTTGGTGGCATCAATGTGTTCCTGCACCGCAGCGAGCGAGAGATCGCGGATGGAGAGCATAGGGGTGGGGGTTCCCTCGCCGTTTTCGATCGAATCCTGGAGCACGGAGGGCGCGATCGATGTGCGAGGGTAGGCCTGTTGACTACGCAGGCCAATCCAGAAGAGCATGGTCAAGGCATTCCGGGATGCCTTGGCGAAAGACTCCCAGCTGGTGGCTGTCGCAATGGCGGCCGCGGTCACCACGCCCTGCGAGTGACCCGTCGTACCGAGGAAACGCTCCAAGATATCGCCGGGTTGACGACCCAGGACCCTGCAGGTGACTGTGTAGTGTGCCAGCTGCACCAGCCCGATCAAGGGCAGACTGACCGGCGCTGAGACCAGATAGTCGATGTCTGGCTGTGTGTCCCGATCTTGGAGCCACTGCATGATGTCCAAACCCTTGGGGTAGAGCTTGCTGGCCTCGGGCTCGAGAGAGAGTGATTGCAGCAGCTCGGCGGAGGAAGTGATCAACTCCTCGACGAAGGATGGGTAGGTGGTGTAGATGTGACGCAGCTCATCGAAGTACTCCTCGATGTTTCCCTGGCCACCGAACACGGAGTAGATGCCTGCAGCCTCGTCCGAGGCAGCCCGGAACAGGGCCGAGTCATATGGCTTGGTGGGCCGGCCCGCCGCCGCACGCCCGGCGTAGTATGCCTCGACAACTTGGTTCTTCTTGTCCACGATGCCGGGAAGCGCGGCGGCCACGGCGTGCACATCGTTCCCGCGCATGAACGCCCGCTCGAATTCATTCATCACGAGCTTCAGGACGTCCAGGTAGTTCCCCTGGGCATCGTCCTCCTCCTCGAGCTCGTGGGCGACATGACCAATGTAGCGGGCCACCAACTCAGTCACTGATGAGGGCTCCTCATCGAGGGCCAATTCGTCTGTGGGCTCGGGTAAGGAGGCTGTGAAGCTGTCTTTCAATTGGGATGCATGGAAGTGAAGCGACGTGGGGACGAGGAAAGAGAACTCGAGAGAGCCATGCGAGAGGATGAGAGGGCGGAGGGATTGCGAGGATCGAGGGGTGTTGATCCCGGTCTGGGGACCGGTTGATGTGCCGTACATGCTCTCTAAATGCAAGGAATATGAAGAGCGAAAGGGAGAGATCAGGACCCTAAATTAAGCAGAGGGGAGGAATTGCGGGTTTTTTTGGTCCTGAGGGGATGTCAATTGAGAACGGGAAGTGTGAGAGGGGGGGGGCACTCACTGTCAACCTCTATAGACCTCTGTGCAAGTATCCTGAGGGTCCAAACAGGTTTTATTAAACAACACGACAGAACAGTAAAAGGGGGAATAAGAGTGAGAAATCCAAGAGACCCGTCGAAACAAACAGATATACAGAAGAGATGGAGCTCCCGACTGCCACCGAAAAAAAAAAGCGATCCGCTGTTGAACTGCAAGTAGCTCAAAGGGGTTTAGCGCCACCGCAGACCCGCCCCAATGGGTTGTGACTGGGTTGAACCCGTTGAGATTACACGCTCAGTACGGTAATCTATTCTCTATCTATACTTGCATTCTATAACCTCTACTATCCTATCCTATGCTTCCTATACTCTACTGTATATGCCGGCTCTATACTAGTCCAGTCTACCTCTAGAGCCCTCTCGCCCATCACATCCGCGATATACCCCACCAATCTACTATTGTACTAGTAATCCGCCAGATCCCTATACATTGGCTTTCCCCCGTTGGGATCTCCATGATCGACCGTGTGTCCATCGCCAGCTCTCGCCCAACAGAGCCCTCACCACTTTGCGACATGAAGCAATCATAAACCCGGTGTCTTCCCCATCTGCCCACACCCATCTCCCACACCCATCTCCCCATCTTTCCCCTGTATTGGTGTGGTACCACAAAAAAGCCGTGGGAAAATTACCGGTATCATTACCAAACTACGCTTCCCACCTTTTTTTTCCTGTCCGGTCCTTCGAACTGATACCCTTATTGTCCTCTAATCTGGTCTCTTCCAACACCTTCTCTCTACATACGTTTTATTCTTCGGGCCCTCTTGCGCATTCGTCACGGACGTTGCGTCCCTAATTCCGTCTTTCTGTTTAATCGATACCCATCACTTCCATCATGCGTCCGGAAGTGGAACAAGAGCTCGCCCACACCCTCCTGGTGGAGCTGCTGGCCTACCAATTCGCCTCGCCGGTCCGATGGATCGAAACCCAAGATGTCGTCCTCGCCGAACAGCGCACCGAGCGCATTGTCGAAATTGGTCCCGCAGATACCCTGGGAGGAATGGCACGGCGGACACTAGCCTCCAAGTACGAGGCGTACGATGCGGCGACGTCCGTCCAGCGCCAGATTCTTTGCTATAATAAGGACGCCAAGGAGATCTACTACGATGTCGACCCCGTAGAGGAGGAACCCGAGCCCATCCCGGAGGCTGCGCCCTCAGGCCCGGCCCCCGTGGCAGCTGCTCCTGCCTCCGGAGCTCCTCCCCCTCCCCCCAGTGCTGGCCCCGCGGCCGCAGTCGAAGATGCCCCCGTCACAGCAGTCGATGTACTGCGCACACTGGTTGCTCAAAAGTTAAAGAAGACCCTCGCCGATGTACCATTGTCAAAAGCCATTAAGGATCTTGTTGGAGGTAAGCCAACCGCTTGTTTTGTTTTGATTTCTGGAACGGTGACTGATGCTAACTCCTCGCAGGCAAGTCCACATTACAGAACGAAATCCTAGGTGACCTGGGTAAAGAGTTCGGTTCCACACCAGAGAAGCCAGAGGATGTCCCACTGGATGAACTCGGTGCTTCCATGCAAGCCACCTTCAACGGCCAATTGGGCAAGCAGTCATCTTCTCTCATTGCCAGAATGGTCTCTTCCAAGATGCCTGGTGGCTTTAACATCACGGCCGTCAGAAAATACCTGGAAACCCGTTGGGGTCTAGGAGCTGGTCGTCAGGACGGCGTGCTGCTCCTTGCCCTCACAATGGAGCCTGCGGCTCGTCTGGGTTCCGAACCCGACGCCAAGGCTTACTTGGACGACGTCGCCAACAAGTATGCTGCCAGCGCAGGCGTCAGCCTCTCGGCCCCCGTGGCCGGTGGTGATGGCGGCGGCGGCGGCGGCGGTATGGTGATGGATCCTGCTGCCATTGATGCCTTGACCAAGGACCAGCGAGCGTTGTTTAAGCAGCAGCTTGAGATCATTGCTCGTTATCTCAAGATGGACCTCCGCGAAGGCGAGAAGGCCCACGTCATCTCCCAGGAGAGCCAAAAAGCGCTGCAGGCTCAGCTTGACTTGTGGCAGGTGGAGCATGGTGACTTCTACGCCTCTGGCATCGAGCCCTCATTTGATCAGCTTAAGGCCCGTGTCTATGATTCCTCATGGAACTGGGCTCGCCAAGATGCCTTGAGCATGTACTACGATATCATCTTCGGTCGTCTCCAAGTGGTGGACCGTGAAATCGTCAGCCAATGTATCCGTATCATGAACCGATCCAACCCCCTCCTCCTCGATTTCATGCAATATCACATTGACAACTGCCCCACCGACCGTGGTGAGACCTACCAGTTGGCCAAGGAACTTGGCCAACAGCTCATCGAGAACTGCCGTGAAGTTCTCGAGGTTTCCCCGGTCTATAAGGACGTTGCTGTCCCCACGGGCCCTCAAACCAGCATTGATGCCCGCGGAAACATCGGCTACAAGGAGGTTCCCCGAACTAGCGCTCGCAAGCTCGAGCACTACGTCAAGCACATGGCCGACGGAGGTCCGATCTCTGAATACAGCAACCGAACCAAGGTTCAGAATGACCTTAAGAATGTCTACAAGCTCATTCGCAAGCAACATCGTCTCTCCAAGTCCTCGCAAATTCAGTTTGATACCTTGTACAAGGATGTCGTTCACGCACTTGGTATGAACGAAAGCCAGATCATCCCCCAGGAGAATGGGCACGCCAAGAAGAGCGGTTCCAAGCGTACCCTCACCCGTCCCGGCAAGGTGGAAACTATCCCATTCTTGCACCTGAAGAAGAAGACCGACCACGGCTGGGACTACAACAAGAAGCTCACTGGCATTTACTTGAATGTCATGGAGTCCGCTGCCAAGGATGGTCTGAGCTTCCACGGTAAGAATGTGCTGATGACCGGTGCTGGTGCCGGTTCCATTGGTGCCGAGGTCTTGCAGGGTCTGATCAGTGGTGGTGCTAAGGTTGTTGTCACCACCAGTCGCTTCTCGCGCGAGGTCACGGAGTATTACCAGGGCATGTACGCCCGCTACGGTGCCCGTGGCTCCCAGCTGGTTGTTGTGCCCTTCAACCAGGGTAGCAAGCAGGATGTTGAGGCATTGATCGAATACATCTACGATGCCAAAAAGGGTCTCGGCTGGGACTTGGACTTCGTTGTTCCCTTCGCCGCCATTCCCGAGAACGGCCGTGAAATTGACTCCATCGACTCCAAGTCCGAGTTGGCTCACCGTATCATGCTGACCAACCTGCTTCGTCTTTTGGGTTCTATCAAGACGCAGAAGCAAGCCAATGGCTTTGAGACTCGCCCCGCCCAGGTTATTCTGCCGTTGTCTCCCAACCACGGTACATTCGGTAACGACGGTTTGTACTCCGAGTCCAAGCTTGCTTTGGAGACTCTCTTCAACCGCTGGTATTCTGAGAACTGGAGCCACTACCTCACCATTTGTGGTGCCGTCATTGGCTGGACCCGTGGTACCGGTTTGATGGGTGGCAACAACATGGTCGCTGAAGGTGTCGAAAAGCTGGGTGTCCGCACCTTCTCCCAGCAGGAGATGGCGTTCAACCTTCTTGGTCTGATGGCCCCTGCCATCGTCAACCTTTGCCAGCTTGACCCCGTCTTCGCCGATCTCAACGGTGGTCTTCAATTCATTCCCGATCTCAAGGGTTTGATGACCAAGCTTCGTACCGATATCATGGAGACCAGTGATGTTCGCCAGGCCGTTATCAAGGAGACCGCCATTGAACATAAGGTGGTGAACGGCGAGGACAGCGGAGTTCTGTACAAGAAGGTTGTTGCAGAGCCTCGTGCCAACATCAAGTTCGAGTTCCCCAACCTGCCTGATTGGGAGGAGGAGGTCAAGCCTCTCAACGAGGGCCTCAAGGGCATGGTCAACTTGGACAAGGTTGTCGTTGTCACCGGTTTCTCCGAAGTCGGTCCTTGGGGTAACTCTCGTACTCGTTGGGAAATGGAGTCCAAGGGCAAGTTCTCTTTGGAGGGCTGTGTCGAGATGGCCTGGATCATGGGCCTGATCAAGCACCACAATGGTCCTTTGAAGGGCAAGGCCTACTCCGGCTGGGTCGACGCCAAGACCGGTGACCCAGTGGACGACAAGGATGTCAAGCCCAAGTACGAGAAGCACATCTTGGAGCACACAGGTATTCGTCTCATCGAACCTGAGCTATTCAAGGGCTATGACCCCAAGAAGAAGCAGCTTCTTCAGGAGATCGTTATTCAAGAGGATCTCGAGCCCTTTGAGTCTTCCAAAGAGACCGCGGAGGAGTTCAAGCGTGAGCACGGAGACAAGGCTGAGATCTTCGAGATCCCCGAGTCTGGCGAGTACACCGTCCGCCTCCGCAAGGGCGCCACCATGCTCATTCCCAAGGCGCTTCAGTTCGATCGTCTTGTCGCTGGTCAGGTCCCCACTGGTTGGGATGCCAGCCGCTATGGTATCCCTGATGATATCATTGAGCAGGTGGATCCTGTTACTCTGTATGTCTTGGTCTGTACCGCTGAAGCCATGCTTTCTTCCGGTATCACCGACCCCTACGAGTTCTACAAGTACGTCCACCTCTCTGAGGTTGGTAACTGCATCGGTTCCGGTATCGGTGGTACCCACGCTCTGCGCGGCATGTACAAGGACCGCTTCTTGGACAAGCCTAAGCAGAAGGATATCCTGCAGGAGTCTTTCATCAACACCATGAGCGCTTGGGTCAACATGCTGCTCCTCTCCTCTACTGGTCCCATCAAGACCCCTGTGGGTGCCTGCGCCACCGCTGTCGAGTCTGTTGACATTGGTTACGAGACCATTGTCGAGGGCAAGGCCCGTGTCTGCTTCGTTGGTGGATTCGATGACTTCCAAGAAGAGGGATCCTACGAGTTCGCCAACATGAAGGCCACCAGTAACGCCGAGGATGAATTCGCCCACGGTCGTACCCCCCAGGAGATGTCTCGTCCCACTACCACCACCCGTGCTGGCTTCATGGAGTCTCAGGGCTGTGGTATGCAATTGATCATGACTGCGCAGCTTGCCCTTGACATGGGTGTGCCCATTCACGGTATCATTGCTCTGACTACCACCGCCACTGACAAGATTGGACGCTCCGTTCCCGCTCCCGGCCAGGGTGTCCTGACCACCGCCCGCGAGAACCCCGGCAAATTCCCATCTCCTCTGCTGGATCTCAAGTACCGCCGCCGTCAATTGGATCTTCGCAAGAAGCAGATCAACGAATGGCAAGAGTCCGAGCTCCTCTACCTCCAGGAGGAGGCCGAGGCCATGAAGGCTCAGAGCGATGATACTTTCAACGAGACTGAGTACTTGCAGGAGCGTGCTCAGCATATTGAGCGCGAGGCCATTCGCCAGGAGAAGGATGCTCAGTACAGCCTGGGTAACAACTTCTGGAAGCAGGACTCTCGCATCGCTCCTCTCCGTGGTGCCATGGCCACTTGGGGTCTGACTGTTGACGATATCCACGTTGCCTCTTTCCACGGTACTTCGACCGTCGCCAACGACAAGAACGAGTCCGATGTCCTCTGCCAGCAGATGAAGCACCTTGGCCGCACTAAGGGTAACGCATTGATGGGTATCTTCCAGAAGTACCTCACTGGTCACCCCAAGGGTGCCGCCGGTGCTTGGATGTTCAACGGTTGCTTGCAGGTCTTGGACAGCGGCCTCGTCCCGGGAAATCGCAACGCCGACAACGTCGATAAGGTCATGGAGAAATTCGACTACATCGTCTATCCAAGCCGCAGCATCCAGACGGACGGTATTAAGGCGTTCTCGGTCACCTCATTCGGTTTCGGTCAGAAGGGTGCTCAGGTGATTGGTATCCACCCCAAGTACTTGTATGCCACTCTTGAGAAGGCTCAATACGATGCCTACAAGACCAAGGTTGAGGCTCGCCAGAAGAAGGCTTACCGCTACTTCCACAACGGTCTCATCAACAACACTATCTTTGTTGCTAAGAACAAGGCGCCTTACGAGGATGACCTCCAGAGCAAGATCTTCTTGAACCCCGACTACCGTGTGTCGCTTGACAAGAAGACCTCTGAACTCAAGTACTCCTCTGCTTCCCCAGAGGCCAAGCAGTCCGAGGCCACTCGCCAGACTGTCGAATCCCTCGCCAAGGCCAATGCCGCTGAGAATTCGAAGATTGGTGTTGATGTCGAGCACATTGATTCCGTCAACATTGATAACGAGACCTTCGTTGAGCGCAACTTCACCCAGGGCGAGCAGGACTACTGCCGCAAGGCTGCCTCCCCCCAGTCCTCATTTGCAGGCCGTTGGAGTGCCAAGGAGGCCGTCTTCAAGTCTCTTGGTGTCAGCAGCAAGGGTGCCGGTGCCGCTCTCAAGGATATCGAAATCGGTGTCGATGCTAACGGTGCTCCCACTGTCAACGTAAGTACCCCAGACCCATCCTGAAACAGCCATACTAACATGTATCCAGCTCCACGGTGCCGCTGCCGCTGCCGCTAAGCAGGCCGGTGTGAAGCAAGTCAGCGTCAGCATTAGCCACAGCGACTCTCAAGCTGTTGCTGTTGCCGTGTCGCAGTTCTAAGCGTGTTGTGTCCTTTCTCTGTTAGCATAGAAATTCCTCCGGTTGCATTGTATTGAGACTTAATGATTGTGATTTACGGTTTTTAGATTCCGAGCCAGCTCTCCTGACTCTTTGTTTTCATAATGGGAGTAATTTCATTTTATCTACTGTTTTCATTCTACATGTGATGTTTCAAAAATGCGTAGGAGCCAAACGTCAAGTCTAGATATGGATCAAATTTGATAATGCTACACCTACCTAGGTAACTCCAATGCATTTTTGTACAAATGAATTCATGTACAACATTTACCATCACGAACGACCCGCGCGGTTGAGAGGGCCCCAGTTGGCACGGGGATTGATCTGGTATCGCATAAGACGCTTTTTCGTATGCGAGGCAGAGACCGCACGGCCAAGATCGGCATCAAAGACCACCTCGAGAGCACTCGGGTGAGCTCGCTTGGCCGGGGTAGCAGACGTTTCACCTGGGCATTGTGTAGCATCTTCGCGCTCAGAGGCCACGCGCTGTGAGCCTCGCGACCCAGAGCGGTAAAGTGCTGCCTCGACCTTGGTGACCAAATCACTCACATCCTTTCCGGCCTCGACGGCAGAGAGCAAATCTTGCTTCAACAGTGAGAGCCATTGATCTTGGTCGTCCAATTTGCGCAAGTTCTCACGGCTCTTGGCCATAATCGCGGCGCCCGGAGTTCCAGGTTTTAAGGAGGATTCTTTAATGGGCGACTTTTGTCGCACCCATTCGCGCATGATCTCCCAAACCACTTCCCAGGGAGCATCGGTGCGTACGGAATTTGGTTTCGTGTGAGAGCGAGTCGAGCGGTATCCGAGATTGCTGAGGGCACCGCGGAATTCATCAATTGGGATGGTGGTGGTGTGAAGGACCTTGGCGACCGCACTGAGTGAGAAGTAGAAGGGGTATTTCTCCTGAAGGGCAACATCCATCCGAGGAATTATCGCGGGATATTCCACGTCCTGCTGGTTCTTCGACTCCACAAAGGTCTCCTTTGTCCCTGGAGATTTGGTCGGCTTAGATCCGTCTGCTTCAGGCGTCAGGTCTAGATCCTCCTCAAGGGCAGTAGTCAACATGCCCTCGAGGCGGGCGCAAGTCTGATATGTTTCCTGATCAGCCCCGGGGAGCATGGCCAGGATTTTTTGAATAAAGTGAGGGTTGTGCAGTGGGCCACCCCACATAGGTCCTGCGATATGAGTTCTGGTACCGCAGTGCTCACATTGGGGACCAGATGAGGGTCCTTTGTTGATGCCATGGTGGTGGATGGGTCTCCCATTCTTATCCGACTTGCTTTTAGTGAGACCAATGTACTGAGTTGTCCAGGCGCCGCAGCCAGCGTCGCAGCTGTAGACAAGCATGGTGTTGCCAGCATTGAACTTGACCTGTGCCGGGGATCTATGAACTCGAACAAATACGCGAGCGTAGAAGTCGATTGAAAGGGACAGCAAGGGCTCGATTGCAATTCCATATTTAGACGCGGACATCACAAGAGAATTCAAGATCAATCTCAGCCCACTTTCGTGGGAGTGATTACCCTTGAGAGGAATGCCGCCGTACAGCGAGAAGGCCTTCTCTGAGTAGCCGGTAGATGCCCAGACACCTGCATCGGTACAGGTTACACAAAGAAGACCGCCGTCTTTCGCTGCCTGGATGGCAGCATCCAGGAAAGGAGATGCCGTGCCATACGGATCCAAATCAATCACGTCGAACTTGCTTGCATTTTCATACATATAGACTCTCGCGTCTCCCAGATTGGGTTGGATGGTTTTGAGATCGTTGTAATCGACGTTAGTTTTCATGGATTTGATTGCAGACTCCGACAAGTCATTGCCCACCACCTTGGTAGCGAAGGGGATCTCGGAGGCATAGCGAAGAGCACGCAACCCCGTTGCGGAAAGAGCATCCAGGATCGCAAATTGGGGCGCCGGGGGTGAAGCAGGGGTAGCTGGTTTCTCTGTGGGGGCAGGCTGCTCAGAGAGAAGGTCTGCCTGAATTGATTCCGAGGAAGCCTTGTCATCTGCCTTCGGCGCGGGCCTCGGGTTTTCGGTCTCGTCATCCTCGCGCTTCCGCTTCTTCGCCCCGTTGCCAGCCTGCTTCTTCAACTTGTTGTCCACTTTCTGTTTCTTGTAATCAAGGAGGTGTTCGCCATATGCGCGAATGGCGAGAACACTCAGGTCCCGGTTGAATTGTTGGATTGGATTGTAGAACACGGACTGGGTTTGGTCGTCGTCTTTGAGGTCTTTCTTGGTGCCTTTTGAGGCAGCCTCTTGGGAGGGAGGGTTGAGAATGCGCGCCAGTCCTTCCTTGACCACTTGGTATTGGGTTCCCTTGAATTCCACCAGACTGGGTGGGGTGTCGGAGGTATTCGCCATGACTGAATTGAATCGTAGTTGCTGGGTCGAGCACGGGAAGTGAAGATGAGCAGGTCCAGTTCTATATGTGATCTGAGCGCATCGTATAGACAAGCCAACCCGCGACAATGAGTTCATGGACAGGACCGATAGACGCTGGTCGCAAAGGACGTCGCGGCAGAAAAAGAGATGGCGCACGGACCAGGTGTAATGCAGAACGGTATTTGGGTATTAGGTAATTTTGGTATCAAACGAGATCGGCGATGGAGCTGCACACCTGGGCAGCTCTTTGTCAGGCTAAGCTTCCAAGGTTAGCGGATGCTGTCTCGACGGCCCCGTGATACATGCGTCAAATATATGTCTTGCAGGTGTCTTTTCTATTGCATATATGTCGATCAGATCCACCTCGGCCCTAGATATGAGACGGTTCAATCACAGCTTACTATGATGGATTGTACTTGTTATCGCTCATTCGAAGCCGGGCTTACAGTCCGCTGTGGGTTCGGTTCGATCAATGCAAAGGGAGAACCCCCAATGAGAAAACGGGGCTGAGGGTATTTGGACACGACATGGAGTCGACGATCTCTGCGATACATTCTGGTCTTCTCGAATTCGAAACATCCCGGTTTCTAGAAGACACCTCGAATTTCCGCCCAATGTGGCCACAATCAGGCAGGAATCCCATTACCACGCAGAGCTACACGGCCGTTTTGATTCCGAGTAGCCCATGCGGGGATGCCAACACGTCCGCCAAGAGGACATGGGTGACTTCCTCCACCAATTGTGAGCTGGGAATTCTCAAGGCGAGCTACAGCCGAGGTGGCTCCGCAGCGTAAGCTGCATGGTCATGTCAGAAGGTGCCATTTTCGAGTCCATTTGCTTGACGTGGTTCATGCATCTTCTGTAACCCCCCCTCCCCTTCGGGGCCGAACAACATATGAAAGCCCGGGCTCGCGCAATTTCTATCCAAGCTGCTGAAGCCAGACTCAGCATGTTATTTCGGTTTGTTGTCGGACAATGGCACCTGCTTCACGCGAGGTTATCCAGACAACTCTCCGGCCGGATCCTACTGACGTGACCATTGTGAAGCGGGAGACTCACTCCTGGCCCACCAACACCTTTGTGACTCTCACTTGGCCTGACAGTCCCCCCGCGACTGCCGTGGTTCAAGCCGCAGCCACTCCAACATGGAGCTATGCCGCCGAATCCAGTCCCGGGCTCTCCACCCAAGCCAAGGGCGCCATCGCAGGCTCCATCCTGGGGGTTGCATTCCTTTTACTCTTGTTGTATTGTTGGTGCCAACGTCCCCCGCGCTCCCGAACCGCATCGCGACGTCGACGCCGTTTTGTTAGAGTCCCACTTCCAGAGGCCCCTCGGGACCCCACTGTGGATCTACCGGAGGGTTCTGCACACAAGAAGAAGAAGAAGACGGTGACTATCGCGCCGGAACCGCCCAAAGATGCGTCGGACTCAAAGCAGCATCGACCCAGCTTCCCACCGGTGGTGAAATTTACGACCGATATGAGCTCGAAAACCACCATCGCTGTCCGGGAGAGCAAACGGGGGAATCCGATGCCTTATATCATCCGGCCGTTGGAGAGAGCCAAGAATTGAACGAGTTGATAGTAATGAACAGTGAATTCTACAGTGTACTCTATACTGTACAGCACTGCGTAGTCCAGTTGACCGGTGTGATTAAGCTCCACCAGTCAGAGCCTCGGGAGTCAGCCAATCCTGATTCGGCACATCCCCTTTTCTCTTTTTTCCCTCGTTTTTTCTCGTTTTTCTCGTTTTTCTCGTTTTTCTCGTTTTTCTCGTTTTTCTCTTTTCTCTCTCGGTCTCGCTCCGTCCCAACAGAAAACTTGCCTCGGCATTTACTATATTAGGCTAGAAACAAAAGATCTGGTCCGTCATCTTAGACACCACCCCTGGCTTTGCAAAGCCCATCGCCACCAGGTTCTTCTTAGTGGCGTTGACCATCCCCGGTGGCCCACATAGCATGATCTTCGTGTCCGGTGAGGCCGCAGGGAGTTGTGCAGCCAGAACGGCCTGATCCACATATCCTGTGCCATACGTCCAACCCTCCGGCGCAGAGTCGAGCATATACCACAGTTTGAAGTTCTTGGGGTAAAGACGCGCAAATCGCTCCAGTTCATCCCGGAGGAGAATGTCCGACTCACTCCGGTTGGCGTAGACCAGATTCACCTCGGTGGTGTCGGTGTCATTCTCGCAGATTGCGCGGATCAACTGGTACATAGGTGTGATCCCTGTACCGCCGGCCACCATGCCAATCTTGCGGCAGAGGCCCTTGCTGTAGCGCATGGAACCCTTGGGTCCACGGAACTCTACCTCGTCTCCCACGGTCAGGCCCGCGAGATAATTGCCACTCAATAGACCGTCTGGGTAACACTTGATGACGAGTTCGATCCGCCCGCGGTCGGTGTTGTTGGAGGTGGGAGTGTATGAGCGAGTGACCACCGTGCCGTCGATCTCAGCCCGGATGGCGACGTGTTGGCCAATGGGGAGACCCAGCACCGCAGAAGCGGTGGGCAGAGCGAACACGAACCGGAACACGTTGGTTGCCAGCTCGGTCTTTTCCACTAGAGGTAGACGTTGATATTGCTGCGGCTCCAGGAAGCCCCGAGTCAGATGGGGGTCCACCCGAATAACCTTCTTCGCCTTCATATGGGGAGGATAGCGCATAAATCCCGAGTCGATCTTGGTGAACTTGCCGGCCTGGCGAGCTGCCACTGCACCGATTACGGCAGAGATGGCCGAAGCGGCCAAGAATCCGTTCACGAAGCCCCCGTGGGGCAACCGAATGCTCTTCAACTGATGGGGAATCAAGTGGGAAATGGCGTCCATGCCATGTGTGAGGTTGGTACGGCTGACAATGTAGCAGGCAGGTATTAAGCCGCCAAGGGCACATGCAATGGCTTTGAATGGCGATGAAGAGGATGCCGCCTCTTCTGTCCTTTGGGAGACGACACGCACTGCCTTGGGGCGCACATACTGCTGGGCATCTTTTAGTGTGCCCACCAAGAAGGGTTGCATGATTTCACGCGCATCTTCTGAATGACCAACATCTTCATAATCTGCTGTGGCATCCGTGCCAGCCACGTCGACTAGCACCTCTGCGCCTCCGGGGTGGTCCTGGAGATACTCTGTGAGATCGAAGACTGTTGAATTGTTAGTTTGGCGTCGACATCTTCCCTGGCATTCTCACCTTGTCCATGGATCACCATCCAGGTGTCCCCTTTGGTATTGTGTGTGGCCACGTCTTTCAAGGTGTACTCGGGCAAGACCGTCTCGGCCTTCCACTCAGCCTTGAGCTCTTTTGTTTCAGTAGACATAGTGATTTGATGTTGAGAAGAGAAAAGTTTCCAAAACCCAACCTCACGCCTACTTAGGGAGTTATATGGGAATCACTCCGTATATGAGAATATTGCCATTGTGGATCTACGAGTCTATGTGCATAAATCAAGCCCACTCCTATAGAGGACCGGGATTCATAATAGACACGAATCTACTCGTACCTCGGCATCGAAGCTCTCTGGAAGAAGCTAAACCTCAAACACGCTGAAACGCCGAGGGGGCCGTGGGGCCGTGAGGATATCGGCATCTTGGACCCGGGCAAACGCACACGGTGAAGCCGATAGACCGATTTTTTTTTTCCCGTGTCGGCTGTGGCCTGGAAGTTTAGCGTTAGCCAATATCGCATGGGTGACGATCATCTCCTGATCGAGATTTTTGACCGGAGTGGAGCCGTTGAGAGACATCGAAAGTACCGAGGCTTGACAAGTAGATGTCGAACGGGCAATGTCTTTGGTGCTGCATAAGTGGAGATGTGCAATTTCGAACGGCGCATACAATATCGATATCTTTTATAAATATGATAGTGCACCCTTCATGGCCAAAGGGAAATTTGGGAAGCAAAACAATCCCACAGGATGGTGGCTAAACAATTCTACTTGCTGGGTGAGGCAATCACCTCAGCTCAAGCCATTGACATCGAGTCGACAATTAGCTATCAAGATCTCCAGCTGCTGATCGCGGGTCAATTCGCCATTGTCGAGCCAAATGGTAAGCATCCCTGTCGAGCCCCCAGAACGTCTCATTGACATTCAACTAGGCATTGGCTTTCAATCCGAAGATGCCACATTGTCCACACCCACAGAGATTCTCGCCAGTGAGGAGCCCATTGCCATCTCAATAGATGGCAAGGCAGTCAAGGAGATCCCCGGTCCTAAGGGACTGCCCTTCGTGGGAAACTTCTTCGAGGTCTACCCAGACCATCTGGGTAACCACCAGCGTCTGTTCGAGCAATACGGTCCTATTATCCAGACGACCAACATGGGACGAACCGTGTATCACACCAACGACCCCGAATTGTCGGCCATTGTCTTTGCCGAGTCTGATTTCTTCACAAAGCGGATCGGCGAGGGCCACCCGCTACACCCCATCAAGAACCAGGAAGCGGGTGTGTTCTTGGGAGATACCGATACCCCCGAATGGCGGGCAGCACACAAGTTCCTTCCCCCGGCATTTGGGCCGAAAGCCGTGCGGCACTATGCCCCAACGATGCAAGAGACCGTCGAGGATGCCTTTAGCGTCTTTGATGAGTTGGACGAGCGTGGCGAGGCCTGGAATGTCTACCAGTACATGCTGAAGCTGGGATCACAGGCTGTGGGCAAGCTGGTTCTGGGCATGGACTTTAAACATTTCTCTGCCGTCGATGCACCACCTCACGAGCTCGTGTACCGTATCGCTGAGTCGTTGGAGCTGAACAAGAAGGTGACTGCTCGTGGGGACTGGTACGCTAAGCTACCTTTTGGAGACCCCAAGCGTTTGCGAGATGCTCGCTACCGCATTATTGAGATGGTGAACGAGTCTATTGAGAATGCGTCCCGGGGTGGTGTAGAGGATCTTCCTCTCCAAGATGCCGCATTGCAGGCTTCAAACATGATCGGTCAGTCGAGCCATATCCAACTCTCGTTCGCGGCTAATTTTTCCACAGATTATATCATTCGTGCCACCGATAACAAGGGCGAGAAGCTACCCAAGACCAGTCTGATGCAAGCGCTTGTGGTGGCCACTGGAGCTGGATTCACAACCACTAGCTCCCTGCTCTCCTGGCTTCTCTATTCCATGGTCAACTATCCCGGCATGCAAGAACGACTCCTTCAAGAGCTCGTGGATCACGACATTACTGCGGACACTCCCCTCACAGCTGATCTGACGGAGCGTCTAACCTTCCTCGATAAGTTCATCAAGGAAACCCAACGCCGGCACAATCCCTCGTACCAGCCTGCCCGTACGGCCAAGGTCGCCATGGTCCTCCCCGGTGGCTACAAACTCCCGGCCGATTCCATCGTCATTCCCGCCCTTCACCACGTCCACAACAACCCTGCGGTCTGGAACAACCCTGCGCGATTCGACCCGGATCGCTGGGACACTCAGGAGGTCAAGGACCGCCACAAGAATGCCTATATGCCCTTCGCTGCTGGTCCCAGAATGTGCATTGGGTTCAACTTCGCGTTGCAGGAGGTCAAGGTCTTCCTGCCGAAGCTGCTCTTCCGCTATAAATTCACCAAGGAGAATGATGGGCCGATTGATTATGATCCCATGTTCCAGTTGATCCGTCCGACCAACTTATATGTGCGGGCAGAACGACGAGTGAAGTGGCCTCCCAAGTCGGAAGGCGTGCAGCAATAGTATTTATATATAATAAAAAATCAGTATACTTCATATTTTTAAGACAAAAAGAAACAGTGAAAGATGAATGACGAGAGAGAGAGTAAGGAGAGAAGAAAAAACAAGGCGTTCAGCCCTATGAAGTGCCTTCCCAAGAAAGCTTAGCTTCGGGAAATTGTGTCTTGGCGTTTCTTCACTTTGCACGTTGCAGACACTTGGCACTTCACGCCTGACACTTCTCTTCCCTCATGGCTCAATCACGGTCTGCTAGGTACATTGGCCATGCTCTCGAAGAGCTGGGACTGACCACCATGTGGCAATCTTCTCTCGACGTGAAGCTGCTCTGCGCCCAGCGGTTTGTACGCCTGTTCGCGTACGGTGGCTCGACGCTCATCCTAGCATCATACCTTTCGGCTATTGGAATCTCCGATGACCGGATTGGATTGTTCATGACCCTGACCCTGGTCGGAGACGTGGTCATCAGCTTCTTCCTGACCCTTTTTGCGGACCGCATGGGTCGAAAGGCAGTCTTGTCACTCGGGTCAATCCTCATGGCAGGCAGCGGTGTGATCTTTGCTCTGTTTGGGAATTATTGGATTCTGTTGGCAGCGGCAGTCTTTGGTGTTATTAGTCCCAGGTATGTCCGTTCGGTTGATCTCGATTTTTGATCTTATCTGATCTTTCTCAAAGTGGAAATGAGATTGGTCCGTTCCGCGCCGTGGAAGAATCCACTCTCGCACATCTCACCGCACACGAACGGTTGAGCGATGTCTTTGCGTGGTATTCTCTCATTGGAACGGCGGGGTCGGCCCTAGGCATGCTGGTGTGCGGTTGGATCATCAACTCCCTCGAGTCGATCCACGGGTGGGCGTTCATCCCCGCCTGCCGCATCATTTTCTTCGTCTATGCCGGGGTTGGGGTTATCAAGCTCATCTTCACCCTAGGTCTGAGCGGCAAGGTCGAGGTTCAGAAGCCAGAACCGAGTTCCGAGACTCGTCCTTTGTTGGCAGAGCCCACGGAAGAGGCGCCAGCACCGGCACCAAAGAAGAGCCTCTTCCCCTCGATCGAAAAGGATTTGTGGTCGTTGGTTATTCGTCTCTTCATTTTGTTCGGTGTAGATTCCTTTGCTTCCGGGCTGGCCTCTCTGTGAGTTGCTTCCTCTCAACGTATTACCAATCGCTAATGCCCTTCAGGTCCTGGATGACCTACTTCTTCAAGGGTAAGTTTAACTTGCCTGAGGGCCAACTCGGTACGATTTTCTTCACCACGAACCTCATCTCCGCGGCATCCATGCTCGTCGCCTCCTCTCTGGCCAAGCGTATCGGGAACGTCAAGGTAAGACTTTTGCACGCCTTCTTGTCCACATTGCTGATTCCCGTGATAGACGATGGTATTCACGCACATGCCCTCGGCCATCTGTCTGGCTCTGATCTCTGTCCCCTCGACTCTTCCCTTGGCTCTTACCTTCCTGGTCTTGCGCGCCTGCTCCCAGAACATGGATGTGGCACCGCGTTCTGCATTCCTCGCCGCTGCACTGCCATCTGACAAGCGCACTGCCATCATGGGGGCGGTCAACGTGGTCAAGACCACTTCGCAGAGCATGGGACCTTTGTTGACGGGAATTCTATCGCGCCATGGTCATTTCGGCGTCTCCTTCATTATTGCTGGATGTTTGAAGGTGGTCTACGATCTAGGCATGCTCTTCAGCTTTGCCGGCAAAGAGGCCGCTCGTCGTAAGCAGACCCCGCAAGAGGACGAAGAGACCAGCTAGATGGGCATCTCTCAGCTTTGGATTGGGGTATGGGGTTTCGGACTATCGCGGAATCTACGTTGCGGTATGCAGTGTAACTACCAACATCTTACAGGTATCTCAGACAAGGAGCAAAGGGATGAGATCAAAGAGATTTGGCCAATCGGATTTTCATTGCGTCAGTGATGTATCCAGCTTTATTGTCTGAATGCAGGCCTTGGGGGGGTTTCTAATACCGGATAAACCCAGTAGATCTACGGTATTCCAATATTCGATTGTAATTAGTGTATTGTTTTATTAAGGGCTCTAATGAAGAAACACCCCTTTGCCTATTAAAACACCCCCTTAGCTAGAGTAGGAAGGTTGGTGTCTAAAATTTGCCTAAATAACTGGTTAGAACTTGTCGCCTTTCTGTCCGTCCGCCCATAAAAATACGCAATATGCCAGATACCTCTGGACAATATAGAACCCTCTACCAAAACTAAATCACTCTTATAATAATGAATCACTATTCTATATTATCCATGGATGTTCCATGGTTATGAATCATGTAGTTATGTAATTATCTGTTAGGTAGGACCTCGGGACGAGGCTCGGGATGCCTCCACATCCTTACCTACCTAGGTAGGTAATTTTCCATATTGAATGCACTCCGAATTCCCTTTACCGGATCTGGCTTCCCATAGCATTCTATACAGTAGGGTTTCAACTCCTAAAGCTTCCAGCAAATGCTATTTTCCGACGCTTTTTGTATTACTTTTGTCTATTCATGTTATGCAGTTAAGTATTAACGATCTGGCCGATCAACTTTTTAACTAGGGCACCTCTGATATCTCTATGATACGCCGTTGATGTCTCCGTGATGCGTTGTTGATACTGTGCTGGACGATCTAACCACGGAAAGGATCTATAGATGGTTCGATCTTTTGGGATTTGGGGTTTGGTCCTGGGATAGTGGGGTTTAGAACTTGGGGCTTGGAATCTACTCTGGGTGTCTGGGTTGTCTAGGTGAGCTACCTACCTATGTAGGTAGCTGGTTGGGGGGAAGGGGCTTGGAGGTGGTGAGTATTTGGTGTGACCTCAAAAACCCTCGTTTTAAACCACTAAACCAAAAAGGTGCATACCTTCCGGAATGTGTATTTTGGGGCCTTTCTTTATCGTGACATTTGGTATAGATACATAGGTAGATATATACGGAGTAGAGTATGGTAATTAGAACCTTGGAAAATAATACTTATAGCTGTACTCCGTACTCCGTAGAATACTACAGAATATAGAATACTTCCGAGGTACAGAATACTGGAAGGATATTATATTGGCAGCAAGGTATCAATATAGTATATGAGTTAATACTATATTGTTAAAACCACTGTAATTAGTACATTGTTTTCATAATACTCATAACACCATAATATGTACTATAGATTCATTACCATGCAGGGGTTCCTTAAAATAGAAATACTGGTATTACTGCCGCATTTTACCGGTATCAGCCCTGATACCGTATCTGCTAAATCATGCACTCTATACCGTTGTTAAATTGAGATACTGTAGCAGTTAAGATACGTAACTAGAAGCTGATACATAACGATACTTTGCGTTATATAGTGCTACCTTCAAAGGTTGGTAGGTACCTATCCATGGATGTATATAATTGTGACTAATCAGCCCATCTCCCTCCAGGGCCTGGGCTACCTTCGGCGTGTAGGCGAGCCAAAGCTCAATAACACACCAAAGCTGTATAACACAAACTACCATCTTTCACAATTTAAGTCTTGATTTTGGCAAATGTTCAAAGTTTTTACATTGAAGAGTCCCACGTTGCAATTTGATAATGATCTATGAAGTATTGGTGGTGGAAAGTGAGGTTGAAAATTGACTATTGTCCTTTGTGTGTTATTGAGCTTTGGCTCACCTACACGCCGAAGGTAGGTACCTACCTAGATGGGCTGATTAGTCACAATTATTCCAAGGTTGGATCTCTACTATATAGATCTCCGTTCTATCTATTCTATTCCTCCGAAGTCACTACTTTACCAAATTATAACATTAATCCTAGGTAATACTCCTAGGTCACCAGTTGACCTAATGGCTCATCTCCTTTTCGTTTGGTCAGTCCCTGACAAGAGAGCCAAGATGTGATTAAGGAAGGAATTTGGGGCTTACCCTCAAAGCTGCAATGGCATAAGAGGATTGAGGAAATAAAGGAAAGCCACCATGGTGTTGTGAACACCCCGTCTGGTGATCCTGGCTGTTCCCTAGATCTCTCTCCTCTCTTCGCTTTTTCCTTCGCCTTTCTGTCCGGGATAGACAATGTCTTCGCTGGCCTCTTGCCAGCAGTAGTCAAATCAAAGGGGTCTGTCAGACAAACGAAACGATAGATGGTGGGAAACTCTCGTGATGATTGCTAGGGATCGGGGAAGAATAGATGAAGAGGGAAGAGAACAGAGAGAACAGAGTGTTGTTGCTCATAACCCTCTGGCTGTGTAGCGTTGATATTCAACTGGGGAATTTGAGATGACAATACTGTTCTCATCGGCTGTAAATCATTCAGATCGTCATACTTCCCGGATCCGAAGGCAGTTGAGGCATGTCGGAGAAGCGCCGGTCTCGGCATCCAGAAGTAGCTCCGGGCCGATTTTAAAATGATCTCATCTCGCAAGTTTCCGCGAATTGTCCAACATGGCTGCCCTTCGGATTTCTGCGACTTTGTCGCGCAATGCTCTCGCTTGTCGCTCACCCTTTCTCCGGGCTCGCTACAGCGTGCGCCTATCGCAGCCGTTCAGCACCACCACCAGCACTAAATATTCCACAACAGCTCCATTACTGTCTCTAGCCCCCAAGATTGAGCGCGGGGGCTCCAAGGTATTCCAAAATGCCGATGCCGCAGTGACAGACATCAAGAGCGGATCGACCATTCTCAGCTCGGGCTTCGGTCTGTGCGGAGTCGCAGGTGGGTGGAGCAGGGAACGACGGGAAAACAGACGGTAACAAATGCATAGAAACACTGATCAATGCGATGCACCGCCGAGGAGTCGATCGCTTACACTCCCTCACGGCCGTTTCGAACAATGCCGGCAGCGCCGGCAAAGGCGGACTCTCGACGCTCTCACAGAATGGTCAAATCGATCGGCTGATCCTCTCATACCTGGGAAACAACAAAGCGTTGGAGAAGAAGTACCTGACGGGTAATATCGCTATCGAGCTTTGCCCGCAAGGCACGTTGGCGGAGCGCCTTCGGGCCGGGGGTGCTGGTATTCCGGCATTTTTTACCCCAACGGGAGCCCGTATGTAAAGTCCTTGGTCGAACTCGGTGTGTGTGCTAATGAAATAGACACCTTCATCCAAGAGGGTAAAATTCCTGTTCGCATGGATGAATCAGGAAAGGTTCTGGAGTCTGGCAAGCCGCGTGAGACACGCGAGTTCAATGGAAAGACTTACCTCATGGAGGAGGCGTTGACCGGCGATGTAGCCATCCTGCGGGCTTGGAAGGCCGACGAGGCTGGCAACTGTGTGTTCCGGTAGGTTTCGTGGTTGGCATGCATCTTCAATATGCTCATTTGGTGCAGATACACCACTAAGGCTTTCGGTCCCATCATGGCCAAGGCCGCAACCCTTACCATTGTGGAAGCCGAGAACATCGTTCCGGTGGGATCAATTGACCCCAATGATGTGGACTTACCAGGGATCTTTGTGGATCGCATCGTCCCTGCGACGGATGATAAGCATATTGAGAACAAGAAGCTGCGGTCTGGCGAGGCTAGTGGCTCTGTGAACGACGCTGCTCAAATCCAAAGAGAGGTGATCGGTCGTCGGGCCGCCAAGGAACTGAAATCAGGATACTATGTGAATTTGGGCGTTGGTATTCCTACTCTGGCGCCATCTTTCCTGCCCAAGGATGTCAAGGTGTGGATTCAGTCCGAGAACGGAATCCTAGGAATGGTGAGTTGAGATCTCTGCGTGCCCTGCATTGTCTAACATGAGTCAGGGTGATTACCCCACGGAGGCAGAAGTTGATGCGTAAGATTCCCAACTCTTTGAACTTGGAAATTCACTGACATTCAACAGGGACATCATCAATGCTGGTAAAGAAACCGTTACTCTCGTTCCCGGAGCTGCCACATTTGACAGCACTGAGTCCTTTGGGATGATTCGCGGGGGCCACGTTGATGTATCTATTCTCGGAGCCTTGCAAGTGAGTGCCAACGGGGATCTGGCCAACTACATGATCCCGGGCAAGGTGTTCAAGGGCATGGGAGGAGCGATGGACTTGATCTCCAACCCCGAAAAGACCAAGATTGTGGTGGCTACCAGTCATGTCGCGAAGGATGGATCACCCAAGATCGTGCAGAAGTGCAGTCTGCCCCTGACGGGCGCCAACGTGGTCAGCACTATCATCACAGACCTGGTAAGTGTAGATCCTACGTGATGCTTGAGTAAAGACTGACTGGATTGCAGTGTGTGTTCCAGGTAAACCGGAAGACAGGGGAGCTCACCCTGACAGAGCTGGCTCCGGGTGTTGAGGTGGAGGAAGTGCGCAGCAAGACTGACGCACAGTTCACTATCGCGGAGACGCTGGAAATTATGGAGTAAATAGATGTCCCATTGGACTCGATCATATACATAACACCGCAACAGAATATAAGATTCTAGATCTACAGTTTCGCTCGCCCTGGAGCGAAGTTTGAACCCTGACCTTGTCCGATGGCTTCCACAATAGAGTCGACACTCTCCAATATCCACGTATTTCCTTCGTCACTCGCTAGCCATCGCGCCCCCTGCTCCCCCTCGACATCACTGGCCCACGATCCATCCTCGAGCGCCTTCCGTAATCCGAAAATATGCGAGGTGACCTGGGGTCCCACGCCGGTCTGAGATCGCAGACACGCCACAGCCACAATGGAGGTCAAAATACGTCCTGCCGACGCGCCCGTACCACGCTCCGGGTCGGAAAGCAGCGCACCATAGTTCGCATGCAATATATGCACGGGCAAGTCAGGATGAGACTCCGCCAGCTTGTTGAACAGCTTCTTCTCGAAGGGTCGGTAAATGGAGTCCCAGAGCGCATGGCCCCGCTCACTGATGCCCGAGATATTCTCCGGGGTAGGGGTGCGGGTGGGCGTGCGCGAGAGCTTGTCGTCCACTGCCTCCGGCAAACTAGACTTGAAGGCCCCGAGGCAGTTGATGGTGCGAGGAATGCCATTGAAGCTGATGCATTTGAGTCCCACTTCCCGGATCAGCTCGGCGGTTTCGACGGGCTTCTCTGCGCCGGCTAGCTCGAACAAGGCCGTGAGGGACTCCGGGGAGTTCATGGTCATTGTGGCTGCAGTCTACATCGGTTAGTCCCCTTCTGAGCCAGCGAACATAAGACTGACCGATAGTGCGACCCATGATGGTTGTGACACCTGGTTGGATTGCGCCGTTTGCTGAATCTTCTGGTAGACCGAGGTTATGTTTGCCGGAGCGGGCACAGTGAAGGGGCGAGCTGTCGGGGCATTGATCAACGCCTTGAGGCCACCTGAAAGCTTCGACATGTTTGGATTGTCCGGGGGAGGAAGTCGGGCCATCACACCATTAAAGAATCGGAAGTGACGCGCCTCGGAGATCAGAAGTGAAGGCCGAGGGGCCGGTCACAATACCGTGATACGGTATCATTACCGCACTCCGTAAAATCCGGGGAAAGTCTTCTTTTGCGGGGGGAAAGTAGAGCCGCGTTCTCTTTGATTGGTGTTCACTCGCTAGGGATTGGTCAACGGAAGTGGAATCTGCTTCTCGGGCCTAGAATTGGCAACCGGCCTGGTTCTCCGGTGCTTATTTACTCCTCTCCCCCCCTCCTCCGTCGCAGCTGGTCTTCTCTGCGATAGATAGTCGCCCAGAAAACCAAGAGCCGTCCTGCATCGCCAAGCAATTTACGATGGAGCCGCACAAACCAAGCATTGAGCAGCTGGAGAAAGCAATGGACTCGCCTCTCGATCGATATGGCGACTATGCCCATCAACAGAAATTGACCCGGAGGATCATGTTGAAGCTGGATACGAGGTAGGTTGGGGGCGGCTCCCGGGGATGACGAGACTAATGCGGTCTAGAATCCTCCCAATGCTCGCCCTACTCTTTCTATGCTCGTTCCTCGATCGGACGAATGTCGGGAATGCGAAAATCATCGGCTTGGAAGAAGATCTCTCGATCACCGATCATCAGTATGACGTCGGATTAGCCGTCTTTTACCTCACATACATCTGCAGGTATGGATGGCGGACACACAGCCCTGGGATATTGCTAATGGGTCTGAAAGTGAACTGCCGAGCAATTTAGTGCTCAAAAAAGCCTCTCCAAAACTTTGGTTGCCATTTTTGACGGCCGTTTGGGGAATTATCACAATGTGTTTGGGATTTGTCCAAAACTATGCCGGATTTGTTGCCGTGCGAGCTTTGTTAGGTGTGGCCGAGGGAGGTCTCCTCCCGGGAATGGTATGTTCATTTCTCAGAGCGGATCCAGTCGGAACTAAAAATCCATAGGTCTTGTATCTGTCTACATTTTACAGACGAGGAGACTTGGCGCTGCGAATTGGTCTTTTCTATACGGCGGCTTCCCTGTCGGGTGCCTTTGGGGGTACGTACCATAGTGACCTGTTGTGCGATAGATGTTGACACAGCCAGGGCTTCTTGCGCGAGGGCTGGCGGAGATTGGGCCACGGGGCGGCATTGAGGGCTGGCGCTGGATCTTAATCATCGAAGGGCTCTTGGTAAGTCGGAATGATGCCAAACCACGATTGATCTAATCGAGTACGAACAGACCTTTGTTTGTGGTATCTTGAGCTTCTTTGTTCTTCCGAATAGCCTGGAGACTGCATCCTTCTTGACAGTGGAGGAAAAGGCATTCGGCCGGGAACGACTGATGCTGGACAACCCTAGGTCAGCTGAAGGGTAAGACTGCTTTCATTCGTTTGAAATACGAATCATCTGACATGTATAGCACCTTGGCCTCCGAGGCAGAGTCATTCAAATGGTCTGAAGTACGCCGAGGAGTCCTCGATATTCAGGTGTGGCTCTCTGCCTCGGCGTACTTTGCCATTCTCTCCGGCCTCTACTCCTTTGGGTTGTTTGTATGATACATGCCCCCCTTGACCCGAGTGATCTAACATGGAAGCAGCTTCCGACGATCATCAAAAGCCTTGGGTTTGCCAAAGATGCCAATGAGGTTCAGCTGTGGTCTGTTATACCATATGCTGTAGCTGCTGTGGTAACAGGTTCGTGTGATCTTCCAATATTTCATCTCATTCTCTAACCCACGTCAGTAATTGTGGCGATCGTCTCTGATCGCCTCCGCCTGCGAGGCGTAGTGATGTTGTTCACCCTCCCCGTCGCCATCATTGGCTACGCCGTGATAGCCAACATCGATTCTCCGCGCGTTCAATACGGAATGACCTTCCTCATGGCCACCGGTCAATATGCCAGTGTGCCATGTATTTTGGTGTGGCTGTCAAATAATTCTGCGGGCCATTACAAGCGTGCTACTACGTCAGCCATGCAATTGGCAATTGCTAACGCCGGAGGTTTCGTAGCCAGTATGCTCAAGTGCCCCCTCTATTTGTCCAAAAGACTGATCAGACTATGTAGCCTTCAATTATCCCACTCGAGATGGGCCTCTGTTCCATCGAGGACACACCATCATCCTGGGATTGCTGGTGTTTGCATGGTTCACGTAAGTATACAGCTTCTACTGCACAACTTAGCTGACAGCTATAGGATTTTGCTCAATGTGCTCTACTGTGCGAAAATCAATCGTGACAAAAAGAATGGGAAATATGCCCAGTATGCAGGATATGCCGATGATCGCAACCCAGAGTTCATGATGGTCCTCTGAACACCCGCAGCACATATACCATAATTTCAAAGCAGACAAGCTGAAGTTACTCTATGTCCCCATTAAACAGTGTACCTCTACTCTGCTATACTAGGTGGTTGCCATCTAATTTGACCGGAGCTTGTGCTGAGAACTTGTATTAAGCCGGCCAGATCAAACGGCTGGCCAAGGGGAGAGCGGCAGCTGTTCCAACTGTCTCAATGCATGAATAGCCTTTTCTATATCAGTATTCGACTCTACAGTCTGACATCAGGCATGAGAAATGGGATGGGGAACTACCTAGTGTAGCGGGGGGACTACGCAATGTGATAGATCAATAAGCGCCCTACTAATTAATCGATCCTTCAGCATCGATGCATTTTGTGATATGTAAGGCCCCGCAGGGTTTTGACCATTCAGAGACCCAGTTCAGCTTCTAGGCCACCCATATGTCCTCCTCTCGCAAGCCCTCAGGGTCATGGTCCTATCGTCCTGTCTGCTTCGTCAGACCGCCATCGCGCTTTTATTCTTTCACTATGGAGGATAAAAGAAGCGAGGAACCTGCACTCTCCAATTGGACCAGGGTTTGGAACAAAGATAATGAAATTCATCAAAAAAAAAAGCGTCTTCAGGTTGAGCGAACTAAACACGTAAACAGCATCCATAATGGCCCCGGGGATGGACGTTCACCAAGCTGAAGGGAATTCTATTGAGTGCGAAGAGTGAGCTCTTTTGACTCAAGCGTTCTCCCTCCAAAGTGCAAATATTCCACCGAAATCAGGCTCAGTGCTGCTCGTAGTACCTTCAATGGGGCATGCCCCAGGTCCAAGGTGCCCTGAGAGTCCATGGGTATTCGACCTCCGGAAGCAAGGATGCAACTCTCTCTCTCTCAACTGAGGCGAACTCCAACTATGAACAAACATCCCTAAATGATCATTTCATAGGCCTTCGGTTGGCAAATCAGGTATCATTAGGGGTCTACATTAAGATCTGTCTCGTAGACAGGATGGAGAATTTGCTCGGTGCAGAGACTGACGATCAGAGGCCCAGTCGAGCTATAGATCCGACTTCAGAAACAAACTGACTCCAAACCCCATCTCAACGGGGGATCACAGCGGGGGATGTGCAAGACCATTATCTGATTCTCACTAGTCTCACGATGTAAGGAGACTCAGTTATCTTTGGCGCGTGGAGCAATATAGTTGGTCGTACAAGACGGGGAGAATTGCCACCGAAACACGAATTTGGCGAGTTGGTTGCTTGGGCTTGGGATCAAAGTAAGGAGAAATTACAGATCATGGTGTCCTTGGATTTTTTTCAATGCGAAATTCCGATTGCGACGAAGGTAGGGACCAATAAGGCGAATTTGGATCGAAGTACAGATATAAAGGGCAAGCCCATCTAGTGTGAAACCACGAAGCCCTGACCATGCTGCGACCAACTCATGCAACCTGCAATCCGTGGACAAAGGTTCTGCAGGAGCCTGCGCCACACGTGTATTCTTTCTTTGTGGACGATGAGGACAGGGGAGATCTGGACAACACGATCCTCGTTCGCCCGAACGAGTTGAACATCCCGTGGCATACTTCCTTTGAGGCGAGCCTTCAGAATAAACATTGGAAATCTGCAGAGTCTGCCGCGCAAGACTTGCTTGATCGAATTCTTCGAAGCAAGGCCGAAGATAAAGGCGTGTTGCCCGAGCATGTGAAGGCATCTACTTCCCCGGCCAGCCAGGCGAAGATGAACGAGCTTCTGAACACATCGGTCTCCATCTCGATCAATGTGTGGCCTTGGGCATCTGAAAAAAGAATCGGCTTGATTACCCAGGCTTGCATGTTGTTGTTTCTTCACGACGGTTGGTCTAGCCTATTTGCATCCCATCAGATCTTAACCATTTCTAGACGTTGCGGAGTCACAATTGTTCTCACAATTGGTGAGTATGCCAATCATCCAATGTGGGCATTGCTGACATTCCCACAGGGGAACACGATCATGGACGATGCGTTGAATGACAGCACTCTTGACCAACTGTCTAACTCGTCTCAATGGAGGAACCGGATATTTGCGGCCTATGCGAAGGATGTTATTGATGAGGACTCGGAAACAGGTCCAGAATTATTGACAAGTATGGTGCAATACGTTGAACTGACTCGCAACAAGCCCCCCTTCACAGCCAAGTTCGAGTCCTTCACCGAGTATCTCGCTTACCGCATGGTGGACGTTGCGCACCTGTAGGTTCATCAGCCTCCTGCACTCGTAGCTACACTGACCCTTCAAAGGTTTGCCAATGTCGCCACGAAATTCGCTTGCGAAATCCAGCTGAGTGATTTGGAATTGGAGCCACTGGCCACTTTGAATAGAATACACGGGTATCATGGGGCCATTGCCAATGATCTGTTCTCTTTTGCAAAAGAGCAACGGGTGGCGACCGAAAATGGAGATGCGCTGATCAATGGGGTGAGTACCTTGCAAAACCTCCTCGGGGTGGCGCCAGCATCGGCGAAGACAATGATTTGTGTTTATCTCTGGGACATGGAGGATCAGTTGCACGCGGAATATACCCGAATTGTAACGGGTGAGAAGCTCAACGGAAGCCAAGCCCGATATGCAAGGGCGTTGGTTCAAAGCGTTGCTGGAAATTTGTTTCATATGGCTACGCTTCCTAGATACGCAGTCTAGTTGAAGGCTTGAAGCCCTCGAGGGTTGGCAATAAGACATCCTTCTCTCAATACGATCTACACCCTTCCCCAATAGTCTGTACCTTTGACAGTGGTCTTGTCTGCCTTAAGTTGAAAGCGATCGAAATGGCAGGTATCAGCATGGGGTCAGACCTCGGGAGTAAAGAGATGTACCACGTACGAAACTGCCTAGGTAGTAGGGCCAAATAACATCACGTGTCTGGGGGATGGCAAGCCTAATGAATTGTACTATCCGCAATGCTCCTACCTAGGTAGGGCTTCAGGTGAAGTGGCTTGGGATGAAAGCTGAGGAATAAGATAGCGGCGAAAGCCAGGTCATAGACGCGGGTATAAAACAGGTCATCAAAAAGTGAAATCCGGATTGGCAAAATCAAGCCAATCCCAATCAAGCATATCATCCAATGGAACATCTGGTATCGAAGCACCAAATGCTGTACCGGCACGATTCACCGCATCAACAATCTGATTGTCCGACATGGCAGAGAAGTGCATTGGCTCAGACCAAATGTCCTCGGGTAGCCGCGGAGTATGATCTATCGGTGGCACCAGGTCGGGCAGATCAACGCTGGGGTGAGCTCGGGATTGAGATGGTAAGGCTGGTGCCCGGCGAATTAGCTCACGAAGAAATCGTCCGTAAAGCACCGAAGCACCACTTCGGTGGCTCGGTGTTGACCCGATTCTTTCAAGAACGCCGGCTGTTTCTTCAATCAGATTGCGGACACTGGGTGCCAGGCTAGATCTACTATCGCCTGGTGTGATGCTGAGGCTTAGAGCAGAGCAGGCGGCAAAAGATATCATGATGACAGTGTTGTTGGGCATTGATTTCAGTCGGGATTCGCCCTGGGTGGCTGCTCGAAGGACGTTCAAGGCGGAGGATAACCCGGCTGCCCGGAAAAACCGTTTCACTTCCACTGGGGCTGTTGGATGATTGATCACGCCGCCATAGGTAGAGAGTTGGGTGTGCGTGACCAAAATTTCGACGTAGGGTGGCAAGGAACGAGCTACAGGGTTAATATTATAGACTAAATCCAAGGCTCGGTGGCATACTCACATCCTCTTTCCCCAATTGCTGGAGCCCATGAGGCATACCATCCTTCGTAAAAGGTTTCAATCAATTGCTTGATTCTGTGGGGATCAGCCGGGGCATATCGCGATGTGGGAACGAACATACGACTGTGCAACCTCCGATCCAGTATCCACAACCCGATGGTTGTCACAGATCAGCCTGACTCTTCGGAAAAGTCCGTCCTAGTGCAATCAAATCAGATCCCTTGCGGCAATAAAACAGAGAACAGAATAATCTACCAGGTCTCTTCGAAGAATTGCCATTGAATTCATAGGCCCATCGCGCAAATCTGCAGCGTTTGACAAATGCCAACTATCACAGTTTTCGATAAGCATCGTAGGTGGGACGGTATAGCTTCTGCCTCGCGCAAGACATACGCTGTGAAGGATTAGCCGGCATCGATTTGAATGAACCCGCAGATAGGCTTACCCCCTCTCAACCACATATAGAGCAATCCATGCTCTTTCGCGTCTGCGCAACAAGCGGACACCCCACTCCGACGACGGGTCAACGTCATCAAATCCATCCATATGCAAAGCTCTCTTGGCGTCTATGCAGTCTGCTCGAGCCAGGCGATTCAGGAGCCCTTGATCAAAGCTCGAAGACGGAGAGACAATCTTGTTCAGAGATAGATCCAGAGCAACCGTCAGAGCCATCGCAATGTATGCACATGTATCATCATCTCCCAGACTCTCACCGGGAGACATCCAGGGTACGTTCACCATGAAGGCTAAAACAATCTCAACGGACTTGTGACGGTTGGTAATGATTCTCTTTGCAAGCCACTTGCAATGCCTCGATAGCCTCTTTGACAAGGCGGCAGCCGAAGGAAGAAACAGAGCAGCACTTGCCATGACAGATGTAAATAGAAACGCTGATTGGGCGCGCACAAAAGATGGAACGTGGACCAAAGGATCCAGGCCCCATCGAGTATGGGCCAGGTTTTGATAGAAACTGCTGGTCAATCTTTATCCGTCTACCTGGAATGCAGCCTGCTTACTATGAAAACAATGATTCTGACTCGTCAAAGGTGACCAACCCCAGATCCACGGGGTCCACCTCAGGACCGACATCCAAGTTCGCCCGTGCGGGGACAAAGAACGACTTGGCACTCGGCTCTGGAGGCGCATCCCTTTGGAATAATGTCTGGGGAAGCGCCGGTGGTGGGGATTTTGGCACATGCCGCACTCCGGTTGGAGAAAGCTGGAGATCCGACGCTCTCGCCAGCAGCTGCAGGGGATTCTCTGCATCATCCAAAGTCAAGCTCTCGTCGTGAACCGCACGAGGCGACGGCGAATTGCGTGGTTGCTCGGCCTCAGGAAACCCCTCCTGCATCAACTGCCCTTGCACCTGACTTAGCAGCTCTTGCAGGCCAGAGATGGCCTTTTGGGCATCCTCATTTTGGGACGTGTCGACTTTGGGTCGTTTGATCGCCTGTTCAATCTGATGAATAGCCTTCTCCAGGCCCTTCCTCTTGCTGTATCCGGGTCATTCAGTGTTCCTGGCATTTCCCAGTCAAGACCACTTACTTTTTGACGCCCTTCTGTCTGCCCAGGTGGTGGCTAGGTACTATGCACTCCGTGTTGGATTGCTTACATTTCTCACATTGGGATTCACCCGCGAGACGATTGCAGCGAATTTTACTCCGGCGACAACTTAGACAGGCCGCTTGTTTTCCATGCCCGGGGACTGGGCCCGAGTCGGCCTCCATGGGTGCGATGGTTGAGTGACGGGCATGGAGAAAGGATGAGGAAGGTGGGTTTTGGGTGAGCCCCCCTTATCAGACACTATTCTGCCGTCCCATCTAACAGCCTCTTGCCGGGCTAGCTCAATCGGTAGAGCGTAAGACTCTTAATCTTAAGGCTGCGGGTTCGACCCCCGCGTTCGGCTCTTCCTAAAATACCATCATGGTCTTTAAGATTATCTTTTTACTTTTTTTGTGCTTTTGCTTTTTTTATTTCAACTCTGGATTCTGATGTTCAGGTGTTTTTTTTCGAAATTTTCGAAATTTTCTTTCCAAGCTTCGGTGATTGTTCGAGCCTTTCCTTTCCACCTGAGCAATGTTGTGGTACCTAGTACTTTCAGGGTGGGGTTGGGAAATATATAGCTTTAGGACTGTCACAACTCGCGAACTCTCTTAAGCCAGAGGTACGTACATGCCTAAGTAACATTGGAACTTGGAAGGCGAATGATACTAGGTATGTAGAAGCGATAACCACATAGGTAGACATACGTACTAGGTAAGTGTATTCATAATGTACAGAGGACACCTGCCCAGGTGGGCATATAACTTAGGTAGGTAGTACAATTTTCCAACACTGGAAGGTGAAAAGACTGAAGTGAGTGGTATCAATTAAAGATTAGAAGTTACCTAGGTATATATAACATCATATGTTTTCTATGAGCCGCATACCCCCATACCCCCAAAGCACAACCCAGCAAAAGACAGATGTCGATCAACGAGCCTGCCCAATCTCTGCATCCCTATTCTCCGTCAACCCTCCGGAAGTCTGCACCGGCTGCGTCATCTCAGGAGCCCTCTCCGACCCATCCCTCGAAGGAGCCGCAGTAGCCGGGGGTGTCTCCAGCAAGCGAGGACCCGACTCGTGGGGCCTCTTACTACCCCCAACCCTGGCAGGTGCAGGCCCTAACACGGTGGGATACTTGAAACGGAATCCCCAGACAAAGTAAAGACGCAACTTGGTGCCGAAGCCCATCTCATCCCATCTCTTCTTGAGGATCTCTGCATCTTCGCGACTGCGCGCACGGAAACCCTTTCTGAAACAGAACAGGAAGAAGAGCGAAATGGGGAAGCAGGAGAAAGCCCAGAAGAGAGGGAACCCGCGACGGGTTTGCCAGCCGGTCATGAGGCGGCGGAATCGGACCCAGGCCTCGATCATACCCAGGAAGAAGAACAGACCTGCCCAGCCGAGGATGCAGATCAGGATTAGGGCGAGGCCCGAGATCCCGATACCCATTCCCCATTTGCTGGTGAACCAGTCGCCGTCGTCGTAATATCCGTAGTTATAGTAGCCGCCATAATAGCCGCTGGAGGTTCCATCACTCCCAGTGTACTGGCATCCAGCGCCATTATAGCTGGCTGTGGGCTTGTTCCAGTAGCTTGCGGAGCTGAGGTCCGCACTCGGGACTTGGGTTGGATCGACGTAGACGACTTCGTAGATGTACGTGGTTGGTTGGAAGGGCTGTGAGTTGTCGACGGAGGTGGAGGTTGCGACGGTTTCCCTCGGGAGGAGGTTGCCAATCTGGGCTGGAGGGGTGACGGCAACAGCAGAGGTGGTTGTCCACTGAGTGGAGCAGCCAGTCGGGGCCGAGTAGGTCACATTGACCTTGTAGATGGTAGTGTGGTAGTTACCCTCCTGGTCGAGGGTGTAATAGCTATCGCCATAATCGTAGCGCTGGACCCCATAGCCGGTAGGGTATAGTTTCTCAACGATCGTATAGCTGTCAATGGCGTCTGTGGAAATGATAGTGGACAAGGCCTCCTCGGGGAGTGTTGCCGTAGGACTGATTTTATTGACGTAAGTTTTCACATCAGAGGCGTAGACTCGAGTATAGAGCTCTTGTTCGTAGACATCGGTCACGATCCAAGGAGCTGCGTATACCTGAGTAATAGCGAGGGACAGGAAGCAAATCAACGAATGAATGAGTACCATCTTGTGTGGCCCCGGGGATTTTGTGCTTGCAGATGCAATGAGGCGCTCGCCATGGTTTTAATAGTCAGCCTCCCAGACCCTGGATTTTGCGGCTTTTGGGGGCGAAATCTCCAAGTCATACTTCGGTGGAAATTGCTAGCATTAAAGTAGGCTGGTGCGAGGGTGTGATTGGTGGTGTTTCTGGATTTTCACCCCCAAGTGGAGGGCGTAGTCTGTTTGCGATCTAGCCGCACGCTAGTCTTTTCGCCTCAACGCGAAGCGACATATACACTTTTGCAAAAATAGGTTTGCCCATGCCTATATGAGACAAATGAGATGCTGGGAGGAAGAGAAGCGAGAGGAGAGAATAGAAAGAGGCGAAGAGAGGAAAAGAAACGAAGAGAAGAAAAAGCCCAAACATCCAGTGTTCCGACGATGTACCCAATCGGCACTAGCCCGCCGAAAGGTGCCAAAAGAAGAAAAAGAAGAAAAAGAAGAAAAATCAAAAAGCAGGGGGAAAAAAGGAAGAAAGGCAAGGGAAGGATAGGGACTAAGCAGAAAAGTCCCAGTTCTCAAAAAGCCATATACGCCTGGAATTGATATGCAACCATAACTTCGTAGAACAAGAAACAACCTAATTAGCAGCCCGCAGTGCCCTCAGGCGAGCACCGAGTCCATCCTCAACTTCGGCATCCTGCTGAGGTTGTTTAACTTCCTCGCGGGGTGCCGCATCCGCCTCCAGATTCTGGCGCATGTCAACACCAGCATCGTCGGCTAACTGTTCCATCAGTCGGTCAACCTCCGTCTCACCCTCCGCACCGTACTCTTGCATAGAGACACCCTGAGCGACATCTTCGATCGCCGAACTGGCGATCTTGAAGTCCTCAGAGCGGGCCAGGAAATTGTTGGCGTGGGACACGAGATGTTCCAGGTTCACGCTGCGGGAGGCCGCATCCAGGCCGCGCGAGGCCATAGCCAGCGTGCGAGAGGTATCGCGGGTACTCTGGGCGGCTTTGAGTTCGTTGATAATGACGTCGGCGCGAGCAGCCTCGGACTTCAAGGTAACCTGGCGGCGTTTCTCGCGAACGGCGGAGGCGGCGTGGATGCGGGCGATTTGGAACTCGTGGTTCTTCATCGCCTTGTCGGCCTTGGCCTTTTCCGACTTGAAGGTGGCCTCGGCGCGCACAGCTTCTTTCTTGAGTCGATTGGAATGCAGCTGGTGGGAGTGAGCAGCGGGTTCGTTGGACTAGAGCGGGGGCGAGAAGTGCGGGGGGACTAGAAGAACTCACCTTGACATTTGTGCGGGCCTCGAAGATGGGGTCTTTGCGAACCATGATGTGTATAGCAGAATGAATGTCAAAAGTGACAGGGTAAGAGGATGCGGAGTAGAAGTTCGGCGCGTGGCAACGTCACCGCATTAGCGTTAGCCGAATGTGTACATCCGGATACATGGCTATTTTAGGCAATCCTCTACTCCGTATTCGGAAACTCCAAGATATCCACAGAACATGCCTTCAGGGATTACGGAGTATAGAGTACAATTTACTTAGTGAAAACGTCAAGTGCAAGATGAGCCAGTCAATTTTGCGTTAAAAAGAACTAATGATACAAATAGAACCCTCAGCGGCGTTTCCTCACAAGGGTGCTCACGCTGGAACTCCGGAAACTCCGTGTACGATGCATCTTTCCATTACTGCGTTGCCGTCCAGATTTGTTCCGCTGGTGTCGTTGGGTCAGGCTGAGACTATCGAGGGCCCAGGCCATGGTCAACAACAACTCCCAACTCGGTCGTGCCTCCGGGGCGCCAGCCGACCGTCTCGAAGAGAACGTCTCACTAACCGCTTGCTGCAATGCTCTGCCCGTCGCATCGCGAAGTGGACGCGCCATGGCTGGGCTGCAAGCTAACAGTCTGGTGAGAAGTCTCATCCGAAAGACCGGTGACGCCTTCGAGGACGACAGACTCGGGGTCGAAATCAACCATAGAATCAAAGGGAAATGCCGATAGATCTCCTCCGTCGAGAACGTCAAAGGCGAACCCGTCTTCAGGGAAAGAAGAATTTGGCTCAGCGGGTGAATCACCGTGGAACAGGCGGCGGAAGTCATCGTCAGAAAGAGGAGCTGCAACGTCATTTGCAGGTTGAGGGTCGGAGAGGTCGAAGAGGGGAAGAGCGCCTGCTCCTTCGAGGCCAGCGACGGACACTGCAGGTCGCACAACACCGCGGCAGGATGTTGTGTCACGTCGGAGGCCTCAGCCAGAGTGGAGGGCTTAAGAGTGGGGGAGTAGTCGGTGGCGGAGGGGGTGGGGAAGGGGATGCGCTCCATGGGGAGTTCATCGCCTTCTTGTTTGAAGAGAGTGGGGGTGAGAGTTGGGGATTCGATGGCGGGGGAGCTGGCCTTGGGGGTCACACTGCGCGACCCACGGACCTCGGCGGAGAGCTGGGCCACTTGTTGGCTCAGGCGGTTGTTCTCCGTCTCCATTTGGGAGAGACGCTGGATCAAGAACTGGTTCTGTTGCTCCATGCGAATCTTCTCGGTCTCCAGCTTCTCCATCTCCAGGCGCTTGCGCTCTCGGGATGTTTGAGCTGCCGCGCGATTCCGGAGAACCCGTTCTATCCGACGCTGCTCCTTCTCATCGTCTGTCTTGGCGCGTTTGCTACCGGCGTCGTTAGCAATCGTCCACTGGCAGGTTCAGGACCTATCCACATACCGAGGGGGGAGGTTTGTTTTGGGGGTGGGGAGTTCTTGTCCCCATGACTTTCTTTTCTTTGTGGGCTTCTTCTCGTCATCCTCTTCCTTGATATCATCTTCGGGCTCGGGTGAGTCCAGTGATGTATCTGCGGGGGAGACGGAGTAGAGCTCCCGATCTGGGGAGGTGGGCAAAGTGTCCATCGGGTTGATAGTGTCCGCCATTGTTGACAAGGTCAAATGGATAACCGGTGCCGGACGTGAAACAAGAAGATGTGTGTCTGAGATCAAGATGGAAACGACGTTATCATCACGATCGGCACCGGAGACCAGACCGGCAGGAGAGTATGAGTCAGCGTGAAGTGTGTGGAAAGGCCAGTTGTTCAGTGGGCGACGAGTCGCTTTAAGTAGAGGCCAGCGTGGTCTGAAAGGGATACGGGGGGGAGACAGAGCGGAACCTCTGTGGTACCTGGGGAGCCATAGTGTAGTGTATGGTGCCATGAGTAAAGGGGCTGTACCCGGTACGAGACATGTAAATTACACCTGGGCATTCATTTCGGCCCCTGCGCCCCTGCATTCCACGGTTCAGCCGGGCCTGGGCGTGCATTATGATTGGTTGGGGGCGAGGCCTCCTGTTTCTATTCTGGTGAGTGACTCGCAAGATACTACGCGGTGGTGGCGCACCACACACTCCGACGGAGTATCTTGTCCGTACCAGGCTGTGCATCATTGAGCTCTCAGCCCTTTCACCTGGGCACCTAAGGGACGGAGCACATCTTCTACTACTACGGAGTACGGAGTAGTGCAGTACTTACACCTTGGTGGATGTTCTATCACATCAGATGTCTCGACCAGTGTGGATCTGATGGCGAATCTACATACACTCCCCTGAATTTGAGGCCAATCAACTTGAAATCACGCACAGATCCAGGCCTAATTCTCCGTGCCCCTGAGGGATTCTCACATTGGTGGAACCCCGCAGGCCGAAGCACTTGGAACACCGCCGAAGGAGTCTATACTAAGGGGCTGAAACACTGAACTAGGAAAGGAGTCACTCCTATTTCTGGATCTGTAACTGTATGCCAAAAACTAGTCCCATTTTATAAACCTGACACCGGAATTATATGCAGACCGGAAGATAATCAAAAAAAACGCCGACCCAAACGTGCTCATGACCAAATCGTAAGCGAGATGCGACGTGGGAACTCTACATAGTCACGTCCATCGTGTCGTCGCCGGCATCCAGAGCATTCTGGGCCTCCGGGTCGGGCACAACCACACCACGTCCTCGGCCAGCGAGCAGTTCACGACGGACCTCCGGGCCAATGTCCTTGTGGCCACGGACCAGCAGCAGATCCAGCAGAGCCTCACGCTGATCCTCCGTGATGTCATTACGGTACCGCTGGGCAAAGACCAAGAGCGACTGGTGCCAGAGAACGGGCAGCTTGTAGTTCTTGGATCCGAGGCCGGGGCCGTCGGTCATCTGGTCCTCGGGGTTGACGACGCGGAAGCGCAGGAAGTGGAAGACCAGGGCGTCCACCACCTTGAAGGGCAGAGCGTACTTCTTCTCCAGGAAGACCCGAATGAACATGTTCACGGCACCGGTGCTCTCCACGTCCGTCACAGACTGCTCTGCGGACAGATCGCACATGCGGAGCAGCGCCGCAGCGGAGTGCAGCACAGGAACGGAGACACGGGCAATCACCGAGGAGACGATGTGAGCCTCGCGCAGGGTGCAAGTGCCGGCCTGGACGAGCGGGAACAGCAGTCCCTTGAAGAAGCAGGCGGGCTTATAGAGCGCCTTGCGCAGAGCATTGTAGGTGTGGACGTTCAGTTTCTTGGTCTCGTGGATCTCCTCGCGCACACGGTCCAAAAGCACGATGTTGATGAACTCTTGAGCAACGTGAGGCTTAGAGGAAATGAAAATACGAGTGACGGCGTAGACGGCGTTGCCGGTCCAAGACTCAGGGCGCGTGATGTCGAGCAGGGTCTGCCAGTTTGGCACAGAGGGGAGGATCTTGACGGGCTTGGGCAGCGGGCCAGACTTGTAGCGGGAAAGGATCATGCCAACCCTACCACCGATCAGCACGGAGCGCTAGAGAGTGTGCGGATCAAACTTACTTCTCGTATACTTCCACGGCCTTGGCGGGGATCTGGACGGCATCTTCGGGGATTCCACCACCTTGGACGTATGGGGCATAGGTGCCATCCCCGGACTGCTTAGCTTCGTGTTCGGCGATCTTCTCGAGGATCAGATCGGCGAGGTTGGTGGGCCCAGCGGAGCTGGGGTCTTTGGGGTGGAATATAGGGTCTTCCTCGTGGGGCATAAACTTGTTGAACATATCTAGATCATTGGGGTCGACCTCCTACAGCAGGGTTAGACGTAGTTGAATATCCAGAGATGAGGGTTGTCGCACCACTTGCTCGACTTCGTCGTCGACCCAGTCGTCAGTCTCAAACTTGTCCTCGTCGTCTGAGAAAGCTTCATCCTCCTCAAATCGAGTGTCGAATTCGAATGCGCCGTTGGATTGGGGCTTGGCAGCACCCTTGGCCTGCTCTGCGGCATCTTCGTCGGCCAATTCCTGACCGAGCTGGAGAATGTTGCGAGACATCTTCGCATCAACGAAGCGCTGTCCATTCTCACCCTCCTCCTCATCGGCGGCCTTGGCTTTGCCTTTCTTGCTGCTTTGGGTCCGAAGGTGCCCCGCGGATGTGATATCTTCGGCGAGAGGGTTGTGTCTGCGGGCCATGGCCGCGGCGCGGGAGCTTGATGCCTTGGGCATGATGAGAGTCTTGTTAGAAACCGTTGAAGATAATTCCCACGACCACTTTAGGCTTATCGAAGTACACGGCAACCAATGTGTGGTAATATTTTTTTTTTCTGCCCGGCGGTGCCCCCCCAAATCAGCCCACCGCCTGTACCCCACACCGCCCTGAGCCTCCTCAACTACTTTTCTGCCTCTCGCCCTTGACCGCCTGCATATCCAACAAGAGGGTGCTTGCCATCAATCCCCTTGACCAACAGACAGAAGAGCTGTGGAGGTGTTTGATCAAGGTACGTCGTTTGTGTGACTGGGGATCTACAGAACCTGGCACAATTGGCGCCTGAGGAAATACATTGGGCGGCACATTCAGTGGATGTGAGAAATGTCCTAAGCTGGCCATGCAACCTGCTCACTGACATTAATAGCCATTATCAACCTGCCGCAAATATGGCATCCCAAGCGCCCGAGTCCTCTGCACCCTCTTCCAATATCAACTCCCCAATCCTCCCGCCCAATGGTGGACCTCTGGTCAATGCGCAATATACCGACCTAAACGCTCGATCCTCTCCCGCTCCCTCCGCCCAAGGTGACGGCCGAGCCAAGCGAAACAAAAGAGACAGTCGCAAAAAGCGCGAAGCTAAAGGCTTAGATGCCGAAAGTGCACCACCACCACCGAAAAAGCGCGCCACAGCAGCAAATAACACAGCTCTTCCAAGCTCCAAGCTGCGGATCCTGCGCCCATTGCTCCTTGCAGAACCACATGATTCAGACCGATTCCCTCCACAGCCTCGGCAGCTGAATCGTGTGAGTCGAAAGACTTCAGAAGTTCTGGGCCAGAGCTGGGATTTCTATGAGGTTGTGGACAAGCTCACCAACAAGAATGGCTTTCGCTACAGCTATGCCATCTCTGACGCGGGCTTCCCTCATATCAAATATCGCCAGACAGACGTTCGCCCATATCATGCTCGCTTTAGCTTCGAGGATTCACCAGCTGCCATCTCGTTCTCGGAAAACGCCACGGCGGTGACCACCAATGATGCGTGGCACACTGCTCGCGCCAATGTATGTGCTCGGGAAGGCACCTACTACTATGAGGCTCGTGTGATTAGTGGGGTTGTAAAGGATCCCCAAGCTCCTCAAAATGGCCGGCCCGCTACTTCACCTCGCGGCCACGTCCGAATAGGGTTCGCCCGGCGGGAGGCTGACCTGGACGCGAATGTCGGGGTGGACTGCTACGGGTATGGAATCCGGGACGTGAACGGCGAAGTGGTTAACCGCATGAGATGCGAGTTCTTCTTTCCCAAGGGGGAGGCTATTAATGAAGGCGATGTCATCGGCATGCTCATCACGCTTCCACCCCTAGCACTTCACCAGAAGATTGTTGAAGGATCTTATGACCCGGTCACTGATGGAGATGGCTCAACTCAGCCACCCATGGCAACAAATATCATTCGTGATCGGATTCCTTTCCACTACAAGTCGGACTTTTGCTGGCAGCAATCCAATGTTTTTTCGACCAAACATCTCCGCGATTACGCCTTCAACTTGAAAGAAACACCAACTTTTGGGCCCCCTTCTCCCTTGAACAGCGAAGACCCCACCCTCCGCACACTCCCCGGCTCCAGCATCACTATTTTGAAGAACGGTGTTCCAATGGGCACCCCATTCAAAGAGCTCTACGCCTTCCTCCCACCCGCAAGCCGCTTGGCCAATGGCACTAACAACCTGGGCATCGGTGAGCGAGAAAATGCTGACGATGGCATGATCGGCTACTACCCAGCCGTCAGCTGCTATGGCGGCGGCGCCGTCGAGTGTCGCTTCGAGGGACCGTGGTGGGTTGGTCCGCCCGACCACACCGAGACCGGAGAGCCCGTTCGACCCATGGGCGAGCGGTTCAACGATCAGATCGTGGAAGACGTGATGGCAGATATGGTGGACGAGGTCGAAGCAATGTTCACCTGGGGTGGCATCGACGGCAACGTCATCAACAATGGCACCGAACTCGAGGGGGCCGGCGTTGTAGGCGGACCGGAAGTTCTGAAGGGGGGTGTCGGAGCGGCGCTTGACTATGCACTGACTGCCAATACCCCCGGCACCGCCGGGGCCTCTGATTCGGCAGCTAATAGCAACCGCGGGACTCCAGCTGCGGGCGATGTTGGAAACCTGCCTGCCCCAGAGGCTCTGAGCGTTGGCACAGCCGGTACTCCCAACATCGAAGTTCAAGGCGATGGCGATGGCGATGTTGAGATGACTTAATGCATATCAGATAAAAGTCAAAGCGACACTGGCGTTTAGGGGTTCACGGCACTGATATCGATACCAATCCATGATTTATTTTATTGATTATACATTGCTCTCTACATAAACGTACATCACACACACTTGCATTAGTCCAGGTGCTTCCCCTCGAGCATCTCACCCACTTTCATCACGAGGTGATCATCCCCATATTGGCCAATGACCTGAATTCCCGCCAATTCTGCCTCTTGTTCACCAGAGACTGTGACAGGAACTGAGATCGCTGGCAAACCCGCCAAGCTCGCTGGGACAGTGTAAACATCGGTGACATAGCCCTCCAGCGGCGATTTGGGCTTCGACTTATCCATCAGATCAGACAGGCGCGGTGGTGATGAAGGGGCGGTAGGGCAGATAATGACATCAACGTCATTGTCCTTGGTAATGCCCGTGCCGTGCGCAGCGAGCGGGTGCTTGGCCGTAAAGACAGCATCGAAATCCTTCTGGACGAGACGACGCACCCGTTGAGCCTGAATGAAGTAGTTATCAATGGCATTGGCACTCAGACTGAATGTGCCTAGGGTGATTCGTCTTTTGACTTCTTGTCCAAACCCTTCTCCTCGAGTATTCGCATATAAATACCCATCGGGCCTTCCATCGCCATCGGGCCCTTCAGCCCGAGTGCCGTAGCGCACTCCGTCGTATTTCGCCAGGTTCGAGGATGCCTCCGCCGGCCCTAGGACGTAATATGTCGATAAAGCATGCTTTGTATCGGGCAGAGAGATCGAGTGTATAGTATGGCCCTGTTTCTTCAAATGTGCCAGAGAATGCGCCCACGCGCGCCGCACCGACGATGTCATCTCTGACACGTTGTATTCGACTGGCACGCCGATTCGAAGAGGAGTAGACTTGAGTCGAGATGTGAACTGCGGGTTGTGTAGTGAATGCTGTATTCTTTCACGAGAGAATACGGAGAGACTTGTTGGATCGCGGTGGTCGTGTTCATTCAGGATATCTGAATATATCAGTCCTGCTTTGCTTCTGGTATGAGCTAGACGCCTTACCAAATATGTCCCGCACATTGGCAGTTGATTTCCCCAGAATCCCAACCGTGTCCAGTGAGTTAGCATATGCCACCACACCCCATCGTGAGATCAACCCGTACGATGGCTTGAAGCCCACGGTGCCCGTATATGCGGCTGGCAGTCTGACCGAGCCTCCGGTATCCGTTCCCAGCGAACTGTCCCCGTCAGCACTTGATACCCACCGATTGACGATTCTGACTCACGCATAGCATTGATCCGCGGCAACCGAAGCAGCACTTCCACCAGAGCTTCCACCGGCAGACAAGAACTCCCCACTCGCGTCGCGCCGCGGGTTCTTCACAGGCCCAAATCGTGAATTGATCGAGTTCGAGCCCATGCCGAACTCGTCCAGGTTTGTTTTCCCCGCCACGACGGCCCCCGCGGCCTCCAACCGATCGACGACGGTGGCATTAAATGGACTCGTGTATTTCTCCAAGATCCCGGACGCGCAGGTGGTAGGGAGGTCGCGGGTGCAGATATTGTCTTTGACGGATATGAGCCGGCCATCTACGGCAGACTTGGGGGTTCCTGGGCTCCATTAGCTTGCGAACGAGCGGCGGCGGCGACCACGGTACCTTGTTCCTGGCGCTCATCGGCTTCCCTCACGCGGTCCAGCCACTGGCCGGCGCGAGCCAGAGGAGTTATAAAGGCATTGAAGTTGTGTGAATATTGATTAGCGACGCATCTCTCAGCTTCGCGCAAGAGGGACATTTGGAGAGGTGAAAAAGAGAGGTTCGCGGGCCGTGTCCGCCTCAGTGTACGAAATCCTACAGAGTACAGCAATATGCAGCAATAGGTATAGTACAATCCCAGTTCTACTAGCAGGAATGCATAAACATACATTCAAACAGTACTATATTCCGCTGTTTACATCGTAGCCGTCCGATGACCTCACACTTCCTTCGGTCCGAGGTCGACTGAGACGTCATTCGGCTTTTTCGCTTCTTCACTTCTCTCTCATCCCAAGATGTTTTCGCGCAGTGTGTTAGGCGCTCTTCGCCCAGCTGTAAAGCTTCAGGCTCCATTGACCAGTCGGAGATACATTTCAGTCTACGGCTATACACAAGCTAAGGCGCTCATCTACTCCAAATATGGCGAGCCCAAGGATGTCCTGCGGTAAGAACGGGAACCCCGACGAGACCAATGCCCTGCTTATACCCTGCAGCCTCCACAAGCACTCCATTTCTGCACCACATGCAACTCAAGTCAACCTACGTATGTTGGCTGCGCCCATGAACCCGGCCGACGTGAACCAGATCCAAGGTGTCTACCCCAGCAAACCGCCCTTCCAGAGCGCTCTGGGCAATGCGGAGCCCGCCGCGGTCGGTGGAAATGAAGGTGCTTTTGAAGTCCTCTCTACTGGCGCGGGTGTCAAGAATCTCAGCAAAGGCGATTGGGTCATTATGAAGCAAACCGGCCAAGGTACTTGGCGAACACATGCCCAGCTGGACGAGTCCCAGCTCATCAAGATCGAAAACAAGGATGGCCTCACACCGCTGCAGGTCGGCACGGTCAGCGTTAACCCGGTAACAGCCTACCGCATGATGCGGGATTTCTGTGAATGGGACTGGATGCGCGCGGGCGAGGAATGGATGATCCAGAACGGCGCCAACAGCGGCGTCGGCCGGGCGGCGATCCAGTTTGGTCGCGAGTGGGGAATCAAGACGCTGAATGTGGTCCGGCAGCGGAAGATGCCCGAGGAGACCGAGGCGTTGAAAAAGGAGCTCAAGGAGCTCGGTGCTACCGTGGTCATCACCGAGGAGGAAATGATGACCGGCAACTTCCGGGATATGGTGCATGAGTATACACGCCAGGGCCGGGAGCCTATTCGTCTTGCTCTGAACTGCGTGGGCGGAAAGAACGCCACTGCGCTGGCAAAGACCCTGGCCCCTGATTCGCACATGGTCACTTACGGCGCCATGTCGAAGCAGCCTGTAGCACTGCCCTCTGGACTTCTGATCTTCAAGAACCTTTCCTTTGACGGATTCTGGGTCAGCAAGTGGGGTGACAAGAACCCGGCCATGAAGGAGAACACGATCAAGGACGTGCTCCAGATGACTCGCTCTGGAAAATTCCAAGATATCCCCGTCGACAATGTCGAGTGGAACTGGAACACCGAGGGCCCCGTGCTCTCCGAGAGTGTGCAGGGTACTCTGGGCGGATATCGCAGCGGAAAGGGTGTCTTCACTTTCACCGGCGGCGATGAGTGAAAACTGTACAATACGAGGAATCAAACATCATACTACTTTGCGTACATAGCTGGAATAATTGTCATGGATCAAAAAGGTCTGTATAATCAACACTTCCAGTTCTTCTTCACCCAGTCCAAAATCAGGTTCGTCAGAGACATCTGCGGCATATACACGTCGCTCTCCTTGGCAACATCAATGTCCAGGCCGGCAAGTTTGCCGGCCTGGACCACATATTTCTCGATGAAATCTATGTAGACCAAATCTACAGTCTCTGGGGTCTCCGTTGAATTATTCAAAAGCACCTGGAGACAGTTCGGCACTCGGTAAAAAGAGATGGGCTCGTGAACAGTATCGTCACCGTCCTTACCTGCATCATCCTCGGTGGTGTACCCAGGCACGAGCTTGCGGCTGTCGGACAAGGGGGTTTGGTCAAACGCCACCGGCTCTTTGTCAACCACCACATCTTCAGGGTATGCCAGTTGTTCAGGAGGGGCCAATGTTGTGGGAGAACTACCCTCCTGCGATGCCTGCAAAACCTGAGGTTGTTTATTTAAAACCTCAACGATAAGCTGGGCTTTGTCAAAAGGCACATTCTTCAAATATCGGAAACCACTGGTGAATGGCGACAGAATGAAGGTCGAGTCCTGAGTGAAAGGCCCCGGGAAGATATCAAATCTCAAGGCACCGGTATTGACCACGGCCAGCGTGGGAACATTGACACGACGTTCATCCTTGAGTGAATCAGCCAACACCTGGGTCTCGAGCCAGGTATACAAGCTGCTAGGACTCGGGTACTTGACTCGCGACATCCAAAGCTCATGTGGAGCGCACCCATGAACTTGATCTAGATGGAGGTCGGTCCGTGCTTTGGCGATCAGCCGGGAAACATTCTGGCCCTTTTCGGTAGGGAATGACTTTTCATCAAGTCCGGTGTGGTGATAGTAGGAAAACAAATTCTGGTCAATGTATCTTCGCTTGAAGACAGGGCTGGCGACTGCACCGGAGAGATGAGTGCTCTTAGGTGTGTTCAGACCGTCGATGGACGCGAACCCAACAGTCTCCATGAATCGACCACTCGCCAGTCCAAACGCCTTGGAATCATACCGCGCATAATCGCGGATATGCTGATGCCCACCGAAGAAGTGGATTGGGGTATCCCAGCGAATACCTCGGATCTCCTTGAAGATAGCCTGGTATTCCGGCGAATGGACAGGCACATGGCCGATTACGAGGAACAGGTCCACCTCTTTGTCTCGAATAGCTTCCTGGAACCAGTCCTCTTTGATAGTGGAGGACACTTTCTGAACGACTGTGTTGTTCCAGTTTCCGGTAAAATCGAACAGGAAGCCAAATGCAACCACCCGGATGCCCTGTTTCTTGGTAGTAAACTTCTTGTACCGTGGGGCGAGAGGCACGAGTTCCTTCGTTGTAGGGTGAATGATATCAATGTTAGATGCCAAGTAGTTCCCCCGGAAGTTGGGAACGGTGGTGAAAAACTCCGCCTCGGAGGTGTTCTTCTTATATAGTTCATGGTTTCCCGACGTTAATAAGTCGATATGTTGGTGTCGGAGTATGTCTGAGAGGTAGACACCCTTTGGCTCGGACGAGTCATATAGGCCATTTCCTTCGACTCTGTCACCGGTATCTATGACCAACAGATCTTGCCCCTGTGCTTCTGCCTTTTCCCGCATCCGGGTTGCAAACGATATATAGTCTCCCCAATCTGCGGAATACGAGGGCCTGCCAAGGTTAGTGTTAAGCTCATGGCTAAGCAGGACCAAGCATACTCCTGCAAATGACCGGCCAGCCAGCCATGTGTATCTGTGGTATGGAGGAAATTTAGTTGCCCGAAATCTAGGGATCGCAGCGGAGCGGAGATGGGGTCGGGTGCGGAGGGTTGAGCGGCGAGCGCCGACGGAAGTAACCAAAGGAGGGAGAGCATCATATCCTTTCGATGGTGGTGATACTGCAGCATCTCCTGTCAGATTAAATAGTAGAGATGAGAGGACCCTGGGAGCTGTGCTAGAACCCCCGGAGTACAGTAGATGAGAGGAGACGATACCTCGATGATTGTTGATAAGAGCTCCGGGTACCGTACACAATACCAACGCAGGCATTAAGGTGGTAATACCAATACCGGTGAGCTGCGACTTCTGAGATCACGTGCGGCCCAACATCTTTGGCTGCAAATCGAAGATTGTTACGGCGAGCAGTTTTCCGATTCACTCACCACCCTTCCATTCAATTGCCTGTGCGGTCCGTTCCGGTCTGCCATTCTTGAGTCTTTGTTTCTCTCCCTTCTCTCAATCGATTAAATCGATCACATTTCCGCAATGGCAGCTCCCCGACTTTTCCGCCCAACAGCCCGTCTGTTTTCTTCGCGCCTTGCTTCCACCGCTCTGCGCTCCAACCTGCGCCAGTCTTCTTGCGCCCCGGCTCTGCGTCGCGGATATGCCACTGAGAACGGTACCAAGGAGGTGACCGTCCGTGATGCCTTGAACGAGGCCCTGGCCGAGGAGTTGGAACTCAACCAAAAGACTTTCATCCTTGGTGAGGAAGTCGCACAGTACAACGGAGCGTGAGTCTTGCGCAGCAGATGATGTGAAGTCGCAAAGAGACGGTTATTGACTTTGTCCTAGTTACAAGGTGACGAGGGGTCTTTTGGACCGTTTCGGCCCCAAGCGGGTTATCGACACCCCCATCACAGAGGCCGGTTTCACTGGTCTCGCCGTTGGTGCTGCTCTTGCTGGTCTGCACCCCATTGTGAGTTGCCACAGCCATTGGGAAAGGATTGTCCAGCGCATTCGCTAACCGTGGATCCCATCCAGTGCGAGTTCATGACCTTCAACTTCGCCATGCAGTCCATCGATCAGATCATCAACTCCGCCGCCAAGACCCACTACATGTCCGGTGGTATCCAGCCTTGCAACATCACCTTCCGTGGCCCCAACGGTTTCGCCGCCGGTGTCGCCGCTCAGCACTCCCAGGACTACTCCGCCTGGTACGGCAGCATTCCCGGTCTCAAGGTCGTCTCTCCCTGGAGCTCCGAGGATGCCAAGGGTCTGCTGAAGGCCGCTATCCGTGACCCCAACCCCGTCGTCTTCCTCGAGAACGAGTGAGTATTCCTCCAGAACCCTCGGGATAAACCGGCCACTAACGAGAATAGGCTTATGTACGGCCAGGCCTTCCCCATGAGCGAAGCCGCCCAGAAGAACGACTTCGTCCTCCCTCTTGGTAAGGCCAAGATCGAGCGCCCCGGAAAGGACCTGACCATTGTCTCCCTCTCCCGCTGCGTCGGCCAGTCCATGACCGCCGCCGCCGAGCTCAAGCAGAAGTACGGTGTCGACGCTGAGGTTATCAACCTGCGCTCCGTCAAGCCCCTCGATGTCGAGACCATCATTGCTTCTCTCAAGAAGACCGGCCGCATCATGGTCGTTGAGTCCGGCTACCCCATGTTCGGTGTCTCCTCCGAGATCCTCGCCCTCTCCATGGAGTACGGCTTCGACTACCTGACCGCCCCCGGTGTCCGTGTCACTGGTGCTGAGGTTCCCACTCCTTACGCCGCCGGCCTCGAGGCTATGGCCTTCCCCCAGGAGGACACCATTGTCAGCCAGGCCGCCAAGCTGCTGCGCGTGTAAGCTTGAGGAGCTCCTAATAATATAGCCATGTGCCTAGTACCCTTTTCTCATCTGTTCCATTTCATGTCTCTGTTTTACCCTGCTTTTGTCGACCAACGCTTTTAGACAGATTTTTGGAAAGCATGTATCATTACATTACGTCCAGCTTCCGGCCTCTGTAAAAAGATACCTAGAACCTTGGAATAGTTCATTACTCTTGATATTCTGTGGTGTTAATGCACCTGGAGGCACATGCCCGGGTATTTACCCAGCGTACCAATCGAAAGTGAAAGCGTAAAGTAGCCATAAAACATTCATTACTCCATATATCCCATACTCCAGTCGCCTTCCTGTATCTTCGATATACCCACCAGGCCCTCAGGCCGTAATGGGGACGTTCGGGGCGGCACAGCCGTCAAAACAATCCGTTGGTCGACGAGGATCGTAAAACGCCGCTTGGCCGGGGCCATACCCTTCATCTTCACTTTCCATGTCGCCATAGTTCCCACTCTGCTGAGCCTTGGCGACTGGCAGAGACTCATGTTTTGATTGAGGGGCATCATCATCATCTCCCAGAACATTCTTTCTGACTGGAGCTGCAGGGGCAGCTGAACCCTTCACAGCGGCAAAAGAGCTCTTGAATCCCCCTTTCTTGAAGCCAGCCCCAGCTGTGCTAGTGCTGGTCGGTGCCGCATTGTCACCGGGGGTCTCAATCACCTTCAGACCGGCCTCCGCGTCGGCCTTGCGTTCTGCCCGGCGTGCCTTCTCCGCTGCATTGGGGTCCCGCGATAGCTGTTTCAGATCTTGTAGACGCTTTCTATGCTGGTGGTCATATGAACCGATGTGAGCCTCGTATTCTGGGTGCCGCGAGTAAGACTTGTTGCATAGTGTGCAGGTGAATGCGCTCAGCGCAGAGCGCGCGGACTCGGTCTGGGACGGTTAGCTTGAGCTGTTGAGCTAGGGTTGGGAGGCATGGGAGGCGATACTTTAGGAGCAGGGTTTGTCAGTCCTCGCTATGAGGCATTAGCTTAGGTCGTTGAAGCATCTCGATTACCATACCGGAGCCATGTCGAGGGAGGTTGCGGAGGTTGCGGAGGTTGAGCCTATCACAGCCGCCTTGTTTTTTCACGACTCAGCAAGATCGTCATTCCCCAACTTTTCTTTTTTGACACTTTTGGCACTTCACAATTGATGTTTTAACTGTTTTGCTTTGGTCATCGACTGTTTATTGCATGTGTTCTCGACAATGACCTCCCACGAGCTTCCCAAACTGGAGGAAATCGACACGAAGTCCATCATCTCCATGCAAGAACTAGACCCCTCGCCCGTCGACGATCCGGTGGAAGGCGAATACTTTCCGGAGCCTTCTGCTCAGAATGGTGGCTACCCTCAGCTGGGCCTGAGTGGCCATCGCTGGGACAAGTGGTGTATGTCCGATGCCAGAAACAGCTTGACAATGTCTGACCATGGCCAGTGACCCGTATACAAAAATACTCAACTTACCCACCGACGGTCTTTACCATCTTACATTTCACCAATACCTCTCTGATTCCACTAGTGACTCGCTCCGTCCCGGCGAGCGAGTCCTACCTGTTGCTCACGCGACCTGTCTATCAAGCCCCGGGCCTTGAACATCTGATCCTCACCATCCCCGTGCTGGCACACATCATCTCCGGAGTAGCGCTGCGCAACATTCGTGGAGCACGCCGCGCGAAACTCTACGGCGCCGAGACCCGCGCCCAACGCAACACGCTCTACTTCTGGCCGCGCGTGTCTCTGCAAGCTCGCTCGGGGTACTTCGTCGTGCCCTTAATTGGGCTCCACGTCCTAGTCAACCGGGCCACACCGTTGGCAGTCGACGGCGGCAGTTCGGGCGTGGGGCTGGCGTATGCCGCGCATGGCATCGCTCGAAGCCCCATGTTCTGGAATGCGTTTTACTTCTTCTTTGTGACCGCTAGCGTGTGGCACTTTGTGGGCGGCTGGGCAACCTGGATGGGATGGCGAGTCACTACGGTGCGCAAGGAGCGAGGCCAGAAGCCTTCCCTGGATGGGTTACTCGGGTTTGCGGACAGCACGACCCGATCCAAGAGGCAGCGCAAGATGTGGTGGGTGGTCAATGGCATTGCGGCTGCTGGAGCAACTTTCTGGCTGGCTGGGGCTCTGGGCATTGTTGGACGTGCTGGTGAAGGTGCTGGTTGGGAGGCCAAGGGCTGGAATGACATGTATAGTCAAGTCCCAGTCATTGGGAGCTGGCTGTGATGGGTGGACACACCCTTTTCACATAACGATGTACTGAACATGTAGATTAATACTTAATATATAAACACTTGAATGGCCGACAGGAACCAGCCCTGGAATTGAGCCTGAAATACGACCGATTTACAATGCATCTGCATTATTCTGATGATACGATTTAAAGGTATCTCCTCTACGCTATTGGCTAAAATTTATACATGAACATGACATAGAATTTAGGACAAGCATGCCCTCAAGCCATCTTTGGACGTTTGTTCATAAACCCAGATTCCGGGCGAGAACGCTTCCGCTCCATCGCCTCCATTTCGGCTTTCATGATGCGTTCCTGTTCAGTCATTTTCTTCGGGGGTGCAAGAACAGAGCCCTTCTTCCCAGCCAGAGGATTCTTCTTAGCCGCGGCGAAAACATTCTTGGGCTTCTGGGGCCCCATTGACATTGAAAGTTTGACAGGTGCCGGGGCAGAGGCCGCAGGGGAGTCAGTAGCCTCAGCTGGAACATCAGTTGATTCGGGGGATTTCGTGACTTCAGCCGCCCCCGGTGCTGTAGTCGTCGTAGTTGTAGCCGAGTCAGGCTTTGGCTCGGTCTTTTTCGCGCCAAGTCCATGGAAGTCCAACTTCATCTTTTCGCCTTCCTTGCGCTGCAGCAGTTTTTCCTCGGGATCTTCCTCTTCTGGCTTGGCTAGTGCAGCGGCCCGTTTGATCTGATCCTTAATCTGACGCTGTTCTCGTTCTTCGTCGCCCTTTTCCTGGCGTTCCTTTTTCAAGACCGCTTCCCGGCGACGTAGTGTTTCCGGGCTATTATCGATCCAAGCAATGAACAAGCCCTTCTCGGTATCTTCCACCCGGCATTTGCCTTCTCTTCCTAGATGCGCGACGAATTGTGACAAGCTCTTCCATTGCGTACTGTTCATGTGAATATGTTCCTTATCGGAGACAATTTGTTGGTAAAAGTGGTTCGCGTTGATTGACTTGGTACCATGTGTAGTGCGAAGAAGCTCTGTGAGCATTGCGCCATTGGTTAGCCTTGCGCGCGCTGGATATTTGAAGGGAAGGCTTACCTATGAAGGTTTTCTCGAAGTCCCGACTGTAATTTGCTATGTGCTTGCGCGGATCTTCGCCAATGAGCATCATCTGTCGAACGTGCGCTTCTGTTTGGGTATGACACTTGAAACCTGGGGCATGTTAGTTACTTTGGTCACTGACGAGGCGGAACGTTTGGAGACTATCACAGGCCGAGGTCGGCCACAAGTCTATGGGAAGGGCCTTGCCCACTTGGGAACCCACCATTCTCGTCTCTCATTTGCCTATACGGAGGGGTCAGCCATGGTCTTTGCGCAATAGAATGCTTCGGAAACTGACCTCTCGCAAGCCTGACAGTACCATCGCAGGCGTCCTAGTCCCTTGGACTTGATCTTGTTTCCGATAGCCTTGGTGCTACCTGCCTCGGCGCGTGGCATGATGAGCGATCGATTGCGAAGGAAAAATTGTGAAAAATGAAAAGCGTCTGTCTGTGAAGAGGCGTTGAATGAATTGGAGATAAAAGTCCGATAAGGATGCGATTACGGGGTCACATGACTGGAAATTCCCAAATGGGATAAATGAACTATGAAAACCAAACTCCTGTCCTACGCCATCCCTGCATCCTGGGCTTCTCAAAGTAGCATACATGATCGGACAGCACATGTAGTCCGGAGCTCGTATAAGTTAAATGAACGCTGGTATCACAAAATGTATTCGTGGATGGCAGACGGTCCACCCTCGTTGTAATCAGCCCGGCTCATGTATCCCTTGCTGAGACCCTGGTCAACGACGAAGAAGACCTTGGCGGCCATCTGAGCACCAAGGAAAATGGCCTCTTCTGACCCATGACCGCTCTGAGAAGCGCCCGGGTTCACTCCGGTATTGCCTGCACTGGCGCCGGGGGCGTTGCTGTTGCCCTGGTCTTTGAAGTCGGGGAAATATTCGGGGAGTTTCAAAGTCTTCGTTGAAGTTGGAGTCTGAGAGTGGCCGGTAGAGCGATAGTGAGAGGCCATGTTGGGATCCATGGAGGGAGTGCCGGGCATCACGCCAGGCATGCCGGGGTTGTTGTGAGTGGCGGCCACGAGGAGGGGGTTGACGCCATGGGCAGCTGGGTGATACATGGGCCCGGGTTGGCCCATGGGTGCTGGGGTGTTGGTGCCGCCAGTTGGGAGAGGGGTGGTGAAGGTTGATGGGATCTCCGACGTGAAGATGGTGCCAGAAGGAGATAGGATGAACTTTTGAGTGATGACGCCAAGTAAAGCTTGGGTGAAACCTGTTTGATCACGATGTCAATCTACTGATTCTTCAAAGTTCGAGTGGACTCTTACCTTTGACTTTGCTTCCGCATCCGACAATGATTAAGGAGTCCCAGAGCTCGCTGCGTTTTGTGGCGTCCGGAACGGCAAGGATAGTGTGGTGGATTTGGGTAGCAATGTCTTCGAGAATTCCACTGGTCAACCGGTCTCCGGTGTTGGAACGAGGCGAAGTCAGGAGGAAACGTTCAACGCTGACCTCAATGTCCCGAGTGTGGCGGACGTACTGACGAGGACCGCTGGCGGCGGCCTTCTCGCCCTCGAGCGGCGCGAAGCCCTCAAATTGGAAGGAGGCTTTCTCTTTCTTTGAGTTGGGTAGACGAGCTGCCTTAGGGTCAGTTGCACCCTTCTTATTAGTGGTCTTCTCCTTTTCGATGTTGGCCAAATATTCAGTGGTGTTGCCGCTGACAATGGCAGCTACATCGAGAACACCCTCTTCTTCGTCCTCATTATTTGCATCGGTCCCTGTTTGGGTTCCGTCACCAGGACCACGAGGGGCAGAATCATTTGCGTCCGGACCGCCGGTTGAAGCCGCCGCGGCAGGGTTAGCGCCCTGGCGCGCGGTGGCGGCAGCTCCGGGGAGTGGTGTGCCTGGCGGCAGAATCTCGGTAATGTTGCTTCGTTTCAGCTGCTCACACATCTCTCGAGTGAAGCCCTTGTGGCCGAGAAGTTCGACCAGCCGATCGGTCATAGCGTCTCCACCGCAACCTTCCAGGGCGATTCCACGGCCATGTTCGTTGACTGCAAAATCGGTCACGGCCGTCACATCCACCTTACCCTTTCCAACATCAATAACGGTGGCCGTCGATGTGCCATAACCGTAACAAGCTGCGAGGGCCGAGTCCATCATGCTGAATGCGGGTGCCTTGAATTTCTCAAAGATAAATTGCGCAATTGCTTCGCGATCGCGCGCGGACCAGGCAGGCTGTCCAACGAGCATAATTGGGGTGTGGAAAGGTGGACTCAGGGTGTTGTAAACGTGGGTGAGAAGGGCAAAAAAGCAGGGCCAATCGACGATGCGCCCGTTTTGGATTGGGTAGATTGCGCCTTCGTCAGAAGCTACATCTTCCTCGTAAAAGATCTCCTCGACGGTCTTGGTCGATTCGTCAGGATTCTCAGTCGCTCCAGTCTCGCCTTCAGGCTTGACGGCAGCTTCAGTAGCTGGTGTGGCGGCTTCCGCATCCTTCATCTCCACGTCGGGCTTAGGGGCGGTTGTGCCATTGCTGATTTTGACCTGTTGGCGTTTCTCGTTCACTCGATAGGGTTCATACTCTCCCTTTTTCTCGGCAGGGAACATGCGAGTTGGGAAGCGGGATTGCGCGGGCGTAAACGTTTCGGGGAGACCAAGCTGCGCCAGGGTCATTTGCGAACCCGGCGCGATAAGCTGCAATGGGTTAGTCGTGATCTGGTAGAAGCATCAATTGACATACAAGTATATGCTCATCCTTGAAGGGAGGCATGATGGTTCCTCGGAAGGGGCGTTGCGGGGCTGGCGGAGCTGTCTTGCGAGGAGTACGAACGCGTTGGCTCGATTTGCGAGGGTTGCGCTTTGGTCCCATTGCGGCTTAGTGTTTCCTTGTCACGTGAGTGGATATGTGGTGCAGGTGTGGCGGTGCGAACGTGGCGGTGCGAATGTTGCAACAACTGCGATCGTTTGCTCGTCGATCCGTCGAAATCTCGAAATACGGAGAGATGTTGGGAAACAATCCTGCACTGATCTAGTGCTTTGCGTTCTCCTCTGATTTTCCAACGTCCACGGGTTGGAGGGTTACCGAGATATGAAGCATAGGACAGTGGTCAAGATCTATAGAGCTGTATTGAGGATCAATACGCTGTTTCCATACAATACGATCCATAGAGGCTACATTATATTCGAATCTCCATGGTGCCCAGGCGTAGAACAATGTGTTCAATGGTCAATGCATTGCGCTTTCGCGCCGTAAAAATATATTCCGCCCTGACCCATTCTTCAAATATGAAAAACCACAGAACTCCAGAGACCCCAGTACCCAGGGAAATACACAAAACGCCCATCCTTTTCGCTCTATGGCCAGCATGAGTCGTCGTAGTGTCTATTCCGGCACAGAATTATATTTGTCGGTTGCAGATCGGAATAGCTCCTGTTGCTGCCGAAGAAGCTCCTCTTCTGTGAGGCCGCTCTGCTCCATCTTGCTCTGCTTCTTCTCTCGTGACTGGAAGCCACCCCAGATTAGTAAATGGCTGTTTCACCTGGTGGATACGAAGCTTACCTTCAACTGTTGCTTGTGTTCCTCTGCAACAGCAAGTACATCTGCAATATAATCACTGAATCCAAGGTCCCGGAGGGCCTTTTCCACATGTTCGCAGGCGATAGTCTTTTTGGCCTCTTTCTCGCTGATATCGTTGGCTTCCGAGGAGATCAGGGTGATGAATTCGACACAGCATTCCATCAATAGGTCACGCGCATCCTTGGAGAAGGTTTGGCCAGAGCTGGGGGGTAGGATCTCTGTGATGATCTTTTGAACCGTCGCTATCGCAAGACAAGTTAGCAACCCTTCAAATGCGCGTCTGGCTATGAAGCTGCCGGCGCATAAAGCGCCACATCGATAAGCACTTGAGGCAGTCCACATATATCTAAACATACCTTTGGGCAGTGACAGATCATCGTTTGCTAGTAAAGAAGGTCAGCAGGATGCACGCGCTCGGATTACCACATCACTTACAGTTGAACTCACGGTCCGACATAGCTGGAAAATTAGACACAAGAGGAAAGAAAGAAGCTCAAAGAGAAGAAGAAGGATTGTCTCGATTATAATTTCTGGTTGTCTGCGTGGGGCTCGAAGTTTCCAAGGCCACTTGCAGGCGCGCGACGGAGTTAAGTACATTTTCTTGCCGGCAGAAAAACTCCAACTCACCGCTCTGGACCACTTATAGCTCGATTTTTTTTTTGACAACAGCTTCTTCTCTTCATCAGTCTTCACTCTTCCTTCCCTTGGAAAGAGTCCTTCAAATGAGATCGACTCTTTTCAAGGCTCTGCACTAATGGTAAGTTCTTTCTCAAAATCTCTGCCTTTTCCTTTTTACCATGATGAACCTTGTTGTCGCCCCTATCATACATTCTATGGTGACGTTACCTGTCCTAGCCAAACGGACTCTCTGATATCTTCATTTCTGCCTGATTGCATCTACCTTCGACTTTTTTGAAGCAGTTGCTAACTTTGTGTCAAGAATTCTACAGACTGCTCGTAACTCGGAACTCGCTTCCATTCGCTGTGAACAAGGACAGGAGTTTTGGAAAGCTCCACATTATCTGTATTTTAAAAAGGTACGCGCAGAAAATTTGCTATTCCAGCTTCAATTACATGATGTATACCTTTACATTCCATGCTAAACATGAAGGTGTTCTGCACCTAATGCTTCTAAAATGTATTGCTTTTCATCTTTCGACTGACTTGTAACCAACTTTCACTTTGATTTACACACATTGTTCCATGGCGATCATTACTGACTTGCTATAAAGAAACAGATCTGAAAATTCTTATCACTAGTTCCAATGAAGAAAAATTTATGCCTGGAAAGCTTCGAGTTCCTTGTCGTTCCATCTGCCAATCATTAGTAGTGTTCACGCGCATGCGGGATAGAACATACGAATAGAAGTGACCGCTGAGCTCCTTGGGGGCGTCGACAACCAGCTTGGCCATAACATGACCGGGCTGCTCAGGCTTGAGCAGCTTGCCATCCTTGTGAACTCCAGTGAACTTGGAGTGCATTTCTGCGTCCAAGTTCGTAGCATGGTCCTCTCGTAGCTCACGCTGCATTTCCGTGTCCACCATACCAGGGCGGATGGACACCGAGGTGACGTCGGGTTCCTCCGCCCCCAGGCTCATTGCGAAGTTGTTCATCGCGGCCTTGGTGGCGGCGTACAGAGCCCAGCCACGGTACCCGGTGACTGCCGCACCCGAAGATGTGAAGATAATCTTGCCCTTAGACTGACGCAGAGCTGGCAGAGCTGCTTTGGCCTGTAAGCTATTAGTAGTGGGTCAACATTGGATGTTTTCTCTTCGTACAAAAGCAACCAGGCTGATAAAGTTGATATCAAAGCCCTCCTTCCATTGCTGGGGATCCGCATCGGAAATTTTCCCAACCTGACCGAGGAGTCCGTGGTTGAGGACCATTCCGTCAAGCTGGCCAAAATTATTGATCGCCGTGTCAACGGCCTTTTGGGCGATGGAAAAGTCGGCCAGATCGCCGTTCAGGACAGCGACTTGGCTGCTGTACTCCTCCTTGAGCTTTTGCAAGGGTTCAACACTGCGGGCTACCACCACCACATTGTGGGATTGGGGTGCTGTGAGGAGATACTTGGCCACAGCAAGGCCAATGCCTGAAAGTGGGATGTCAGTATAGTCCCACCTGTGGCCGACAAAACTTGGACACTACCTCTAGAGGCTCCGGTGACAATGATTGTTTTGGGTGCCATTATGTACCTAGCGGAACGTCAGCAGCTGTATCAGGATCTAGCACCGGATTCCTGTCAATGGACCCAGATCTAGTTGAGATCACGAATCGAAAGCCCACGGGAAATTGTGGACGGTGTATCGACCATTGACCAGGATCAAAACTGAGGTTGACTGGGGAGTCCGCTGCCAGTGAGGTGCTACCAACGCCGGCAATGCAGGCACTCACTCTGACCTCGGGAATATATTGCAAGTTTGGACTGCCAACAGTTGAAGGTGACAAGCAGACCTCCGGGGCTTCACCTGGGCAGTGCGGGGCTTATTAATCTGCCAGGGTCTCCAGCTTCGCTCAGGTGGACATCGATGCCCAGGTGAGCTCCGGGCAGCTCGCTATTTGGTATTGAATGATGATGTCTTCTTGACCTCGGGAGAGTTGAGCAAGCAACATACTGCCCAGGTGGTAGAACTCCGGGGTCGAAAGGGAGCTTGATCGATACCTAGGTAGCTGTCATGCGTGGTGATATATATCGGTATTTTTTACGTCTCAACGATCTGTTCCGTGCCCTAGCATGAAGTTTTCCCTGTGAAATTTTGTTACTAGCTAGTATATCGACCATCAAAAAGAGACCTAGGTAATTTCAAGGCGCCAGAGATCCTGGCATGAAAGACCCCTAACCTTGGAAGCACAGGCCGTAGACTCGAAAGTAGAGCCGCTATATTAGACCTCGGGCCCCCGGGATGCTTCAACTTTAGATTTGCAATTCCTCTCAGCTCCATGATACAAGAGCACGGTAGTCAGCCAAAGAGCACCAAGCGTTCTGCCTGCTGAGCAAAGATCACAACTCCGGAGGTTGCGCTGGACGAGACTGTCAACTGGTTGACTCCGGAATTCCTTGGCGCTTAGCTAATGGATGCGCGCGCCACCCCGTCGAAGCTCTGAAACTTCAGGCATCCGATCAGCTTCACATCTCTCACTTTGTCTCTCATCTTGTGCTCCCTTTAAGGTTGATCCTTTTCGCCTCAACTCCTCCCTCTCCTTCAACCCACCTGGTATTGCCCCGCAATCATGGCCAACTATCTCGCCTCCATTTTCGGTACCGAGCAGGACAAGGTCAATTGCTCCTTCTACTACAAAATCGGCGCCTGCAGACACGGAGATCGCTGCTCTCGCAAACACGTCAAGCCGTCCTACTCCCAGACCATCCTCATGCCCAACATGTACCAGAACCCGGCCTACGACCCCAAGAACAAGATGAACCCCAGCCAGATGCAAAATCACTTCGATGCCTTCTACGAGGACGTGTGGTGTGAGCTATGCAAATACGGCGAGTTGGAAGAATTGGTCATTTGTGACAACAACAATGACCGTGAGTACCCCTTTGTCCTCGCTTGATCTCCGGACAGCGCGCTAACACAACCTGCGATAGATCTCATTGGTAACGTCTACGGCCGGTTCAAATACGAAGAAGATGCGCAGTCGGCATGCGACGCCTTAAACTCTCGATGGTATGCGGCCCGGCCCATATACTGCGAACTGTCACCAGTCACGGATTTCCGAGAAGCCTGTTGTCGACTGAATAGCGGCGAAGGATGTGTACGTGGGGGCTTCTGCAATTTCATCCACCGGAAGGATCCGTCAGACGAGCTTGACCGCGAGCTGCGACTGAGCACCAAGAAGTGGCTGAAGGAGCGTGGCAGAGATCCCCGCAGCGTCTCTCGCAGCCCCAGCCCTGAGCCTACCCGCCGGAGATACTAGCTGCCACTTCTCACATCTGTTTCTGAACATCTAGTGCTTTTTTTTTCTGGCGTTCGGCGATTCAGTCGGTGGACCATTTCCACCTTTTCTTGCGCAGGTCTAGGACACGGGGGCTCAGTCTTGACCTTTTCTGGCATCTGCGTTCTAGTCATGATATCAGGCTTGCGAGATGAATCAATTTTGACCACTAGACCGTGTGTGCACGCTCAATACGGTATATGATTCTTTGCTGGAGACGGGGAAGTAGACATGAACTCGCCATCGCCTGTGCGTATCACGAATATCATAATAATTCGAACCCATAACGAGTCGGTTAAAATTTCTAATATGTATACTCTGCAGTTGCTTCTAGTATATGCACCCGGGCACTGGTTTGCCTTCTCCTTCAACGCGCACAATGTCTTACCTTGGGTCTACAGTCAACACGAAAGCAAACGTCCCCAAGACACCATTCTTAGGATGCCAGTCCCTCTATCCCCGGGATTCAACGGCGATGGCCGTCGGTCCAAAATACCGCAACAGCTCCCAGTCAACCTCGGGCCCCGAGAGGTGAGGCATTTCCCAGCTGTGCTTGACGGGCGAGATACCCTTCGCATGGGCACTGGCGAACATGATATCAAGTTCCTCTAGAGTGCGGCCTTTGGTTTCTGGGAAGAAGAAGTACACGGCAGGAATGAGGGCGGCATTGAAGACCGCGAACATGATGTAGGTTTGATACCCAAGGTTTTTGAACGCCGGCGGGGTGATCATCACGATCAGGAAATTGGACATCCAGTTGGAGCTTGTGGATAGTGCGTTTGCCTGGGTTCGGATACGTAGATTCGTGATCTCTGCTGGATAAAGCCAGGTCATACCCAGCCATCCGATGGCGAAGAACGAATTGAACACAAACAAGAAAACGGTGGCTGTCACGCCGTACCTGGTCTCGAGTTGTGGAGCACCATTCTCGGCCTCTGTGCCTGTTGAGACGCTACCCGCGAGAATAGCCATCGACACACTCATTCCAAAGGCCCCGATCATCATGAGCTTCCGACGGCCGGTGCGCTCAATCAATGGGAGAGCGATGAGGGAAGCGAGGAAGTATTCAGTACCGTTAGCGGCCGACAAAAGCCGTGCCATGTCAGGTGCAAAGCCGAGGGAGTTCTCGAATAAGAATGTAGCATAGTATGTCACCAAGTTGATGCCACACATTTGCTGGAAGAATTGGGAGACCATCGCAAGTACTGCTCGACGGAGATTTTGTGATGGCCCACCGGTGAGAAGCTCTTTCATCTTGAATCCACCGCCACTGCTTTGAACCTCCAGGGCCTCGGAGATATTTCGCATCTCCTCACGTACCTCGGGATCGTCCTCATCCTTGTCAAGAAGGCGAGAGGTCACTTCCTGAGCTTCCGTGCGGCGGCCTTGCATGACGAGCCAGCGAGGAGAATCGGGGAGGAACAGCAATCCAACCATGACGATGATAGTAAAGAAGGACTGGAACATGAGAGGGAATCGCCATCGAACAGACCCGGAAAGAAAGTAGAAGCCGTAGTCAACCCAGTAGGCAATCATGACACCACATGAGATCAAGGCTCCAGAGAGCATGATGAGAACTCCTCGTTGATGAGGACGAGCACACTCGCTTTGCCAGGTCGGGATCGCTGCTCATTGTTAGTTTGGCGAAACAGAGACTACTCCATATACATACTCGCTGTGACCATTCCATTCCCCACACCACTCACGATGCGGCCACCAACAAACAGACCGTACTCAAAGGACGCAGCCTGCATGATCGTTCCAATAATCATGAGCGACGAGCCCCAGAAGGTAGAAGACTTGCGACCCCAGGACTCTCCGTAGAACAGAATGACCAAAGATCCCATCCAGCAGCCAATCTGATAGATTGCAACCCCGGCAGCTTGCGTGTTGGCATCACCCGTACAGTTGTTCGGATCAGGGACTGTATTGGTCGGACTGTCCAACCAACACAGATCGTTGGCTCGTTCCCGAGGTGTCATGAGGATCTGATTCTCCTGGAAGGAGTCCAAAGTCAAGAGTGCACTGAGTACACCTTGGTCGTAACCGAACATCAAGAAACCACAACTGGCAACAAACCCGATGGACCAGTTGAGGGCCTTGCCTCGAAGGAGGGAGCCACCGATTTTCCACTCGGGTAGATCCCCCAGCTTGCTGATCATGGCCCACTTGCCTGTGGCAGCGGTTTGTTGACGTTCATGTTGTATACGTTCTTCTTTCGAGGGCTGATAGGAAGGCGTACCGGTGGAATCGGATTCGGGATTGTTCAAATGCTCCGAAGTGCCCTCGAAGGCCTTTTCAGGCGTGTTTTCAGGCGTGTTTTCAGGCGTGTTTTCAGGCGTGTTTTCGGGCGTGTTTTCGGGCGTGGTCGACATAATGTAGAAGACTCTGAGCCAAAGTGATATGAACCTGATATCCCAGGAACACGTCGCTCCCCTTTATAGCCTGCTCCCACCTCATTTCACCCTCGAAAAGCCTTGGCAACTCCAAGATTTGAGCCATATACTCGTCGCCTGAGACTCCCTGATCCCGCCAAGGTCTGGGGCGCGGCGGACTTGGCTTGCTCCCGAGCGGCGGACATCGCAATTCTGGCAAGCCGAGGCAGTCGCCAAGGAGATCTTCTCGTCGGCTGAGGGGGAAGTCTCCACTGCTCTCGGGCACGGGGATGCCGAGAGCTCAGCAGTTGCCCGAATGATGTGCTGGCAGATCGTCCATCCGATACTCATACTTCCACCGGGACCGCCACTGGGGCATGGCATATGATTTGTTTGAAGCAGATTCTCATTCTTGTCGAGTTCTGGCTTGGAGAGAATTCCCGCGTGTCAAGATCCCCAAAGCCTGCGCCTGAGAGATCACGCCTGGGCCTGCCATGGCCAACGTCATCCATGCTTGGTCCCAAGAGGTTGGCAAAGAAATTCCCCGTAAACCGGGAATTTTGGCGCCTAAAAGAGATCTTCCAAGATTCCAAGGTTCTTCCAAAGGTGTTCTGACAAGAACGAAAGAGTTGACCTCGGGAACATGTACAAGTAGAGCCCATGTCCCAGAACCAGCCTGTCATCTCCATTGAGATTCATTCGAATTTCATGCACAAGTCCAATTCTGTATCAGCAAGTTCGATGTTCGGTAAAAGAAAAGAAAAGAAACGGCAATACGTCGACTCTTACCGAAATGGGACATTCAGAGATGAGAGTAAATCATCCATTCTGTGTGGTCACTGACGCTGTCGCAGTTTGCTTCAAAACCCGAAGGCCGCCAAAGTTCAGAGACCCACTACGTAGAGTCTCTGATCGTCGTTCGGGAAGAAAAGAAGACCGAAATCGCGACTAGTGGTCGATCATGGACGTTCGCCAATGACCGACCGACAGTTGTAAGAGCAAAACCCTCCCAGCATGTCGGAAATCGGCCTGGGCACCGACCGACATCGCACTGACTTCACCTGATGCAGAGGGGGGTAACACCTGGGTTAACCTTCGTAGAGTACATAATCTGACAATTTGACCTGCATCTTCGTGGCATACTTCGCTTCTCAGGAAATTAATCTTGTTTTTCTCTAAAGACCAGCGACTGTGACCACCGAGTCGCAATCTGGTCACACTCAGCCTGAAGTCTTTTGCGGCAACTGGTTCACTCACATTAGAAAATTCTCGTACTTTTAAGGATCCAAGGTCTTTCCCTGGCATCTCAAAACCACCATGGAGAGTCCCCTGGTCTTATCGATTTTGGTAAAGCACTGGCCGACATGCCTAGTTGGGGCGGTGATCCTGGTAAGAGCCTGCGCCCCTCAAATCTTGGAAGATGCAGATCTGATTGAAAGGCAGACCATCGGCTATGCAAGACTCACTAGCCCTTTGTCACATCTGCCCGGCCCTGAGATATCCAAATGGACCAGTGCGGTGTATAACTATCACTACTTGAACAAAAGAGCGCCGGTATATATCCATGCGCTCCATCAAAAATATGGTACGAGCATCCCGCCGTCCAAGAACCTGCTGTTAATCACCCAAAGGCCCAATTGTACGAGTCGCTCCAGACCATGTCGATATCTGCGACATCAAGGCCGTGAAGGAGATCCACAAGACAAATGGCCGCTTCCTCAAGACCAACTTTTACCGCAAGCTAGTGTCAGGGGCGGTACACAACATTTTTAGCACGATCGACCCAAAGTTCCATGCGGAGCATCGACGCCTTTTGGCGTCCCCGATTTCGGATTCATCTCTCACCCGTCTCGAGCCTTCGATAGCTGACAGGGTCGGTCTGACCATTAGACGAATGGCCGAGGAACAGGACGCCCGCGGAGCGATAGATGTCTTCAAGTGGTGGCTCTTCATGACCAGTGACATCATCGGGGAGCTCAGCTTCGGAGAGTCGTTTGGCATGCTCGAATCAGGCAAGGTGAGAGAAGACGGCTGGAACAAACAGGGGTATACTGACGGAGATAGAAAAACCAATATATTTTCGACTTGGAGAGCCTGTCATCCGTTGGAGCTATCCTAGTCACATTCCCTTTGTTGATCAAGATCGCAAGAACTCTCCCCCTCCCCTTCTTCAAATCAACTGCCGAGGCCGGGAAGAGACTTGGGATGTACTCAGCGCAGTATGTCAAACAGTATCAGGATCAAATATCTCGGAATCCCTCCGAGGCGAAACCCACTCTCTTCACCAAGCTTTTCAACACGGAGAAAAGTGGGATGACCTTCTCAGACATTCGGCAAGAGGCCCAGGCATATATTGTTGCCGGAAGCGATACCACTGCAGTCACCTTGACTTATCTTACTTACCATGTTTGCAAGAACCGTCAAGTGAAAGAGAAGCTTTTGGCCGAGCTAGCCAACGTCCCCGAGCCCGTGACAGACCGAAGCCTCCGCGAGCTGCCCTATTTGAGCCAGGTGATCAGCGAGACATTGCGACTGTACTCAGCTGTCCCTGCCGGGTTGCCCCGACTTGTACCGAGCGAAGGAGCCACCTTCAATGGATTCTACATCCCGGGAGGGCTTACAGCAGCCACGCAGTCCTATAGTCTTCACCGGAATCCCGCTATCTTCCCCGACCCCGAACGGTGAGTAGAGTCAAAATGACCTGGAGCCCGGCACTAATCAAAACAGCTTTTACCCCGAGAGATGGGAATCCCCCACCCAGGAGATGAAAGACGCATCGCTGCCATTTGGGGGCGGCTCACGAAGTTAGTTGTCCCATCCACATGCATCCGTTGTACTCACCATTGCAGTTTGTCTGGGAATTCATCTCGCCCGCATCGAGCTCCGCCTGGCTACTGCTCTCTTTTATCGAACATTCCCTGATGCTCGAGTGTCCACCCAAGAGGGTATGTCCGACAGTGACATGGAGATGGCAGCCGTGTTCCTCATGGCCCCCAAGGGCCATCGCTGCCTCATTGAGGTGTAAATTCTGGATGAGGCTTCATCGAAAGTGAGTCTGATTGACCGCTTAAAAAGGCCAATAGCATCCGAGATATATGAAAGTTCCTAAAGTAGCGGCAAATGGAATTGAAGCTAAGATGCAGACACAGACGTAAAGAGTGTGGTGCGACAAGGTCAGCGTAAACAAAACTTCCTCAGCTCGCATGGCCCAGCGGTAAGGCGCATCACTCGTATGCAATGATGAGATCCCCGGTTCAATCCCGGGTGTGAGCATCTCTCTTGTTTTTGCTTTTGAGACATTCTGTCCAGACTCAATATCCGCCCCCAAACGCCAAGAGTCTAGTGCAGAGACCGACCTTCAGCAAATTGGCACCTCGCTCAAACAGGTGATCAATTCGCAGATCGAGGGTCGTCCGTGAATTTTGGCCCCAGTGGAGAGAGCTAGGAGCATGATGCCACTGACCTCGGTGGCACTTCCAACTGTAACTTGTGTCATTCTCCGTCCTGAGCCCAATCACCCGATTCACGGTGTCCTGCTTGAACCTCAATCTGAATCAGACAATGCACGACAGGCCCACTACAGACTATGAGCAATGGCTCATGGAACAGGACGCCGGTTATGAGCTGCCTCCAGAGCCAGACTACGGCCCGACCCTAAAGAAACCCGCCGTGAAACCGAGTATCCCCAAAAGCCAAGGAGTCGCTGAACACGATAGTCAAAGCTCATCGCATATGAGTGATGGGTCTGTCGGCCCCTCGAGCAATCATGGATCGATTGAGTTGATCCAGAGTGTGAAGACACATGGAGATCAGTCAATGGAACTGAAAATCGTTCTTGTGGCATCGGTGATGCTCGTTCTTGTCGGGATCATCCGCTGCATGAAACGGAGAAAGCGACGGGGAATTTTGATGGACCCAGACACAATACTACCGAGATCAGATACTTCCAAAATGGAGTACTTGTCCGAGCAATCAGGGAAAGCTGGAGATGACGGCCGAAGTATTTCAAGTTTACTCCGTCCAAGTGCAGAGTTAGTTTATGGTGGCTTGACTTAGTCGGACGCTAGTACCTAGCGTTTCCCCATTTAAATGAGGGCGGATGTTAGATTGTCGTTGGAATGGGGCTGGGGCAGGACCCTGAAGATTATAAGCCCCGATGCCCCCCAGGTCCATCCTTCAAAGTTAATCGCGTTGTTTGCTATTGGGCACATTATATGCAAAATGTCCGACATGTTAAGTAGTCCTTATGGCCTTTCGGTCCGTCGGAATGGATCCTGTCTGAACACCGAAACGGATTGTGGAGCAACCTGGTCGTCTTTCCATGCATGTTGCCCAAGTGGCACCAAATGCCCCAAAGGCCAGGGCAATGTGAAGTGTTGCCCTTCAGACGCCGATTGCACCGAGTTGGTCGACAACACGCAATGTGCGAACAGCACCGCAAATGTGTATAAAGCCAAAGGGTACTTTTGCTGCGCCAAGGAGATGTCGGCCTTCATGCAGAAGGAAACCACCTTTGTCGGCTGCACCGATGACATATCAGACTTGGACGATACAGTCTCTCTTTTGGCCATTCGATACCACGGTATGTATCAAATCGAAAGCCTTTGGAACGTACTAGTAAGTACTCACATGTCGACAGCCTCTACATCAACATCATCGACGGCTATATCAACATCAGCATTGATATCCACGACATCATCCAGTCAAGCCCAAACCACTACACCGACCAAGAACACGGCGGAACCCACCCCATCTGCTACAGAGCCCGCTAATTCGTCTCCGTCACATACCGGAGCCATTGCAGGCGGCGTAGTGGGAGGCGTGGCCGGGCTAGCTCTACTAGCCGGACTAGTATGGTTTTTCCTCCGCAAGAGATCACGCAAGAATGCGGCAATCTCTTTGGGAACAGACGATTCCCCGTCCCCCAGCGATTATGACTCTGGGATGGCCGGGAACTTTGGGTATTTCCGCACCCCGGGCGGGAGTTCTGAGCCCAAGCCGCCCACTGAGCTTGATAGTCAGCAGAGGACGACACTTCATGAACTACCCCAGGGATATTGATGATGCAACTTTTAGGTCTGGCGATCCTGGCGTATTCGGAATAGGTGGAGTTAGATCAGTACATATGGGACGATATTTGATTAAGAATTCGAGCCACACGTAGGATTCTGAGATGAGGTAGTGTACTGTAGACATCATTGAATCGGAGGCTAGAAGATGGGACACAATGAGGAACCAATTTTATACGATTTTGACTACCTAGGTACTCAAGAGGATACCATGCCCATGGGCTCCAACAAAAGACCAGAAAAAGACGGATAAAAGGGAATACACCGGTGCTCAAGACCAAGACTATTGGTAATCACGCCGTCATGGATACTTAATAGACCAGACCGTCTAGACCTTTCGAGTCCACTTCTTGATATCAGCCAAGGCTACGTTGGAGGCCGGGATCGGGGGTCTAACTTTATTTCGCGAGCCCTGGAGCGTCTCATCCGGTGTGTAAATAGAGAGACATGTGACACATTATGCACAGTTGGCCCTGGAATTGATACTCCGACTCTCTGACGGCAAATTTCTAGAACGAGTGAGCCGAGAAATGTGAGCCAAGGGGTCCCATGTGGATCATTGCCATGTGAAATCTATGAGATCTATGAAATCTAGACAACCTGGGAGTTATTCAAGGTTGGCATGTCCAGCCACACAAGAGATGGCCATAACTATGTATCGAACCAATTCGGTTCCGATTCTCAAAATGTGTCTCCTATTACACCTGGGTCTAAGATTTGAATGTCGACGAGGAAGTGACTTGAGCAAAGTGAAGTCCATAGCCCTGCCCATCTGGGCATCTGGGCAGGTGGACCCAGGGCTGGCACAATTCCAAGGAAATTTCAAAGAACCAAGAGACTCCATTGGCTGTTCCTGGCTGCGATGAACGACTGCAGTATCTGATTGGATCCACTCAAGCCCTTGCCCTGCCAAGACCGTAAGATGTATTATGATTGGCTGCCGACTTCTCTTTGAACCAATGGCGATACATTTCTCCTGATCCATTAAATGGCCAAGTCTGTTCGCAATAATGGTCCTTGCGTTTCACACGATAAACACAGACCTGTACGATGGTCAAATCCCCAATGATGAGAGTCTGCCCCGGAAATTGGTTCCGGATCATTCCGCATGATTGAGTCTGAGTCTGATCTTGGTACATTGAAAAACCCGTTGAAACGATCCAGTTCGCAAACTTTGTTTGGGTTCTCCATAAATGGGGCTAGTCGGTACCGCGCGACCTCGAGTTCGTCCACAGTCCACGAAACTGATTGTCCGAATAAAGGATGCGGAGAACTCTGAGATTCGTGGTTGCGTTACAGCCATCCACCGGAACACAGCGGCCCCTGGCATCCATTGGCAATGGTTCCCTGGGCTGGACACAGCCCTGGAGGGTGAACCACCGGGCCCCGCCCAATGACGAATGACCCGAACACAGTGTATCAATCTAGAATCGGACTGTGGCTTGCACTTCAGTCCCTCAGCCCAATCAGACTGTCCATTCCAAGCGGACCCATGGGTCGGATGTTTTTCGTCCTTTGCGTTCTATTCAGTCCTTGGCGCCCACTGGCTGCAAAGAATCTGTCAAACCCACGGCCTCGACCTTTGTGGAATTGGCCTACGCAGCCTCCCCGCCAACAGCTTGACGTACCTGTGCTTCGTGGTCCACGGATGGGCCCAGGTACCAGGCACCTTGGGTCTGGACGAGGCGAGCGTGGCGGAAGATTCTTTCATGAAGCCTATATATAGGGCTCGTCCTCCCACTCTTCCTGCTCAAACAACCACACTCTTTTTTGGTAACCGGTCACCTTGTCACTCATTAACAAGTCTTTGGAATTTCCTCTAAGACATAACACTCTTTTACATTTGTCTTCCTTGTTGTTCCAACAGTCCTTGCTCTCCCAAGAAAGAAAGAAAAGCCATCATGCAGTTCTCCAAGTCTCTCATGCTGCTCGCAGCCCTCACCACCGGCACTCTGGCCCGTCCCACCGGCATGGAGCGTCGCGGAGCGACCACTACCAGCGCCAGCTCCAACTCAGACTGGACCGCCACTCCCTCCAGCGGCTCGTACGCGACTTCTGGCTTCGGCAGCTCGACCAGCTCGACCGGCACCGGCGTGACTTACGCGGGCAACGTCGGCAACCCGTACGGCAGCAACATCATCGAGGTCTCCGCCTCCGAGGCCAGTCAGTACAAGTACGTGGCCCAGTTCAAGGGCTCCAACACCGACGACTGGACTGTCGCCGTCTTCAACAAGTACGGCAAGGATGGAAAGATGGACGGCTGGTACGGACAGGCCTGCAACACCTTCACCCTCGCCGCCGGTGAGACCAAGTACATCGCCTTTGATGACGACTCCCAGGGTGGCTGGGCTGCCGCCTCTGGCTCAACCATCCCTACCGACTCCTCCGGTGGCTACGCCTCCACTTGGGGTGAGTTCGATTTCGGATCCACCACCAACAACGGCTGGTCTGGCTTCGACGTCTCGGCCATTGCCGCCCAGAACGCGGGCATGAGCATCTCCGGTATGAAGATCTGTGATGCCCTGGGCTCCACTTGCTCTTCCATCACCAAGGATGCTGCCAGCGTCGACAACGCCTACACCGCCGCCGAGACTGATATCGGTGGTATCGGTGCTAACATTGCCTCCGGCCCTGTCCGTCTGGCTGTTACCATCGACTACAGCTCTTAAAATGTTTTCTTTGATTTTTGGCTATGATTTTTGGAGATAGACTTGGGATCATTCTTGATGAAATGATCCCTCACCCAGCTGGAATGGTTTCTGCTTCTATGTCAATATAGAGACTACAGGCTGGTCCTTTTTTCTTTTTGGAATTGCAATATACCACATTCACTTGAAATACTTTCCGGTCTGTCAGTACTGCGTAGAATTTAGATTTTTAACCTCGCGGGCAATCCGTGTTTCAGTTTGCCATGTGGCGTGAACGTGGCGGATACCACATCATTGCATACGCAATACCCACGTAGACCCAACGCCATTTCTAACAGAACCACAAAATGGACGAAAATAGAAGAAGAAAAAGAGACAACAGACCAGTGTGATTATATAACATAAGCAATTTCATTTCATTCCGAGGGTCGTCAAGCTAGGATATCAACAATTTCATCTGCCCTACTTACGCGGGCCAACCAGACCATAAAACTCCTGTGGCTTTACACTGAACGCACCATTGGACTCTAGCTTGTATTTAGGATCCGCCAACTCAAAGCTGGTGTCCTTCAAAATGCTGGCCAAGGTGAAGAACGACCAGCGCCAAGCCCAAAGCTTACCAATACACTCACGCTTGCCGTTACCGAAGCCCTTCTTCGCCGCGGCAGGGAGCTGATCCCACTTCTCGCCGAGCACGCGCTCCGGCTTGAAAGCCTCGGGATCCTCAAAGACGGCTGGGTCCCGGTTGACCTGGCCGAGGACAGCAATCATCGGCTGGTTGTGGGCGATCTGGTACTCGCCGCCTCCGAGGAGGATGGGGCTCTTGTCATTGGAGGGGATGGGCTCGATGTTGAAGCCCGGTGCGGGAGCGGATAGACGAATGGACTCGCGGAGAATGGCCTCAACATAGTGAAGGTCCTTGAGGTGCTCCAAGTCGATCTTGCCGTCGCCGACGACCCGGTCCAGCTCCTCGTGGGCCTTCTCGATCTCCTTGGGGTTCTCCATCAGATAGTACAGCGCATAGGCGATGAGGTTGGGCGCGGTGGCGGCACCAATGAAGCACGAGATGATCTCATCGATAATCTGAGATTCGGTGAGCTTCTCGCCACTCTCGGGGTCGGCGCCGTTGATCATGGCATCCAGAATATCGTTGCGAGCGGTCTCGGGGTTTTCCCTCCTCGTCTTGATCACGTTGGCCGAGAAATCGCGCATGGTCTTGGTATCCTTCTCGAAGCGGCGCTGGTATAGCCAGTTCAACACCTTGGGGCGCGTCGGACGCTTCAAAGCCTCCATCGTCGCGCCCTCCATGGCGTTGATCATTGGGGGCTCGACGCCCTCGAGAACGTGAACTCGCTGGTTGAAGAAGCTCTGCATACACGACGCCAGCAGGAGACGGTCGAGGTCCTTTGTGATCAGCGTACGCTGCTTGGGGCTTTTGCTCCACTTCTTTGTGAGGTCGGGAATGACCTCAGCCATGTCTCCGAAGAGGCTGTCGGTCGCAGATTGGGTGAGATGAGGCATCATAATGCGATGGGCGATGCCCCAGCTCTTCTCGTCATCGTACGCGGTGAACAGACTGTCGTGGACTGCATATCGAATCTCGACCACGGGGCCGGTGACACACTTGCGGAAGCGGGTCTGGTCACAGATCTCTTCGAGCAGGGCGACACTGCCGATGAAAACGAGTTCGTGTCCTAGAACACTGATCTTGCAGATGGGGCCTGCGAGAACTTAGCAGGAATTCGCTGTGCGGTGCCAGAATTTGCCTACCGAACTGCTTGGCTAGCTTGTTTAGAGAGTTCCATGTCTCATTTGGGTTGACGTCAAAGATATTACCCAGGAGCGGGACTCCAGCGGGGCTTGGAATGGGAGTCGACATGTCTTGAGGGTATCACTAGTAGTCAAATGCTGTTAGGGAAGCACGAGAGGGAGAGAAGAAAGAGACGAGCTTCACAAATGGGCGGGGTGGAGCTCCCTGATCTCTTGCAGTTCGACAGATCTCATCGTGTGGCGCTTGGCCTCGATTGGCTTGCCCACCATAGGTTCGAGGCGAGCTGAAGGGATCAACACGATTGCGATGTAATAGCGCAGATTGGCGGGTGCCGATCGCACCTAGTCGGGTAAGGCATCAGACTATCTGGGGCCCCTCTGTAGCCAAGATGGGGACTCGGGAACCACTCACGCACACTACGGGCTGTAGTGCAACCACTGAGGGCAATGGGGTTCAGCACAATTGTCAGCTGGGAAGCTTGTGCAGATTTTTCGGTTTCACTGGGAGCTTCACCGCTGGGAGACTCGTTTCCCTGGCATGGCCTTGACATCATCTCCAATTATCCAGGCTGCTCAGCTGGGCCCTGTGCATTCCGTTGCACAGAATACGAGCACTCTGGTACGGAAAGATAAACACAGACCAGAACAGCTTGATTTACGGAGTACCCGAGTTCAACTGTCTACCAGTACTCCGTACTGTACACAGTACTATAGTTAGTCTACGGCGTAGTGTGAGAACCCTCCATGTCAAATGTATACCTATGTAGGTATACAATTAATTATTTACATTTTGTCTAAACATGTACCCTGATTTCTTTGTATGGAGTCCGCGAAAGACGCTTTCTTTGTCTTGTTGACAGCCCCAGGCGTCCTCGGGACTGATTTCTGTCCTAGAATTCCAACATTGGAAGTAGTGCACGCAGTACGGAGTACAGAGTACTCTACAGAGTACAGTAGAACTGGTGATCGTACAGTACACCCTTCAGCAAGAAACTGCTGCCTCAGGGATCTGCGTTATCGCTTATCGCTTATCGCGTCGCGTCGCAACATCGCGCACTCGCTTCTTCGCGAACCTCACCATGGCATACGATGACCGGAATCGCGCCTTTCTGCAGGCCTTCATGGGCCGCTCCACCCTGACATTTCAAGATGCCCAGCCTGTGTTGGCGGCCATCCTGTCAGTTGGTAAGTCCGGTGGAACTTGGGCGAGACACCGCTGACGGGTTTCATCAGGAGGGGAAAGAATCGATCCCAAAGATGTCGGGGAAGGCCAATTCCAATCCTACGTAGATGCGGCCAATCAAGCCATCTCACCGTTTGACCTCGAAATCCGAAGCTCCTTGCCCCAGGATCCGCAGTCCACCACAGAAGACCCTCCGCAGCGGGTGTGGGCTCTCGTCAATAACACGAGCGATCCCTTGACCCAGCTGGCCACAACGTACAGCGCGGACGAAATTGGATTCCTCAAACGCCTCCTGGACTACATGTTTCACACGAATAACACTGTTCGAACTGAAGGAATGTGCGCCGCACAACTGCAGGCCGTCGGACTGCATAAAGCACCCACCGCACGCCCCGTGACCGACGACGCGCCGCAAACGCAGGGCTCAGCGTCACATAGCTTGACGATGACACAAGCTGAAAGGATGATCCTGAACCTGATCGAGGAAGGGTGGTTCCAAAAGAGTCGCAAGGGGTATCTCACCCTTACGCCCCGAGCCCTGATGGAGCTGCGGGGGTGGCTAGTGATCGAGTATAATGACGAAGGATCTCCTAAGATCAAGTTCTGTGCCGCATGCAAAGACATGGTCACCGTGGTAGGTAATCGTGCCTTGAAGCCGAATTCCCAGCTGACAAACGTTAGGGCCAACGGTGCGCGGACGTTCACTGTGGTGGCCGACTACATGACCATTGCATGCAAAACTTCTTCCGCATGCAGCAAGCAGAAGAATGCCCCGTATGTAAGGCGGAGTGGCCGGGGGACCACTTTGTAGGCGAGAGGGCTCTCGGTGCAAGCTCGAGACCGAGCGGCGTGGTTCGCAGACAGACACCTGTCTCGGCTCGCCCCTCAGTTGAACCTTCGACGCGGTCAACTCCCAGTCGAGTGGCCCTGGAAGCAAACCTGGACTCAGATAGCGAATAAACGATACCTAGGCAGAGAGACCTGAGGTCACCAATCTGGATTTATTCGAGGGTTCCCTCTTTCTTTCCTCCTCATATTTCCCCTTCACCCATTCTCCCTGGCCCTGCCCACTTTTTCTTCGCTCTCAGTTCGATTCTCAGACCCCGTGAACTATAACCAGACTTGAAAATCATTCTCAAGTTACTGATCAGTCTATCCTTCCATTTATACATCCCATTTTCAACACTTACTACGAAACCCCCGAGCTGTGAGTCCTTGATTTCCATGTTACTAGTGAATCATATTCTGGCTGTATTTTGAGATACTGATGAGATGATAGCAAACCTAAAGACTCTATCCTCAAACCATATACCTTGGAAGTCCATCACTGATTTCTCATAATCTCATCCTTCCTCGCTGGGGTTTCGGCCTATCTTGTCTTCTGATTTCCTTCAGACTTCTCAACTGTGAGTCCTTGATTTCCTACAGATTACTTCTGAATCACACCCTGGCTGTATTTTGAGATACCAATGAAGTAATAGGAAAATGAGTCTTGGTCCCGGCCCAGACCTATCAAGATTTCATCGAAACGAAATATGCCAGTATTGAACGGGCTACCGGCTACTCGCTAGCGATCAGAGAGACAGAGAAGATATTCCATTCTCAGAAAGTAAGACGGAGGAGAGAGCTATCCTATCCCAAGCCTTGGGATGGCGCATAACCTTCACAACAGCCAGCACCATCTGGAGATTCACGACACGCGAACTTGTCCCGTCAAATATTGCAAATTCGGATGGACAACGCGTCAACCCGTTAAACTGCAATGGAGTATACAGCAGAATTTCAGAGGGGTGGGAGACGACCAGTGACATAGGGATGGGCGAGAATGGACTCGGAGTCTGTGAATTCGATTCCTAACAATGAAACACGGTTTGGCGAAATCTCTATGACCAGGAGAATTTACATCCAACTTCGCCGCGTATCTGCGAGTTGTGAATTTGCTCTTCGTGACCTAGGAATTAGTTTGAATGAATCTGACAAAATGATTCCCCACGTCCGTTACCCGGTGGAGATGTAGTTAACGTATTCGGTAAGCGAGCTGCGCATGTAAGCGAGCTGCGCACCTACCCCCATCTATTAGATTCAAATGCATATTTCTCAACCAAAACGCCATTAAATCAATTCAACTAACTAATTTCTCTATCTGGGCATGTCTCTCTTCTATACCCTGGGCACCTACATATTCCACATCCTCGCTAGCCCCGTATAGATGGCTGTAAACCCTCTGAAACCCGCTCACGATAGCTATTCATACGGGCTACTTAGACCTCGAATGGCTCTGTACGTAGCTCACGAACCTCCTGGACCGAAAGATCCCCTTCATGTGCTATTTATCTAGTCGACCGAGTCCGCTTTTGCTTCTGTTTTTCGTTGGCTGCCCGTAATTCGCTATTTTCTTTCGCTAAAATTGTAGTGCCGTATAGCGCAAGTTGACAGCCTTTAACAAGTTGATTTATCGCGCGATTAGATGGGCTTAATGGACTTCGTGAGCCTGTACGAAGTAAAGCTTTGATTGACGAAGCCTGTTAACGGAGTTGTTTCTCGGTATAAAGGGTTTTTGGTGTAAAATTCCGGCTTGATTCACTACCCCTACTTATAAGGGGTATCGGAGTTCGAAGGCAAATATTGAGTTTTGAGAGTACCCGATTAGGGGAAAAAATGTTAAACCAGCAGCTGCGAAACTATTTTTAATAATCTCTGATTTGAAAGCTTTAATTCGGGTGAGAGGGTATGCTTTAAGGAAATTAAGTTTGTCGATATGGTTGATCCCGAGACGCATTTTTATTTCAACCATCCGACCGTATGAACGTTTTAACACTGCAAAACAACCGATATCGAGTGGTTATAAAAGATAAGATAAATGCGTAGGTATACAGATTGGAATAATACTGTTTTGTTCACAGATTTAATCGAATTTCGGTGTCAAATGGCTTCCGTGACCGTCGAGGATCAAAAGTCGATACCGGCCTTTTACTTGCGAAGAAGTTGATGGAATAAAAAGTTTTTCGAGCCATCGAAGACCGATCTCATCAGATATCCAGCCATTTGGACTAACTTCGAATTTCTAATTATCCGGAAGGTTATCGAACTATGATTCGACAAAAACCTTCCCTTTAAAAATCACACATGGAGGGAGTGCCCAACCTGCAGCATTTATACATTCAATAGCAGTCACCTACTCGCGATTCCTAGATTGTAAAAGTGATCGCCAACCGTAGTATTCACTTCTTATAATAACCTTTGCTGTTGCGGTTAATCCCATCGCAAAACCGGTCTCATCGAAGTTGTAAATGTCGTCTGAGTCGATCCCGTTCTCAAGGATAGTTTTTTGAACAAGTGTAAACCATTCACCGATGATTTTTGGGTCTTCGCACTTTGCCCGTTCGTAATTATAACGTCTTGAGAATCGATTTGAGAGTTCAGGATGCCTTTTCACATAATTATAAACCCATTTCTCCCCGACTGTTTGAACCGGTATCGTTCCGCGTGCCGCAAGCAGAATATTCGCAGTTTTTCGTACGGTAGTAGGTCGGGGTGCTGCTCCGCAATCATCAAGTGAAAGAATCCATTTTCGAAGAGATTCTTCTTCGATCTCGGTTAATTTATGTGAATTTGCGCGTAAAGTCGCGCGGTTTTGAACGCCGTGTAGGCGGGTACGAAGCGTCGATTCAGGCACATTAAAGCGGCGTGCTGCTTCACGAATAGCCTTGATTTCGTGGTTCTTTATAGCCTGTATAGCTAATAAGATCCTACCCTCTTGCTCTATTGAATTTCTAGAGCTTCGGGCGCGAATTGGTGGCATGGTGGGTGGTTGAATTAATTAAGCCGGATTCATGGACGCGTTTTGGGTGGGGTGCGCAGCTGGCTTACATGCGCAGCTCGCTTACCGAATACGTTACTTTGGGAACTGACACCTTAGAGTCCAGGCATCAACACCCCGACATCCCAACTTCACGACCTTCCCAGTAGAGTGTACACCTTTTACCCTTTCATACCCTTCGGTGAGCAAGATGACGGACTTTTATCGGGCTATTACCTCACTCGAACGGTCGGACAGGCCGGAGACGTTCATTTCCCCACCAAACCTCGCGCCAAACCTTCTATGTCGATGTCGATGACGATCTGGGGCCCCAACCCGGGCAGGTTCTACCCGCAAAGGATGCCGGGAAACCTTCGGGTTGACCAATGCAAGTGTCTGCTGCCTGAAAGCCCCCCCGCATTGACATTGTCATCGTCACTGGCTTTACTTTCTGTCACTTGGTCACTCGTATGACCCCGTGGTCCTTGCAGCTGCCGATTCCCCGATTCCCCACATTTGGCTCGGAGTAATTTCACAATCTCTATGTGCCTGAATCGGCATTTTGAACTGAAACGTTATTAAATCTGGGTCTTCCCTTCACTACCTGCGAGATATTGACATCGTTCTGATCCGCCGCGCACGAAGCAAAGCGGTGTGTACGACGGCCCTGCAACATGCAACTCCCAGTGAGTCTTCTGTCGCTCGATGTCAAATAGGGCTGCAGCTAATATCCCAAGTTATTCACATGCGCGGTCTTGCCGCTGCTTGTGCAACTGGGCTCAGCTACCGCCGCCCCCAGTAACCGAATCATCAAAAACATCAAGAGACATATGGGACCTGGCTTCTCACTCAATTCCAGTCGAGCTGTGTACCAAACAGGGTTTGACGGTGTGACTTGGGATGAGGATAACTGGCTGCTCAGCACGACCCATCTGGAGCAAGGTCGCTATGAATCTCGGGGGTCCGTGGCCAATGGATACCTGGGTATCAATGTGGCCAGCGCTGGACCTTTCTTTGAGGTCGATAGCCCTGAGGACACTAATGGCTGGCCATTGTTCTCTACCCGTCAGTCATTTGCTACTGTCAGTGGCTTCTTTGACTCACAGCCCACCACCAATGGAAGCAACTTCCCCTGGCTATCGCAGTACGGAGACGATAGCGTGATTAGCGGTGTCCCTCACTGGGCGGGACTGGTCTTGGATCTTGGTGATGACACTTATCTGGATGCAAAAGTCGACCAAAAAACCATTTCCAATTTCCGAACAACATACGACTTCCAGGCAGGTGTCTTGGTCTGGTCGTACAAATGGACACCCAAGGGCGATAAGGGGTCATATCAGATCACCTACCGCCTGTTTGCCCACAAGCTGTACGTCAATCAGGCAATTGTTGATTTGGAAATCGTCCCAACCAAAGAAGCCGAGGCGACAATCGTGAATGTTATCGACGGAGCTTCTGCGGTCCGAACCGACTTCGTCGAGACTGGACACGATAACGGGGCTATCTTCTCAGCAGTCCGACCGAACGGAATTGCTAACGTGACGGCCTATATCTACGCAAACCTCACGACCTCGTCAAACGTGGACCTCTCTTCTCGCAAGATTGTCCACAACAAGCCATATATCCATGCTAACGAATCATCCATTGCGCAAGCTGTAGATGTCAAGTTCAAACCCGGGCAAGTCGTCCGCGTCACCAAATTCGTCGGAGGTGCTTCAACGGATGCTTTCGAGAATCCCAAGGCGACCGCTAAGAATGCTGCTTCCACGGCCATGAAAAATGGTTTCGCCAAGTCTCTTCGATCTCACATCATGGAGTGGGCAAGCATTATGCCCCATAGCTCTGTCGACCACTTTGCATTCCCCAATGGAACCCTCCCAAATGACACCAACATCATTGACTATGCTGTCATCTCTGTGGCGAACACTTATTATCTGCTGCAGAATACAGTGGGCAAGAACGCCATCAATGAGACCAACAGCGCCCCAGTCAACGTTGACAGCATCTCAGTAGGCGGCTTGACCTCCGATTCATACGGTGGTCAGGTCTTCTGGGACGCGGATGTATGGATGCAGCCTGGTCTTGTTACTTCTCACCCCGAGGCTTCCCAACGTTTTACCAACTTCCGCGTGGAGAAGTATGCTCAAGCGAAGGAGAATATGAAAACTTCCTTCACAGGCTCGCAGAACCAGACCCGTTTCAGTGACACCGCTGCCATCTTCCCTTGGACCAGTGGTCGTTTCGGCAACTGCACAGCAACTGGCGCTTGTTGGGATTATGAATATCATCTGAACGGTGATATTGGTATCTCTCTGGTCAATCAATGGGTTGCTAGTGGAAACACCCGGGTTTTTAAGGAGGAGCACTTCCCAATCTACGACTCCGCCGCCACTCTCTACGCTGATCTGCTGGTTCGGAATGGTTCTTACTGGACAATGAAGAATATGACCGACCCTGTGAGTTTTATCGGAACATCTTTATTCTCCAATCTATTGACATTAACACAACCAGGACGAATATGCAAACCACGTCGATGCGGGCGGTTTCACAATGCCATTGGTTGCAGAAACCCTTCGAAATGCTAACGCCTTCCGACAAGAGTTCGGGCTCGAAGAGAATTCGACGTGGGATGACATGGCCGACAATGTATTGGTTCTTCGCGAAAACGATGTGACTCTCGAGTACACTACCATGAATGGAAGTGCCGTGGTCAAGCAAGCGGACGTCGTGATGGTGACATTCCCTCTTGGCTACACCTCCAATTATACCACACAGAATTCCCTAGATGATCTGGATTACTATGCTGCCAAGCAATCAGCAGATGGTCCTGCCATGACCTGGGCCATCTTCTCTGTTGTCGCTAACGAAATGTCTCCTTCTGGCTGCTCGGCATACACATATGGCCAATACTCCTTTGCACCATATACACGTGCACCTTTCTTCCAAATGTCAGAGCAGATGGTGGACAACACAACCATCAATGGAGGCACCCACCCGGCTTATCCATTCCTCACTGGCCACGGTGGTGCCAACCAAGTTGCCATCTACGGTTATCTTGGACTGCGACTGCGGCCGGATAATATCCTTCATGTCGATCCCAACCTGCCCCCTCAAATCCCATACTTGAAGTATCGCACCTTCTATTGGCGAGGATGGCCCATCTCGGCATGGTCTAACTATACCCACACGACCATCAGCCGTGCCACTGGCACCCCAGCTCTGGATACAGCCGACCAAAAATTCGCCAATAAGACAATCACGATCCATTCCGGTCCCGAGAGCGATGCTGTCACATTCAACCTGCCACTGAAGGGATCGGTCGTTATTCCGAACCGCCAGAGCGGTACTCAGAACACCGTCGCCGGAAATCTCGTCCAATGCCACCCGGTCACCTCTACTGATGCATTCGAGCCCGGTCAATTCCCGATTTCCGCAGTGGACGGCGCGACTTCCACCAAATGGCAGCCAGAATTAGCCTCGGATTTGAGCTCCGTGACGGTATCCTTTGAGGAAGAGGCCGGCTCCCTGGTCTCAGGCTTTTATTTCGACTGGGCTCAATCGCCTCCTGTCAATGCTACCGTCATCTTCCACAACAAAACTCTCCAGGACCCAGCGAAGGCTCTTTCTTCAGAGAGCTCCGATTACAAGATCGTCCATTCTCTGATTAACATCACTCAATCAGACCCGTATGATGCCGAGACCACCAATCTTGATATCATTTCCATCCCCACTGGCAACACCACCAATGTCACACTGTCCTCTCCAGTGCCTGCAGCTCGGTATGCATCACTACTGATCGTCGGTAATCAGGCCCTTGATTCTGCCGATGTCGAGGCTAAGAATGGGACTGGAGCGACTGTTGCTGAGTGGTCTATCCTTGGCAAAGAGAAGGGCAATTCCACATCCACCAAGAGAAAGATGGGTATTCGTGCCGCTTCTGGCACAAGCTCTTTTGCCCAACGCCGGCACCTCCTCAACCCTCTACTTTAGAGCTCGGTGATGTTGAGCCCACAATCAGGTATTTGAAGCCTACCTGCACCGCATTCGTTTTGTACATATAGAGCCTAGCCAGACTTCTTTTGCTTTTTTTTGCTACTTATTGGGTTGCTCCTCAATTCGCATACATTCAGACAAAACAAACGCACCTACGCATTTTCAAAGTTCAAAGATCTCAGCAGGTCTATCCGTAGAATCCTTTGCTTTGCCTCTAGTCTTTTTACCTTCCAAGCATTCTTTCGATGGTCTTTGGATACCAACTTAGTAGGCGTATTGATGGACCTTTAATGCTCAAGCGGTACTCTTTGAAGTTCAAGGCGCTAATTAGATCTCTCTGGGCCTAAGGTCTTTCAACACTTCATCGCTCCATGTACAAGCATCATAATGGGTGTCATTAATATACTATGTGCAGACTTGAATCATGAATATCTTAGTCTTGGGCAAAGCGATCCAAGAACTTGAAGGTGCGCAGACCTTCTTTCACGCCCTTGACCAACGAGTCTCCCACAGAGTCAGCAACGTAGACGCCGTCACGCTCGGAGGAGATCTGCCCGTTGCGCAGAGCCACCTTGCCATTGCCAATGGCAGCAACTGGCTTTCCAAACCGGAAAGCATCAAGCAGGATATCCAGGGGCCTTCCGGCAGGGAATAGAGATGCCGCCCCCTTGCTAGGCTTTCCAGTAAAGCTCCTCCCGCTGAACAGTCCCTCTGCACCGTTAGCGACGACGACAGCATCGAATTGCACAGCATCGGAGCCAGAGTAGGTTTGGTTGACGTTGTCATCCAGTCGCTCCGCAACAACGACGACGTCAACACCGGCAGACTTAAGGGCGCTCTGCAACTTGGCGCCCTCGGCAATCGAACTCTTGTTCGACACGGAGGCCAGCAATCCAACCTTCAGACCTTCCAATGTCTTCAACTTCTCTCCGAACGCACCAATGTGCGCAGTGGTGTTGTCATGGTAGAAGGAGTCATCTGGGCTGGGCGCCGAGATGCCAATTGCTTCCGCAACACGGGTAGCAAGATCGTTGCTAATGCGGTTGAGCTGAATGATGACATTGTTTTGAACGATGGAGGACTTGAGATTTGAGGTCTCGAAGCGCATGGCATCAACGACGAATTGCTTTTCGGCAGCGACGAGCGAGTTCCAGAAGAGACGGGGCTGAGACCAGACGTCTTCGAAAGTCGAGCTGACTGTTCGCTGCAGTTTGCCACTTGCGGATCTGTCCGAGGTGAAGAAGCCCTTGCCGGTGGTTTGGTTGGCTTGCTTGGGAGAACCGGCATTTTGAGTGTTGGGGGAGTAGGCGTCCTTGTTGAGGGGGATGAACATCTGGCCTGCGCCGTCGCGGTTGTTGTTGTGAATGGGGACGCGGGGACGGTTGATGGGCAATTGCTCGAAGTTTGGACCACCGTGTCGGTTCAGCTGTGTGTCCAAGTAGGAGAAGAGACGACCTTGGAGGAGAGGGTCCTCGGTGAAATCGATACCGCGAACAATGTGGCCCGGTTGGAACTGGAAAGATTTAGTCTTGGGATCCAAAACGCGACAAGATTGGTACACACCATGGCTTGTTCGGTTTCGGCAAAGTAGTTCAATGGGTTTCTGTTCAGCTGCATCTTGCCCAGCTTCGTGACGGGCACAAGCTCCTCGGGAACGATCTTGGTAGGATCGAAAAGATCGAACCCAAAGCGAAGCTGGTCCTCTTCTTCCATGATTTGGACACCGAGCTGTAAGATGGTTAGCGGTGGAATTTACACCAAAGAATATAGACCACTCACCTCCCATTCCGGGTAACGCTCAGCCTCAATTGATTCGAAAAGATCCTGGCGCAAGAAATCCGGGTTCTTGCCAGCAGCTTGCTGGGCTTCTTCCCACACCAAGCTAGCCTTACCCTGCATACCCTTCCAGTGGAACTTGACCAGCTTAGTCTTACCGTCGTCAGTGACCAGACGGAAGGTGTGCACACCGAAACCATCAACATGGCGGAAAGAACGAGGAATTCCGTGACCCGCCATTGCCCAGAGCAAAGTGTGCAACGAGCTAGGCTGTTGGCTGAAGAAGTCCCAAGCCGAGTCGTGCGCAGTAGCAGCTTGGGGGATCTCGCTGTCGCCACGGGGCTTGACAGCGTGAATGAGATCAGGGAAAAGGATAGCATCCTGAATGAAGAACACAGGAATGTTGTTTCCAACAATATCTATGCACAGATTAGCACGATACTTCAATAGAGGGGATGAGACCTTACCGAAGTTTCCTTCGTCAGTATAAAATCGAGTCGCAAAGCCGTGAACATCACGAGCTGTGTCGGCACTTCCTCGACTTCCAGCGACAGTAGAGAATCGTGTGAACATGGGCGTTTGCTTGCCCTTGGCCGACAGGAACGAGGCAGCGGTTATGTTCGACCAGTCGCCATATGAAGTGAAGGTACCGTGGGCTCCGGCGCCTCGGGCATGAACGGCACGTTCTGGGACCTAGGAACACACGTATGAGTTTCGGCATTTTTGATTGACCCAGGGAGACACTTACACGCTCATGATCGAAGCGCTGAATCTTTTGACGGAAGATGAAATCCTCAAGGAGGGTGGCACCACGCTCGCCGGCACTAAGGCTGTTTTGATCCTCAATGGGACCACCGACATCAGAGGTCAAATAGACGTCTTGGTCCTTGAGGTAGAAGGCCGACAAGAATTCCTCGGTGTCGGCAGCAGCATCACCGTCTGCTCGGCGCTCAATGCGGCTATCAACTTCACCGGTCATGTAAGGGCACGCGGCGTTGGCAACGCCAACCAGGCCGGTAACAAGAGCTAAAAGCTGCATGGCGAAGCGGGGGGAAAAAGGAATAATCCAATTGACTTGCGACAGGTTCGAAAGGTGGCCATGATTTATACGTGAACTGGCTGTCCCCCGTCCCCATTGGGACTTTGGGCCAAAGCCAATGAGAAGCTCACATTGGGAGCAGTGCAACCTACCACATGGGCATATTATTGATCAAGTCGGGCTGGCCTCCCCCAGTGATTATTTCAGCATGTTGGCCCAGGCCAAGGTGTGACGAGATGAATTATCCAGTGGGGATCGCCCAGAGCAGTGGAGACCATTATCACCATGCTCGCTCCCGCAGGACCGTTAGTCTGCGGCCGAATAGAAATGCACTGGGGCTATTGGCTGTCGACGAACCCAATGGCATGACGCTAGGGCGGAAAATGGTAAGAGATTGGCGTTGCACCTGCGAATTCGCGACTCGAACTTGGCGACTTTGTTATTGTGTCCATCACTCCCAAAATCGAGGGATGTGGGTTTCTTGGCGTCATTAAGCGCAGACGGCCGAGTCCATGACGCTTGGTAATGGGTTATCCACCCCCCCAGGGGTTTTGTCATCGCGATGGTCTAGGGTGCCAGTACTTTGGTCTCTGTCGTACTCAGCGCAGCGATCTTGCGGCCTTCAAGTTCACCGAGACGTAAGGGATGCCCTGTCACAGTCGACTCGTTTGAAACGCCCGATGCTGGTGTTTCACCTTGATCCGGGTCATCTACCCCCGACCGATGACGGTATACGGGGTAGAATGTGAACGACAGGGATGATTCCGGACTGCGGCATCCGGTCATACCAAATATAGCGACTGCATTGCGCCGTTGGTGATAGCCAAGAGGTGTATAATTAGACGTGGGAGTTGAGGCGGGAGATGCTTGGCGGGAAGCCTTACTAGGTACAGTACACCGTACCTTGCACCCATTCACCTCACTCTGGGCTATTTATAATGTGATAGATGTGATTGCCTATGCTCTCTACTCTAATTCCGCATCATCGAGGCAATCTCACCCTTGACCGCAGGATCACTGCGGTCCACGAACCCGTGTTTCGCGTACAGCGGGGCACCAGCCTTGCTGGCATCGATATATGCCCCAGCACCCTCCCGATCCGCAACCTCACATCCCCACCGGATCAGCATGGAGCCTGCCCCGCGACGGCGGTAGTCCGGGTGTGTGGCGAGCATGTCCAGATCTACCCGGTTAGTACGGGACCCCGACGCCAGAGCTAGACACATACAGAAGTTCTTCCGGTCTCCATAGAGCCGTTGCCGGTTCTCCTCCATAACCCCGAAGAAAGCGTCGCAATCAGAGCCGGGCTGCTCAGCATGCCAAGGCGCAAAGCGAGGCCCGCGCTCGCTGGCCGTGCTGAGATCCCATTTCGCGTAGGAGACTATTCGTGGACGACCTGCCACCTCAGCGCTAGGGTCGACGACTTTGAGATATTTTTGGTATGGCTTGGTGAGCATGTCGGTGCGATTGGTGTCGCTGAACCACTGACGCACCCCGGGGGTGTCGGGCATCATGTGGCTCATTACGGGGTCATTGAAGACGGTAAACCAGAGGTCGACAATGGCCGGGAGGTCTTCAGTGGTGGCGGGTTCGAGTCGTAAAGCCATGATATCGTAATCTCTTGGGGTGTGGAGGACAACAGACAATACGGAGTAGTGGGGGAAGAGTACGGAGCACGATCGCCGAGCGGTCAGCGAGACGCATGGAAATCCATCGATGAGGGTGGAACCTGTCAGTTCCTATATATGTACAGTTCTATAGATCGTCGACTCTACTGAGTAGGGAAAGTAACCCAGCTCCAGGTCTTGCCCCCCCGAATCAATTGCGAGTCCACTCCGTTGCTGCCGCTGGCGATGTACAACGCCTTAGTGAAGGCCACTTCCGTGTAGTAAGTGAAAGACACGCCAGCAGGCACAAAGGCAACGTCGCCCGTGTACAGGGTAGCCACGGGGTAATCGCCAATCTGGATCTTGAGCACACCCTCGATCACCTCGAAGGCCGTCGCGCCCTTCAGGGTGTACGAGGGGGCATTGTTTTTGGTCTGGTGGTTGAGGGAGATGGTCGACAGGGTGTAGTTGGTATCCTGAGCCTGCTTGGCAGTCACGAAAGGCTGCACAACCTGGTAGCCAAACTTGGAGTTCAGGTACTTGGGGCCATATCCGTTAGCGACGAAGTACGGCTGGCCGGGGGTGCCGAGCGCGTTGTCGCCGGTGTGCCACTCCGAGTTGTCGACAGGGGCGGTGCCGTTGACCAGATCGCGGCGGGGCTCGAAGCCGAGCTTAGCATACACGTCGAACTTCTGCAGAGAAGAGATGACGCTCGAGTCGGGGGACGAGGAGCTGTTGGAGTGGGCGGGAACATAGGGGGTGCCGGTGTCAGAGGTATAGTTGGTTCCCAGGGCGTAGAAAAGGTCCCTGAAACACGTCAGAGATTCATCCGAATGCGACGACTTTGGACTCCATGACAACTTACTCAAATCCACCGGGGACGATCACCCCGACCATCTCGGTGTCGGGATCCAGAATCTGGAAGGTGTGGGTGGTGTTTCGGGGCACCGATCCATAGTCACCGGCTGTCAAGAGACGCGCCTGCTGTTCGGCGGCATCCTTCTGAGCCCAGAGCTGGAAGCGTCCCTTGAAGTTGAAGAAGTTCTCATAGTGCTTCTGGTGCACATGGGGCAGCACACCTAGCGAGGAGCTAGATGGCGCATTGGTGCTCATCAAGGTGAACGCATTGTCGGAGGACGGGCCCGTGACCGTGAAGCGATACACCTGATCACCCACCGCGACGGCATGGGAGTTAGCGTAATGCGGAATCACATAGGGGCGCGGCGCGGAGGGCGCGTTCTCGAGATAGAGATCTTCGAGGGTCGCGGACTGGGCCAGACCCAGCGAGGCCAGCAGAAACAGAGCGGAAGTCAACATTTTGACGATCTCAGAACGGGTGTCTCAGGTGCTATATACCAGACGATCACTCGGAATTTCCGTGGAGCGCAGTGATGCCAGTCGCATCCTTCAAGAGCCGAAATGAACGTGGATCCTCTCCACTTGGCTTTGAACAAGGCATTGACTATGACGGCGTCGGCAAACCCGGATCGACATGGTCTTCAGAGCCGTTTCGCGATTGCGCACGCCGGTCCACCGATGATCATTCCCCTTGCAGTTCGGCAATTCCCATGGGACTCCGTACGGAGAACGGAGAAATGCAAGGGCACAATATCGCCAGGATCAAAGGCCCGGGAATAAGACCTAAACCGGTCAAGTCTGCGACTAGGTGAGAGAGCTAAGGAAGAGTGGTGATTTCATCGGGGAAAAGATCCCCACTGTAATTTGCGCCGAAACCGTTTCGGCTGCAATTAGTGCTGTCCTATGGGCTATTTACGTGCGTAATTCTTTATTCCTTCAACACCTCCTCGGCCGTCCGAATGACAATGTCGAATGCATTGCGAATATACTTCTCTTGCGCCAGGGGGTTAGCGCTGACGACCCGAATCACATAAATGCCATCGATCACCGTCGAGGTGATGAAGATCTCGCCCCGGGAATTAATGAGCTCATAGACCTTCTTGGTCACACTGTCTGCCACCGCATCGGCAGACACGCGGTCAGTAGACTCGCCCGCCGAGGCCGGGTTCTTCACGCGGAAGACAGTCAAGGCAAAACCCGGCCTCGTAACAATCTCCAGCAGATCGGATCGACTGCGTACTAGATCGGCGAAGAGATCACCGAACCCGATGGTCCTGCGGATATGCGCCTTCATTCCGTTGAGCCCGTAACTGCGCATCACGAACCAGATCTTCAGCGCGCGGAATCGGCGACCAAGAGAAATGGACCAGTTGCGATAATCAATCACTGTACCCATATCCGAGTAGGGGTTTCGTAGGTACACTGGCGTAATGTCCAACGCGTTGGTGAGATCTAGGCGATTCCGAACATAGAGGACACTGCGATGGTTAGCGATATATACCTCGCGCACACGTCAATCAACTCACCTAGCATCAAAGTTCACCAAAAGCCATTTGTGCATATTCATGTTGAAACTATCAACGCCGTCGGCAAAGTCCTTGGCAATATACTGCCATTCGTCCGCGACAAGCGACGCTCCTGCATAAGCTGCGTCAACGTGGACCCAAATGCGTTGCCATGCAGGCTTCTCCTGCAGAACGGCTTTAATCTCCGCGAACCGATCTACACTGCAGCAATTCGTGGTTCCAAAGGTCATTGTCAGCTGATACGGGGTCAAGCCGTCGCGATCGCATTTCTCCAGAACCTCCCGTAATTGTGGACCCGTCATTTCCATGTTATCTTCGAGCCGGGCCTTGACGCTACGGAATCGGGTACCGGCCACCAAAGCGCCCTTGGCAGCGCTGCTGTGCGTCTGATCACTCGCAATAGCCACTAGCTTGCTCTGGACATCGAACTTGCGATCTTCATATTCGGGAGATGCTTCCTCCAGGCCTTCGGCGAGCAGAATCTCGCGCACACGTCTTTCGCGCGCAGCAACGATGATCGTCGCAATCGCGTCACTGGCGCTGTTCTGAATCACGCCGCCACCGTGGGTCTCCGAGGTGCTGAGGAAGCACTCAGGCAGAGCAAGGGCCTTAGCAACCCAGTCCATCACAATTGTTTCCATCTCTGTGCATGCGGGCGAGCAGAGCCAGTTGAAAGCCGGGGCTGTGAATGTCGCGGAGTACATTTCGCCGAGGAGACTGGGGTACGTGACGCTGGCGGGGTAGTAGGCCATGAAGTTCGGTGATTGCCAGTGGGTGAGACCGGGTTTGATCTTTGTGTCGACATCCTCTTGGATTGTGGCCCAGTCCTCGGGTTCGTTGGGTGGGCTTTCTGGGATTAATGGGCGAAGATAGCCTGGCTGGACATCGGGGATCACCCTGCGCTCTGGGACACTGTCGAAGTATTTGATGACTGTAAACGATTAGTTACTGGACTGAAATGGATCGGAGAGACTGACTATCGTCAATGGCCGAGTACGCGGCTGTCTTGAACTGGTCGTGATCCATGATGCGGGGAGCGGGGTGGTCAAATAAAATGCCAACACACCAACAGCTTGGATTTGAGGTTGAGAGAGGTCAGAAGTGGGAATGCCTAAACGCAGTAGATCTAGGGTCTCTCTTATACCAGTCAGAATAAGCCAAACAATCGCAATGATGCCAGAGAAGAGAAATCTGTTGTCCAAAGGGCGTAGGAACTAATTCCGTCGGCGTTCCGAGATTCCGAGATTCCGAGGTATACGAATACGAGACCGCGAAGTATACAGTTGAAGACTTGAATTGCACCGATCAGCCTCGTTGATGAGGCTGGAAGTAGTATATGAAGCATGTCGGACATGATATCTCAATTCAGGATGAATAATAATCAAGTATAAAATGTGATATAAAACAGTACCTACGCAGCCTCGGAGCTTTCGCTCTCAGCATCGAATCCTTCATCATACACCTCCGCCTCCAATTCCTTGCCCTCAATCTTCAACTTCTGCATAGGCAAGAATACAAAGAGCATGCGGCACCACTCTGTATGACTGCGGTTTCGGAAAGAGTGTGCCGTGCCCCGTTGCACACTGACATCGCCACGGTGCATCAGGCGACTCGCACCTGAGTCCAATACCAGGTCGACCTCACCCTCAATGATGACCCCATAGTCTAAGCTGACGGTCCGATGCATCGGCATAGCCTTGCCCGGACGCAGATCAATGAGTCGGAAAATTGTTCCCTCGTCGACTGTGATCCCTGGCGGCTGATGCAGGAATTCGTCGTACATGGCAACGTCCGCTTCAGCGTCCGTAGAGGCTGGGTCACTGGTTGTAGCGTACAGCAGGGCTATCTCGCCATCGTCCCCTGCTGGAGTGGAGGGCAGGTAATCGGGGACTTGGGCATGGGAGAGAAATACCGCCTCGCCTTCGGTGTTGTGGGTAGTGATGTAGCGGCGGATATAGGGGAGGTCGTTCTTCTTGTGGGACATATTGAATTGATTGCATTGAGACTTTGTTGTTAGGATGAAGGCTTCTCGGTCGTGCTTTGAAGAGAAGAAGTTATGGTCACATCATGATGGCATCACGCTTGACCATTGCCACATCAAGTAATCATGTCGTGGCTCTTCACTCATTCGGTAGGGCAACATTAGTTAGTTCGTTGAGAAGGACAGTCCAGTCTGGCGTGTCTAGCTCAGCGTGAGCGCCGCCATCTATAAATTCGGCCCATACATCTTCCAGAGGAGGGTCGGAAGGAAGAACTGCCGAAGGGTCCAAAGTCGACTGTCCATCTGGACGTTGGAGCAGCGCAGTACTTCCAGTGCTCAAAGAAACGGGCGTCATTAAATCCGACCGCGAAACCTGAGACACAACATTCGAAGAAGCAATCGAATAATCCTCCCGACTCCGGGAACCCGGGCGTTTTTCATGCCTCCAATGCTTCCTCAAAATGGCCATCATGGCATTAATCCCCTCGCGCGCACTGGGTGAGGACTGTTGAGCTCGACCAAGCATGCGACACGCATCAAGAACCTCTGCTCTTCGCTTCTCGGCTAAAATATCATCCCAGTTAAAGCACACGTCTATGAGTAGGATCGAAGCTGCCATGAAGACATGATGCATGACAGACCACACAACAGAGCTATGAGGCGTGAAGACCGGTCCTTCCTCGTCCATCATGCGCTTTGTTTCAAGGACTCTGCGTGCGGACTGAAGGGACACCACATGCGAATAGGAGTATCGGGGATCCTTCGCCCCACGCACGAAGTAACCGCGGTGCAGGCGACAAAATCGAGAATGATAGCCCTGCTGCACCATGGCTCTTTGCCACGCAAACATCGGTCGGTCTTGGTAGAGCTGAGCATGTTGACGCCGCGAGCTTTGATCGAAGCGGAAGAACGATGGAATTTCCGACAGAATCTCTTGTAGTTTACGATCAAGCGCAAGTGTTATCTCATATGGTACTTCTTGACCGCGTAGATGATAGTGCGAGGTCTCGTCAACAATTTGGCGGCACATAACAGCCAATTTCAAGCGACAGAGGGGATAGGACATAGCGGTCGGGGTGGACATGGGATGGCCTTGGGTTTTGTTGATTTCATCGTCTTCAAGGTTGAGGGGCTCGTTGACAATCATGTGTTGTGGGTGTATCGAGTAGGTCCATTCCTGGGGCCCGCTCAGGAAGCCTATGAGCCTGGTGAAATTGTCAGTGATGTTCTGTGCTTGGACAAGGGATTTGAGCCAACCTACCAGTCGTATGCGACCAAATCCCACCACAGCCGGCGTTTGAGTTCAACATTCTGATTTTCAGATTGAATTGAAATGCGCTCGTTGGCAAATTGAGGAGAGTCGATGAGATGAAGCCTCAAACTGATTGCCTGGCTCACAGATGACCGAGGCAGAAACAGGGAGCTGACTGACGGAGGCAAATTCATGTTCGACAACTGGTGGCCGATTAACATAGTTGCTTGAAGGCCTTCAATGGTGGGATAGGAAACGTGGTTCGCTTGAATCAATGCAGCTCCAGATAGGAAAGTTGCTTCCCGGCTGATTTGCTCTGCGTAGTCCGGTGCATCTCTGAGGAGTTTGTAATATAACGCAGCAGAAGCGATGCTAAAAAGCAAAGCGGCATGTGCCAAGTTTATCGGTTTGTCGTGCATAGCACTCATATAGATGCCTTTGATTTGCTCCTCTGTCTGGGTTGGTATGATCAGATGATACTGGAAGTCAAGATACCTGCAATAGTATTGAAACAGACCCAACGCTTCTGCGAGGGGCGGTAAGTAGGTCGGCAAATGGACAGTTGCAGGGTTCTCTCGAGAAGCAATTCCTCGTCCAAACAGCGTAGCCGATTCTCCAGAAACAGCGGATTGCGATGGTGAAGCCTCATTGCCTCGATGGGATAGCTCGGCCCTCAGGGTGTCAGGCATAGCACTTGGGATCCGAGGTCCCATGACGATAGTCTCCAGCCAATCCACTGTCTGGAGAGGCTCGTTGTCACCCCGGATCTGTGTCTCAATGCTTTGTCGGGGGTTCCATCGCGCATTTTGGGCGAGTATACCGTCATCAACATTCCTTTCCTCAGTTTGACTGGGTTCTGTGGAGGCCCTGGCTCCCAAAGGAAGGGCTCCATAGCAGCAGGATAATTTCCGGACACGGCAACTGCTGCATGGAAGCGCCCTGTCGCACTTGAGCTTCTTCTTTCGACAGAAGTCACATGACACGGGGTCTTGTCGAGATGGCCGTTTCGGTGGGTTCCCAGCAGCGTCCCTAGCACTTCGTTTCATGGCTTCAACTGTGCGATAGACATACAGTGGATCGGAACTGTGCCTTGACGTGACATTTCCCCAAGGGTTAGGCTTGACCAAGATGCATCGATTGATGTCCGGGCAAAGGACAGTCAGCCCGGACTGTCCGTGGACCTTCCGGCGCTAACCCCGATTAGGCGATTCATAGATCGGACTCTCCGGACTACTGTTCACAGTGCAGCTTGTTGATTTTCATATAAAGCATGCATGTCCAGATCCCTAACAGCTGCTCAAAGGCTAGCTATTTCATTTCCTCACTCCGTGATGTCGAAAGATACAGAATATACGTGCGTGTCTCCTCTGACACCAAGGAAAACTCCTGACTCTGGCAGACCGCGAGCCTGGCTCGTCATCTTCGGTGCTTTCACTTGTGCTTTTTGCACTGTCGGCTTTATGAACTCATTCGGCATCTTTCAAGAGTATTATGCCAAAAACCAACTCGCCTCAGTCTCGACCTCTACGATTGCATGGGTGTGCGCCATCTCAGTTTTGTTCCTATTTGGCATATCTGTTATTTCAGGAGGGATGCTTGATGTTTTCGGACCGAGGGTAGGCTCTCATAGAATTGTTGCATTCGACTCAGACGATACTAAGCACTCTATCAACAGCTCATGGTCTATTCCGGGTCAGTGGGCATGGTCTTCGCGCTCATGATGATCTCTCTATGCCACGAATTCTATCAATTTCTACTTGCACAGGGTGTTCTGCTTGGCATTTCGATGGCTCTGACGACGTGGCCCATGCTTGCCCTAGTTGGACAATACATCAAGGTGAAGCGTGCCTTCGCGATGGGAATCGTTCTTGCGGGCTCTTCATTGGGAGGAGTGATCTGGCCCATTGTGATCGACAGACTCCTCAAGAATCCCAAAATCGGCTTTCCCTGGACCATGCGAATTGTGGGCTTTATCATGATCCCACTCTTCACCTTCTCCTGTGTGGCCGCGAAGTCGCCAGAAGCACCCGTTAAAAGCGTGGAAAATGCTGATGCCAAATACGTTGATACAAGCAACGCAGCTGATGGATCAAGGAAGCAACACAATCAAAGGGCAAATGCCTTGGAACTATACCGACAGCCTGCGTTGCAACTGCTTTGCCTTGCGATGTTCATCATCTACTTCGGCATGTTTGCGCCATTCTTCTTCACGACGTCCTATGCGGTCGAGATGGGATTTTCCACCACGCTGGCCTTTTATACTGTCTCCATCGTGAACGGTGCTTCATTTTTTGGTCGGATTCTGCCAGGAATTGTGGCTGACAGGTACGGAAAATTCAATTGCTGTATCCTGGCAACTATTTCTGCTGGTATAATTGCATTGTGCTGGACAAAGGTCACATCGGTGGCTGGCTTGGTCTTGTGGTCCGCTGCATACGGATTTGCTTCAGGGGTGAGTCTCCTCAGAGTGGTCTGCTATCCTGATACTAATCCAACGCAGGGAATCCTATCTCTTCAACAAGCTTGCGCTGCACAGGTCGCTACACCTAGCACTCTTGGCTTGGCCATTGGTAGTGTATCCGGCTCTGTTGCTTTGTCGTAAGATACTACCTCCTGAAACATAAGATGATGATGCTAACCTCACAGTGCGATGGCAAATGTGCCTATCAGCGGCGCTCTCGTTGAGAAATACGGATATCTCTCACTTTCGATTTTCTCAGGCTTGTCCTTGTTAGTTGGCGGTGTCCTCTTGATTGCAGCCCGACTAGTGCAAAGCCGAGAGCTTCCTGCGATAGTATGAAGCTTGTAGCCTGTACTGGTCCTTTGCATGTTCATGGGTCCAGGACGGTAAGATCACATTGATACGTGGGATTCTCCGTGGTTTATGGATGTAGAAAGATAGAAAATGACTTGAATAAAGTAAATAAATATCCTTAATTTAATGATAAACAAAGTTTTTTTTCTCTCGAGATTAACACAAACAGGACGAACAGGAGCGAATCTTCGTCAAACCTCATCCCATCATGCCAATTCCACGCCATGTACCTGGTGTGAGTGTACAGGATTCACCCAAAAGAACGGTAGCTTGGATTTATTTCCTCTCAGGCCAAGCGTCATATAGCCCCTCGAATATTGTCACATTCGAGAAGGTCGCCTCGCCCACACCGTTGTGGAAGAAGCTGATGCCGGTGGAGTTCGAGTACCAAGAGCGGGCCCAAGTACTGAGGGCAAAGCGTCCATTGGCGTAGACCTCGAGAACTCCATTGTCCAGGATGACAGTGAGCTCCAAAGTCTCAACCTTTTCCTTGCCGTCTTGAAGCACATCAAACAGACGGAGGCGACCGGCCTCATTTTCATTGGTAATACCGGCAGTCGTCTTCGAAGCGGCGCTTGTGTTCGTGCGGTCGACGATGATAGACTCATTAGAGAATTGATAATAAATCTTTGTGGACTCCAGGTCTGAGGACAGAATCTGGAAGCCGGACTGAATATCAGACTTACGGGCCGAGGCCGGGAAGGAGATGTTCGCGTTCAACACAAAGTACTTGCTTGCGGGCGAATTCTGGAAAGCCACATTTCCGGCCTTGGAAAGGGTTCGGCCTGACTCAGATGATGATTCGCCCGAAGTCAACGCACTGTAAGTCTCTCGGGCAATGGAGATTCCCATTGTCTCGAGATCGACGCTGTCGGAGCTCTCGCGAGCCACACGCCAGGACGACGGGGACTCACGAGCAAGCTTGTTATCCACGACATTGGGGATAGTGCGGACATTCAGCTCGCGAGGGAACAGCATAGTTCCGGTCCAGTTTTGCTGGGCATTGGGGAAGGTCTTGGCGAGTTCAAACTCATCTCCGGTGAGCCAGGTGTAGGTGATGAAACGATCGGGAGCACCACTCTTCTTGGATGCTTGAGAGCTGGCTGGCAAGATCTTTCCGGCCGCCGCGTAACCAGACAGACCCCAATCGAGGAAACCGGCCATAGTCGGGTTGAAAGTGACAGAGCCGTTGTTGGTGACATTTCCAGCAACCCACAACATATCATGGATCGAGCTGACTTGGGGGGTGACCGGAGCCAGAGAGCCCTCAGTTCCCAGAGTCACGAAGATCTCGCCACTGTCGCTGTATCCATTTTCGTTCAGACCAAAGATGTTACCAGTCTCGAAGTTGAAGCCCCAACCACCAGCCCAATCACCATTACCCCAGGTGGAATTCACGGGCTCGCTCCACCATTGTCCAAGATACTCCCAGTACTGGAAGTCCGAGTCGTGCTGCCGGTAGAGGAATTGGCAAGGACCGACATCGTGAACACCGCCAGAGATGGCGGTGTACCATGTGCCTTTGGTGCTGTTGACACTGGCATCCAGAGTGGGGTTCTGGAACACATAAGGATCCCGGAAAGCAGTCACATTGAGAGCAAAGGGGGGGTTGGGGATGACTGGGCCTTGGTTCAACTTTGTGAAGTTGTGGCCACCGTCATACGAGACCGCGAGAGATTGGGTTTCACTTCCGCGAGTGTAGGGGATCGACCAGTGAATTGGAAGGTATGACACGGAGGTATATAAGAGGGTGGGCATGCCATCGATTCCCCGTGGGATCACCGTTCCATCGAAGACCGCAAGGGGGTCATTCTTCCCTCCGGCGATGATCGATGGGTTGCCGTCGGGGTTGACATCTTTGTATGTGGCCATATCATCCGTTGTGGCCCCTGCAATCCCATTATGAAGCCATCCCACATGGAACAGCCCTGTCTTGGGATCGGTATACTGCATGCATGGGTCGCCGATCTTGCCAGATGGAGGCAGCGCGTGGGCTTTGGGTCTCCATGTATCAAACAACGAAGCATTTGCTAGGGTTGAAAGATTTGGTGGCGCCGCATTGTAGTCGATGGAAGCGTCACGACTGACGACGGTCGAGGCTACCTGGCTCGCCAGAGCAAGGGGAATTGCGACTGTTGGCTTCATGATTCCGATTGCCTGAGCAGAGACCGATGGGCAGATGCGGGACTTTTATACAAAGGGCGCTCCACATAAGTTTGGCCGAGATTTCAGTCGAGGATTATGGGGACAGGGCCAATGAAAGAGGCAAATACCCCAGTCCGGAGCATTGCAGCGATGCTCATTGCCTCTTTGGACGCATTCGGAAGTTCCCAGGACCGAGCGGCAAAACCGCGGGGAATCTCCGGATCGAGTTTCCCCGATGTATATGCAGACTCCCTTCGACTCCGTATTCCTGCAGAGCTCTGTTAGTTCGCGGTCCTGTTTCATTATGTCAAGGAATCCATCGGAAATCAATAAACAAGGAACACGGGACTTCCTGGCTCCATAATGTCGGAAATGGAAAAAGTGATAGAAATTGAACCCGAAGATTGAAAGTCAAATTATTGTATCGAATTTATTATTGAATCTCATCTCAATCTCGATCGACCCTTGGATTGCGTGTTTGATAAAATTTGCTGTATCTCTGTAGTGTCCATCCGCACTATAGAGCTTGCTTCGTCGAATACAACCGGATCGGCACGCCAAGCTCATGAGACATCGTCAGGTTAGACAGCTTGATAGGCTCTGTTCGAGGATGCGGATCGGCATTCTCAAGAGTATCAAAGTGCTGCATCAGACGAACGACGGTGTAGCTGGCCTCGTTAAGCGCATATTGCTCTGCAAATAGTCAGTGTGGATCACATATTCGCTTGAGCAGACAACTCACGGCCTAGACAGATGCGTGGTCCACCATTGAAAGGAAGATACTCCCAGCCGTGTTTCGCATTTTCCTCCCAGCGTTCAGGTCGAAATATACTTGCATCTTCTCCCCATAAATCCGTACGGCGATGCATGGCAAAGACACTATAATAAACTTGCTGCCCCTTCTTGACGAAAATAGGGGATTGGCCATCCTCTCCTCCACCTACCGGTAAGGAGGTATCTTGTGTTGCAACTCGGAAGTTCACGGGAACAGGCGGTTGAAGACGAAGAGCTACTTACCAGTCAGCGAATACTATTAACCGGACCGAGTCACTGACCTTCATTCAAGACATATCTCAGATACCGAATGTTCTTAAGCGACGCGTGGGTGATCTCCGCTTGAGTGTCATCCCCAAACTCTTTCAGTATCTCTCCGCGCAGTCGTGTCCAGACCTTCTGGTGCCTTGCTAAATAGAAGAACGTTGAGCTCAAGAGACTGGCCGTGGTGTCCCGCCCCGCAAGCAAGATATTGAGCATGCTATCTCGCAGCAACTTGGGATCGTCAGTCTCGGCCGCCAACGCCCGAAGGAAGATGTACCGCCCATCCGTGCTGTCTGCCTTGCGTTTTGACTCGAGGGCAATGTGGACATAATGATCAATAACCTCATGAACCTTCCTGTTGGCATCCTTGAATCCTTGGGGGTTAATAAACCAGTATAAGTTCTGTGCAATCACTCGATCCCTGATGCAACCTTGCGCGAGCTCAAAGGAATGTGCGAATCCCTTGGCATTGCCGACAGCCGAGTTTTGTAAAACACCAGAGGTTTGGGAAGGAGGTAGCATGCAGCCCACGGACTCGCCGAACAGGAAATGGGTGGCCGAGTCTAGGGTGAGCATGAAGAAGAGTTGCTGAACGTCGAACACAGATCGATCTTGTGGAACAAGATTCACCAGGTGTGATATGTGATCATTCAGCATGGATAGGTCGGCGACCTGTTCGCGCGAGAATTGAGGTCGCAGTAGGCCGCGGGCATGCGTCCAGCCTGCACCATCGAGTGTAAAAACGCCGTCCCCCAACAATGGATAGAATTGAGCATGGCGAACTCCAAGACAAAAGTCGTTGAATTGAGTGGCGAGAATCGCTTTGACATTATCTGGCTCGATGGTTGTGATGTAATCCTTGCCCAGCAAGGCTTGCTTGTGTGTGGTCCCGTAGCGCGCATACTCGTCTGCGATGAGTTCGATCCAGCGCTTTTCGCGGAAGGCTTTAGTCAATCTGTAGAAGGGCGCTATCCCAATGGTGCCCGGTGCGCGGTGTGCGGGCTTACAACCCCATGTCTTGGCTTGTTGGCGGCGGGAGATGAGTTGTGAAATCCATTGGAGAATGAACACCCCGACACAGAGACCCGCTAGAAAGATGGCAGGGCTCATGTTTACGGAAGATATAAGAGGTTGGAGTGGAAGACAACAAAGTCACAGTGTCAGGTACGAAGTACTCCATAGATCAATTGCCGATCTGCAGGCACCCATTGTGACATATGGTCACAGATTTCAGCAACTATTTGTGACTAGCCGACGCCCCTTGCATTCTGTGAAACGGGAGAGCAACACCTAGCTGAGTCTATCAAGTGAAATTTAATTGGTTTGAAGACACTGGGATATACTCCGTACTGCACCTCACCTGCCCCAGGGAAGCTTAATATCACAAATACTCCGTGCTTCATACAACACCAAATGATAAATCAAGATTGTCTCCTCCGCACTTCTGTTAGATATCCTATACATTATATTTAACAACATATACGTAGTATTGACTAGCAGGACTGTGTATGGGAGAAAACCAGGGCGTGGACGAAAGAGTACTCCGCAGTATCATTGTTTCCCTGCGCGTGGATATCCCATAGATCAGAAATGCTACATCGTCGCGTATTCGGGTACGGAGTACATAGATTGCAGTTCCCCACAGATACTACTAGGTATTTATCACTACCTACATCATATTCAGGACTATATTTTCAAAATTGACAAAAGATGGTATTGGCGGTTAAAACGTATGTAAATTGAATGTGCGAATTTGGGCAATTAGGCATGGGCCATGCCGCCCGGGGTGTTAGTGTGGGCGATATGTCACATCTGCCTCATCTAAACGCAGAGAGCGCAATGATTCAGCTGGCATCGGCCTCGAAACACTTGAGCCATTCCGTCAAAGCCTTCCGGAAGTATGCCCGAGATGTCTCCCCGGGCTCACCCGGGCGGAAATCAAAGCAATGCTCCGCGTTGGGCATCACATACCCAAACAGTGTGTTCTCGCTGGTCTGCACGCCGCACTGAGGGACTTCAGTCGTGAGCGTCACGTGAGGATCCGAGGATCCTGACGCAAGGGGTGAAAGTGTCCGCCACGGGTCAAACTGTCCTCCACTCCAATACACATTCGAAGGTCGAATCTTCCATCCGCCGGTCTCTGCATTAATCGCGTCAATGGCCGGCTGCTTAGGGAACAGTCCCTGTTCCACCGCGGCGGGGAAAGCGTGATAACAGCTCTCTTGGATATATTCCAGCGTCTGATACCGGGAGAGCAATGAGTGAGGGCCGAAGTTGTTGCTTTGGAAATATCCCCATTCGGTGCAGTACTGCCAGGTCCAGCTAATGCTATCCGGATCCACAGGTCCCTGACCCAAATTGCACATCAGAGGCTTACTGATCTCTGTCCTGTTGCAGTTGGTGTTGTAGTTCATGTTTGTGTACTGGACAAAAACCGGCCATGAGGCGTACCGATCTGCCGCGTACTTGTTGCCTCGAAGCTCCGCCAACCCGCCCGCGGGCGCCGGGGCCCCGGTGTCCAGGTCGGTCTCCATGTGCTCGCAGAACGCCCCGAGCCCGAGGATGCCCCCGTCGAGGCCATAACTTTGGAATATGCCATAAATGCCGGACAGCGCGGCAGTAAAGTCTCCATTACTGTTGACTTCTGCACCTTTTCCAAAGAATTGCTGTTTAATAGTGGCCGCAGTGATGGGGTTGGACAACTGTTCGTCGATGTACTCAAGGGCCGCTTTGATGTCACGGGTGCAGTTCAAGTATCCATTGGCGACCATGCCGTCATACACCTGGTCGAAATACACGCTCATATCAAGACGCGCCTCGACGGGCGCAGAGGACGCAAATGCCGCAAAGATGGTTTCCGGGTACTCATTGCGCGTAAAGGCAGATCGCATTCCGGCGTACGAGCCGCCGACCATCACCCAGGGCGTGGCATCTGGGGTCAAGGCCACATCCAAGTTCTTGCGGGTGAAGTTGGCTGCAAATACGGGGATATCAGCCAGGGCTTGCTTGTTGGTCAAGTATTGGAAATGTTCCGGCAGAGTCTCGTTGCTAACGTTGTATGGTAGCGAATCACCATAGTAGCTGTTGATGTCAGTCAAACTGCAAGGAGAACACGCCTACAGACCACTCACCGATGCTCCCAAACAATTCCGATGCCGTTGAATTCCTGAAGCATCTGTCCGAGGAAAGATGATGAGTTGCCCAACATTTTGGGACCAACTTCTGCGGCACTCGCCTCGCCAACATCATAAACGAAGACCGGTCCACCTGGCTTGTAAAACTCCTCGCTGGCCCAGTATCGGTTCAGATACTCGCCAAGCGCAGGGTTCTCGTGGTCAATTGGGAGCTACAAGTGTCAGCACAATGTTGCCAAATATGAGAAACCACCCTCAAGTCAAGCCCCAAGAGCCAACACGGGAACCTGTCACCTACTGAAACGTATTCTGCCTTAATGCTGGAGTTTGACTCAATGTCGGCAATGGCATGCATCGACGTCTTGGACCGTATCAGCTCATCAGGATGAATTCCCAATTGTGCCGACAACTTCAAGTCCCGCTTGAAGGAAGTATGGTGCAGCGCTGCGGCTGTACCAGACAGCGCGCAGAGAAACAGCGTTGGAGAAAAACGCATGGCGACAATCTACGAAACGATGCGGATGGAAAAATCAATGATCGACATGGGACCAGGACGTATATATGCAGTTTGTGATGAATGGGTCCCGATTTGGATAGTAAATGGTAAATGGTAAATGGTAAATGGTAAATGGTAAATGGTAAATGGGGTAATGGGGCACTGGAACATTTAGACATTGGATCATCGTCCCGAGAACAACAATCAGATCTCTCTTTCTGGTTGCATTCAGTCGTACATATTGTGTAGATCGGGGTCCGCCCCGGGTCCGAGACATCGAGTGCAGCTGCTGAGTTGAATGCAACCTTTCTCGGGCTAATTAAACATTGAGTCTAGTTTGGATAGTACACGTAGCCTACCCCTCTCAGGTGCTCCGACGTGCATTGCCCATTACCGTCAAGTGTGCTCAACAACCTCAGAAGACAGACTATATCCCCATCAGGCAGGACCATCAAAATCAGATGCATGGCTCGATTAGGCATTTTGGACCCTTGGTACACTGAAAGCAGACCCATGGACGGCGATCACCCGAAACCAACGGTTCTCGCCATGTGGGCTGGACTTTGTTTGGGATTCAGCGACTCTGATTGGCTGCTGCGGTCGGAACCAGAACAATACTCAGGGCCTTAATATTGTACTTCGTGACCTTGGCGGCAGTGAGCTTTACTCCATGCTGTCTTTTGCTGTCTTGAATTGTCTCTCGTCACCTCAGGTGTTGCCTAGCTGGGTCTTCAATTTCAGGTCTGGCTTCGGTGGCTTGCGGTCGGAATGTCGGCTCTGAGAACGGGGGAATGTTTGGTGTCGATCAGGAATGTTGATCGGTGCCAAGTCAAAGCATGCGGCTGCACTGCGCACACATTGAAATGAGAACCCGGGTGTGGCCCCGTCATACAGCCCCGATCCTCGTGGTTTTGTTCGATGTTCTCACGCCCTTCCACTGCCGAAGTCCGTTCACGGATACAGCCCCTGCCACAGCGCCTCGCACCGCCCTGAGCTGCCTATCCAAGTCCATATTCCTACAATCCATCTGTAAATGAGGCGAAGTCATGCGCTCGATTGCATAATTTGTGATATTCAGCGCTAGAAAAGACAGATGTACATGAAATGAGCCCATCCTCTATGTGGGCTCCGACCGGCTCTCTATATATCTCATTCCAAGGATCAACTCACTGACATATACATATCGCGGCCCGCAGTACTCCTATGAGCCCGGATGCCGTACCAGGTGGTTACACTGCATTGCCGTGGGCCTCAAAGGGAAAGTCAAGCGAAAGTTTTCGCCTCAGCACTTTTACAAGCCCGAGCCACACGATACACAGACGCAATAAAACTTGAAATCGGTCAGCGCAAAGGCCAAATCCGTTTTCCAGCCAACCATGCTGTATGTAGGATGTAGAGATCATGTACCTATCATCGGTTCGAGTCATATGCAAGGTCTCTCCGGCACAGGCCCCAGCCGTACAAGTAACTACCAACCTATTTGAACCCCAAAGCCCGACATGTCGAGCCTTGAAGCTCAAACTTCTTCACCGTCTTACTTGGAAAGGTGTCAGATCAAGAAAAACCACTTAGAGCATAATGACCGATACACATCGCCTACAAGACAAGGTCGCGATCGTGACAGGGTCCTCGTCCGGTCTCGGTCGCGCGATCGCGATCCGATATGCGCAGGAAGGTGCCAAATTGATATGCGCGGATCTAACACCCACGGCAAGGACACAGGAAGAAAGCTCGGTTACCACGCAGGAGTTGATAGTGCAGGCTGGTGGTGAGGTGTTATTTGTACAGACGGATGTGTCCGACGCAACAGCGATGGGGAGCGTCGTGGCCGCTGCTGTGAAGCAATACGGTCGACTGGATATGCAGGCCGTTATATTTACCCTTCAAGGCCCTTATCAATCATCTGACGTGTTTTTTTTCTTCTTTTAATACAGTCTTGTCAACAACGCGGGAGTCGCCATCGAAGCGCGTGCCCCGGCTGTGTTGCATCTGACCGATGAGGCGACCTGGGACACGACCATGCAGGTCAACGCCAAGTCGATCTTTCTGGGGTGCAAGTATGCCCTTACGCAGATGCTAGCCCAGGAGCCGCATTCGTCCGGTGACCGAGGATGGATTATCAATAATTCCTCCATCATGGGAATGGTTGGAGGGAAAGAGAGCCGTTTGTCAATGTTTCGAATTGTGTGGTATGTTCACTAACCATTTGGTAGCCTCCTATTGTGCATCCAAGGGCGCAGTCAGTAGTCTTACGAGACAAGTGGCATTGGACTACGCACCCCACAACATTCACGTCAATGCCTTGTGTCCCGGCTGTGAGTATCTTGTGTCTCCTGACGCCGTGGTTTGGCTAACGAGACCATAGTCATTCAGACTGCAATATTAGCGGAGGCTCAAACTGGCCTAGTTTGTCAGGAGGCGCTCAAGCGACGACACCCTCTGAAGGGACCTGGCTTACCGGAGGATGTTGCTCGCATGGCTGTGGTGCTAGCCAGTGATGATGCCAATTGGGTCACTGGCGTATGCCTTCCGGTTGATGGTGGATATACCGCTCGTTAGACAAATCTTGGCATATTGAGTTGTTCGCCGGCTAGGAATTCAATTCAAGTGATAAAGCTGAACAGATACGATGTGCAGGACTCGATATGCAGGACGTAGGTTAGTGGGGTTGAAGCTCACAGGACTCCGGCGGGGGTTTCATTGAGGTTCGGAGTCCGATGCAGCGTGAAGACCCCACATACAGTTGACACTAATTTCAATCGCCCGAAAATTCAATTGCGTCGCACGATGTGGTACCTGCAGAACGCGCTATAGTCGGAGTCCGATTCCCTGGCCACAAAAGATCTTCCGCTGCATCCACGATTTCAATCGGAATGATCAAGGTATGATATTGATCCTTTGTTCCATCTTTAGTACAATCAGCCCTGGGGATATGAACAATTTGATTGCTAAGAGAGTGTTGAAAGAAACAATTTTCTTTCATCGCACACAATGAAGCACATAACTTTGGTCATAATGATATAAAGAGGTTGTTCCCGGACGCCCAGAAAAAAAAAAAAAAAAAGAAAAGGAGATGATATATATCCATTCCATTTGACATCCCACAACTACAAGGTGAAGAATCAGACAAAATGGTTTACCAGCCCAAATACCAGGCTAGCATCTTCATCAGCCCTTGCGGACGATGGATACCCGATCCTCACCATTGCCGCAAACAACACTGCTGGATCACAGCGACTCTTCCAGACGAAATGTCTCGAGACTCCCACACTGTCGAGCAAATCATGTGTCATGTATACCAGAGGATCAATAACGGTCGGGTAAGTATAGACAGTGAGCCACAGCATAGTCGGGGTCTTCGATGTATCTCCTTGCCCATCAGGTGGGATAAACCATACCGACAAAGCGACAGTGCGATTTTGGAGCAAGCTGTATCTCTAGTCGCCTGGTGGATTGATCAGATACGAGCAGGCCGACTTTCAATAGATCGGCATATGATTTTTGAGGCCCAAGGGCCATGTAGAGCCAGCGAAGAAAGCCTGTTAGAGGTACCCCAGTCTTGGGGAAAGCCAGCATATACTGGGTGGCTCTGAATGTTCATTTGGTGTTGGGTTGCAGGAAGCCATTGTATGGGAGTCGAAGCGTTGATAAAATGTTATGCCGTCAACGATGGCACGCTGGGACACCTACAACCTGTCTGCCTCGTCACACTGCTATCTCACAGTCCTAATTCACTAGTTATTATCTTAGCTTTTGCGACACATCAAATTGAGACTTCAAAATAAGATCAAGGGCTGCATTTCGTTATTTATCGTATTGATCCTTTGGTCCACTCAAGCACCCTCTTAGAGCCATTCTTGCAATGTCACCGTTTTGTTCAAAGGAGCTCTGTTTCCACTTTTTGACTAGCTGGTACCGGAGTGCATCCAATCTGATCGATCGCCGATTTCAATCTGTTGCTCTTCCAACGTCTGTGGATATTCATGGTGTGTCTGCAATCGGGACTGAATTTCATCATGGAATGCCACTTCGAGTTTGAAGATTTGACACCTTAGCGACGTGGAGCAGACTTCCTTCCCCGGGACTGTTTTCCCCTTGGCTTATCGCTTGTGGCTTCCCACCCTTCAGGAAAGGCTGCTGGGTGATCGGGGCATCTTTCGCAAATTCGGTAGTAAATGCCGTTGCACTCCACAGGGGCAGTACATCTCGTCCATCAAAATCACACGATTCTGCCGCGCAGTCCTCAACGTCATGGATGCCCATTGAATGTTGGCATTCATTGTTGGGACAGAATCCCTCTAGCCCAGAGCTGTGGCTCATCTTGCTTTAGTAGACGTCAGATATGTTGTTCTATCACTTGTCGAAGATGGAGTGGTTTCAGACTCTCAAGGGCTACCTGTAACTCCGTACAGAAGAGTTAGCATCCCTTTTTCTCTCCCTCGGCAAAAGTGATGATTGCATAGCTGGGAACTCACCTTGTTCGAAGTTTTAAGCACTTATGCTTGAAAAGAGCAGTTCTTGTCTTGCTGACTGGCCTTGATCAGTTTCTGTCAAGGCAACGGAGTATGACTGGGGCTTTCTTACTGTTGAGAAAGCAGTATGACGAGGGGAGCTGATAGGTAATCTTTGAAAGGAATGAACAGCGATAGCATAAAGAAGATGAGATAGGAGTCCTTCTTCCTACCTATCGCCTTTGGATTTATCAGCTGGCCTGTCGTCGGCTCACAAATAGGTAAAGGGCCGTAGTGGAAGACTCACGTTGCTTTGACAATACAGCAACCTTGAGTGGGTGAAGTTATCAACGATGCAGTTGAGTAGAAAGTAGAGGCATAAGTGGGAATTTACTTTCTAAAGAGTAAGTGAGAAGATATAGAAAGAGGTACGATAAAGTAGGTAAGAGGAAAGAGCAATCGAGAAGGTTGGCATGACAGTATGCAATCCATGTGGCCTTTGCAGTATAGAATCAACATTTAGTAGACAGAATAAGATGCTAACTAAATATAAATACCACAAATGTGAATTAATGCTGGCGCGGTGTAATTATTCAATATCGCTGTGATGACTCGGGAATCCGTTGATCACCCAAGTGCCAATGAAGATTTGATACTCATAATGCGGAACTAACTGTGTTCGTGAATTGCTTGTACATAAAGATGCGCAGCATAATAGTGTAGCACCTCAAATGTCAATCGAGTCAACCCATGATTGAACTCGGGCATGAGACTCGCTATCATATTCCTCCTCATCTTCGTTTTCGATTGGTTCGTCCCTTGCTCGCCTCTTCCATGCTTTTTTGATCCAATCATCTTGGTAAACTGGCTCGGAGGGCACACCACAACCCTTGTTGAATAGCCAGATGAAGCTTTTGAATGAAGCACCTTTGGACGCTTTTTGATAATCGTCGAAATCCTTCTTCTCAAAGGTCATCTGCGTGGCTTTCTGAATTACATCAGAGAGGCCTTCAGGCACCGGCGTCATAAGATCCCTTGAAAATCCATAATCATCCAAGAAAGACCCGTCTTCAAGGTGCCATCTCCAATGGTCATATTGATACTCATGTCGACGACAATCGAGATGTAAAACAATTTGAATATCACAGTTTTCCGAAAGAGACTTCCCACAGGGCGCCCAGCCCCCAAAGGGTCTGTTGTCAAATTTCCAATCCTCGGGATCAGTCGTCGGAAGGTGAAGTAGGCGCCAAAAATCTTGTCTCGCGATGTATTCCGAGTCCTCACACCTGTAAGGGCCCATGCCCGGAAGGTCATGAAAACATTGAGGACTGCCGGTCCAGGCAAAAGCATGCTGGTCTACTGGGAGTTGCCCGGACCCAACACTTGAAATTATTTTCGGGCTCAGGCCGCCGATGGCAGCTCCGATGCACAATGCACCAATACTGGGGCGGCGTAGAGCGCAAAGCAGAGCAAGGACTTCTTGGTCATGGGCTGTTTCTTGGTCATGAGCTGTAGTCGTTGACGAGTTGGTGGTGACTTCATTCAAAGCCGGATGTAGCCATGGACTGACGAGATTGCAAGGGACTTCAGGTTCCCAGAATGGCCCACAGAGAATCGCGAACATCCGTTCTGGGGCGCAGCTCAAGCTAATGTAGTATTCAATGTCGCCGATATATCCTAGCCACGCTTGCGGAATACTCCTCATAGAAAAGTTTGGATCTTCCTTTGGTTTCTTTGTCGTTGGCGATGGGAGGTGAACGCCTCATCCATAGTAGCCGTGGGCGGGAATCATCAGAGCTGCTGCTAGAGAAATTGGGAACTGACTTCCTAGGTCGTGTAACAGCGCAAATTCAGACAGCACTTCAAAGGCTCTTTGTGAGGACAGAGGCGTGGAGACCGAGCCAGACGTTGGGGCGTTGTGTTTGATGGAAAACGCCCTCTCGCATTCTCGAGAGATACACCACGGGGCCACCCAGAAAAGAGATTCGTCTGTCACAATTGCCTTCCAGCCTTTCTTTGGGGCAAGTATCGCGGACCACCACCGAGCAACATCGTCATCCACTTTCCCGACATCGAGGCTTGATGTGGTTGAAGATTCCACGCAAGTCCCATGGTCGTATTGTGCCTGGGATTCCGTATATCCCAGAGACGCACCCTCTCCTCGGAGTTCGATGAGGCGTGCAGAAAGGATATAGCACCAGCCAAGAGTGAGGATCCCTATGCAATTCATACCTGTATCTCTCTCGTTCGTAGCTCCGGCCCACGTGGTGAAGACTTTGCCATCAAGTTTGACCGGGACGGATTTCTCAACAGCGAGGTTCATAAAGGCACTCTTTGACACTTCCGCTTTGTGTCTGTCGCAGTCTCCATGGTTCGATACTTTCCAGATGGATGAGGCTTCCATCACAAGGCTTGGTCCTTGATCGAAAAGTTCCTTTGGCCGTGCCTGAAACCTGGGGACCCTGCGAAGAGAATTCTGAGGGTCTACGAAATTTGGTAGGATCCCATGATCTCGTTGAGCAACGGCCACCGATGCGAGGAGAAACCAATATTTCCGGCTTCTATCCAGCGCTTCGTCAAGCTCCTTCTGGTTTGGTTGCGCGAAATCATCCTCGATTATCTGCCATTTCCTTTTATCAGCCGGCCGCTGTTTATTTGGAATCTCAAACTCCACCTACCGAGAATAATTGCGGGGGTTGCAAAGCCTCATGATAAGTCTCCATTTTGACGAACGTGGTAATGGAACGTGGTGATGTGAAATCAATGATAACTAGAGGAGGGTTGGAGAAGCCTCTCAGTAGCCACAAGGAGAGAAAAGCGGTGTTGATGTGGAGAGACGCGAATATGCGTAAAGACGCACAAGTGGCCAGTCGAGTTGATGCCGCCGCTCGGTATGCGAACAGAGCTTATTGTAGCAGCAAGTTAGGGTGAGGTGAGACACAGAAGAGAGTTGATGACCAAGAGATCAGAGGGAGAGGAAGTGTGAGAGAGATTAGAGAGAGATGCATGAGAAGGTTGTCGGAAGTTGGAACTACATCCATGGATAATATGTGGCCTGAAACATGAGGCATCCAACACAGGTGCTGAACTGTCACTCGAAGTCCATCTCCACGGCCAATCCAACATTCTACTACACTTCCTGCTTCGTTGCTCGCACTATTTCAGGGTTGCAGTACACTCTTAAGTCAAGACTTTCATGAGATACATGGTTTCAGCCCCTGGGCTCGATGCCTTGCTCTCTTTCCAGTCTGTCGACTTTATACAGGTGCTCCGGTGGAAAGAGTACTCTACAATTTTGACAGCAGATCGATTCTACTGTACTGATGGAGCCAGGACAGTACAAGTACAGTGGCATGGCTCGATCCATCTGTCAAGCATTGCCAAATGAAGGTGAAACACCAAGCCACGGCCCCACCGGCTATAGATTTGGTCTTCAAAATGGATCTCTATAATCGTCATGAATGCAGATCATCGTCGATCCCGACGATCAATTCATCCCAAGGTCCGCCCCAAATTCTTTTCGCAATCCACAATGCAGGGGCAAAGTCTGATTCGCGTGTGAATTGCCTAAATACGAATCAAGATGATTGTTTTCACTCGACACTATCTCCGCCTGCAGCCCGGACCGCTACGTGAGAGTCTAGCATCATGTCTACCTCCGATGAGTCCGACGCGAAGGTGATTCTGGTCGATTTCGACGGTGATCACCCTCAGGACTGGCCGGCCCCGCGGAAATGGATTGCCATGGCTACTGTTTCGATCCCGCTGTTTCTGATGCCGCTGTCGTCCACGATCACGACGCCGGCAGTTACTGGCATCGCCGATGAGTTCCATATCACTTCGCCCGTGACTGGACCATTGGCATTGTCGTTATTCCTGCTCATGTACTCCATGGGTCCCATTTTGCTAGGGCCTTTCAGTGAACTACATGGTCGCTGGCCAGTGCTGCAAGCTGGAAGTCTGTTCTATCTAGCCTTCAACATTGGTGCTGGTTTCTGCACGAGTATGACACAACTGTTGATCTTTCGCCTTTTGAGTGGAGTCGGAGCAAGTGCTTCACTGGCAGTGAGTTAAATTTCCATCTGTCGTTCTCCAACGTATCTAATGTCACCAGGTTGGGGCAAGTATGGTCGGGGATGTTTTCCGCAAAGAGGAGCGTGGACTGCCCGTTGCCCTGGTTAGTCTCGGCCCCGTTCTGGGATCCTGCCTGGGTCCCTTGGTCGGGGGCTACATTGCCGACTATACCACTTGGCGCTGGGCATTCTGGTCCACCTCCATTGTGGCTGGCTTGTTTCTGGTGGTCTGCCTGATCGCTGCGCGCGAGACATACGCCCCTATCTTACTGCTTCGCAAGAAGAAGTTGCTCATTGAAGAAGCAATCAGCCAAGGAAGATACCGCGGCCACGTCTGGAAAACACCGTTCGAAAAAGACGAGACCGTTGGCCAGCTCTACCGTCGAACGATCTCCCGGTCTCTGTACTTCCTTGGGACACAGCCAATCATCCAAGCCCTGGCTTGCTATTATGGCTATCTCTATGGAATAGTCTACCTGCTCCTTTCCAGCTTTTCAGACCTCTGGACTGAACGTTATCACATGAGAATCAGCACAGGCAGTCTGAACTACATCGCACCTTGCATCGGCTATGCGATCGGTGCTCAAATCTGCGCTTTCCTGACTGACCGCGTGTACCGGTACCAAGTGTCCCGGAACAACGGGGTAGGGAAGCCTGAGTTCCGACTTCCCATCATGGTGCCAGCTTCCCTGCTGGTCCCTATCGGTCTCTTTATCTACGGCTGGACGGCGGAGAACAAGACACACTGGATTGTGCCGGACATCGGCATCGCACTGCCACTCATGGGAGCGACAATTATCTTCCAGTGCGTCAGTGCATACCTCCTGGATACTTTCCCTATCTATGCTGCCAGCGCGAACGGTGCTGTTTATATCGTGCGTGGATTGACAGGATTCGGATTCCCCTTGTTCAGCCCAGAAATGTACGCCAAGCTCGGATACGGTTGGGGGAACAGTCTGCTGGCATTTTTGGGTTTGCTGATCGGATGCCCCATTCCTTTTATTCTCTGGAAATATGGAGAGAGGCTGCGAGCCGTGAGCAACTTCGCAGATCAGACAAAATAGGTAGATTGAAAATCAGAAAGATGAAATTTAATTAAGAAATATCGGACTAGTTACATCTAGCTGAGTACAAGCCTTCCAGCTCTGGCTGGTCATTCATTCGCACAATTTCCTGCATCATGTCGTAGCAGATCCTCTCACTCACATAGCTATCCTGCTGATAGTCTTTGTGTGAGCGAACAAAATCCCTCATCCAAGTCGCTGGTGTGGGACTCTCGCCACTCGCACGTTGACTGATCAGGTCAAGATAGGGCAAAATCCTGGCCTGCTCTGTCGGGGGCATCTTGCTGTAATCCAGGTAGTATCGCACAATGGGTACTAACCCCGGGAACCCGTGGTCGTCTGCCTCCCCGTTGAAGATCTCATTGGCGGTCATGAGAGCAACGTCTCCGGTCGACCCGTCTTTTCCATTCAAATGGTTGTCTTTGCACATCGATCGACGAGGCCTGATGGAGTGTGGTGGACCCGACAACCACCCATGTCGACGGAACCACATCTTCGACTGACGGACGGCATCACGGTTCTTGGCGATGTCCATCGACTCGCCCACCCTGTCGATTGGGATGTAAAAATTCAGCTTGAGGTCCACAATGGCTCTGGATAGAAGGTATGTGAAGATCGCAAACGCAGCATTCGCCTTGTCGGTGAGCTGGGATTCCATGGTGCGAAGCTCAACGCACCAACCCGGTCCGTTGTCAGATGTTGGCGGTTTCAACCGAACTGCGTACCATGTGAGGCCGTGAAGAAGTTCGAAAAGTCTTGTGTTGGAAGTGTTATCTTTGCCCATATCTGCTTGTGTGAGGATGAGAGGGTCTCGGGAGAGAATAGACGCGAAATGTGTGGCAAGGCATTCGTCCATATCTCCGTCTAGAAGACGTTGCTTGATAGCCGGATCTATCATCTGGGATGGGCAGCTGTCAACACCCGGCGGCTTCTCCGAAGAAAGATAGGTTCTGTTCCAGGTCCAGCGGGGGTGCTGTGCGAAATAGAGTGAGAAAAATAGTCAACAATCTGATGGGGTTCACTTACAGTTATCTCGATCTCCTCTGGACGACGGTCGTCTAGTAAGTCACCAAACCGCTCCCATCTGACATCGGTGTCGGACAAATACCCCTTCCAAATTGGAACTGCAGCAGTCATAGCTAAGAAGACAGGCGCCAGGGGTACCAGTTGGTCGTGCAGCCACCGTGCATCTGCTTGACTTGGTGCTTGCATGGTTGCTTGGAGACTACAGGAGCCGATACCAACCTCCAACTCATCTAGACAGAGATGACCCTCGATGTTCTCGCCAGATCGGGAGACATCATGGAACGGGGTGGGTGTTTGGGAATCCCGAAACACGGGAATATTGGTCTTCTTGTGAGTTTTCCTCCTCTGGAAGACATTTTCGGGCAGAGTTTGATACCGCGGAAGAGAGCACAGTGAATATTCTTTCTTCTCTTGGCCGTTGGGGGTCGTCCATGGACCATCGGCTCCCGTGCGAGGGAAGAAAGACAACGAAATCGTGTGTTGATTCGAAGACAGATGGTTTTCGATAATCTGGCGTCTGGTTCAGTTCAGGTCAGTGGTCTTTTGACAATGTCTAGGACACTCACCGTCGCTTCATGTTTTCTTCGACTGTCATGAGGTCCTCGATCTTTCCCGTGTATGGCTTTGCTGGGGTGGCTTCCACGACATATTTGACGCATTCCCATTGCAGAGTGATGCTGTTATTTCATTAGTGATTGGGCTTTCTGTCAGGACGGGCATGTACTGACGGATCACTTTGGCTGGCTGCACTCTTCTCCCATTGGCGAATCACCTTCTCCTGGTCCAGCAGCAACGTTGCCCGCTGGGTATCAGGGTTTACATCCACCAGGCAGAACTCGATCTGTGAAGTCCCAGTTAACGCTGTTCGATCTAGGTAGTGGACTACCTACCTCATCGCCCCACGATGCGACACTGTCAGTCCGATCCCGTTGTTGACCCCAAATACAAAGGAGTTGCTGAACATTTTAGCCTAGATCACGGATTGAATCACTGAGGGGAGCTTACCTCGGTGGCCCATTTCTGAATATTTGGCGCGGCCTTTTCGGTCTGTGTCCAGCCAATGGATGATCCTTCGACCCTAAAAAGATGTCAGTTCGGCCCTTCATGAGGCGTCGACACACTTACGAGAGCCCCATTGTAAATTCTAGTACAGTATACCGGTGCAGGATGGAAATACTGAGCTTCCAAACTGAAGATATCGGACCATTTAAGATCCACTTGCGATCTGAACCGCACACCACGTCATGTTAATTCGGACGATCTGCGACGATCATCCACGATGGTTCGCGGAATGCAACTAGCGTGGCTCTGTCGCCTCCACTAGGGCCATACGGCCTTTTCCGTTGCCTTCTAACTTTCTAGGTCCAAAACCTGATGCAAGGGGGAGTATGACGCGTAGTAGAAAGGGGGCAAACCACTTATATATCCTTGACTGAGCCGGGCTTCGTGACTGGACGCCTCAAACATCCCCGGGAAGCCATGAAGCTGTACAGCACAGGGTTGCCCTTGTCCGCGTACCCCTGAATGTTGGTCTCTCGGCAGCCAAGCCACTGGCGATCTTGTTTCACTACGGAGTACGGAGTATTTCGCACAGAATGTAGCCAAGCCCACGACGTAATCAGCGACGACGAGCTTACACGGCAGGCATTTGAACGCTCAGCTGGTCTGTGTACCAGCCTTTGATGCGCAATCGACGGCATTCATCAATCATTCCAGGGTTGTTTCAATCGCGCCAAAAGACTGCAACTGAGTGGAGGATATGTTGGCTCCGCTGATTTTCTGAAGATCTCGAAAGTCCACAATTCTACAGCTCGATCCCGCAGATCTTCGGACGAGGTCCGTGGGGAGCTTGGAAGACTCGGAAATATTTAAACTCATTATAAAACAACAGCACAGTGTTGTAGGCCTGTCTGAAACAGCGCAGCGACCATACAATCGAAGTTCATCTCCAGGGCTGCCTGTGTGGATAGTAAATTTCCGCCACTTTCAGGCCATGCCGCCTCTTGCCTCGAGTTACAGCTCATGACTAGAAGCCTTGGAATGGACATCATGTAATCTGTGTTTTCAGTCCATTTTTTAGATCAATTCGTGAAGCTTGAGGTATTGCATGAGAAATTTCATTCCAGGGGCTTGATCACCTGACCATCTGACCGCTTGCCTTTCTTTGTTTCCGCACTTTTCTGCTGGTTTAAAAATCGAGTTCATTTTTACGAAAAGCGTACAATTCTCGGGCTTGTTTACAGACTCGATCATGTTATCATATTCAAAAGATGAAGATTACAAGATAATTTTAGGTCCAGGATTGCTTCAAGCTAAAGACACTGCGCGGGTTAACGACAAAAATAGAACAAAATATCCCTTAATCCATAATCTACTAGGTACCTAGGTAGGTACTATGTCAAACCTTCCAAGTTGAAGATATGCTGGCTATGCTTCCAAGGTTGTGGAATATATATTGGGAAAACTACCAGGTAAACCTTGAACTTTGGAATGACAAAATCTGTGTAACTTCATGATAAATCTAGTATTTCTCTTTGATGTAAGTTCACTGAAATTGAACTCTGGTCAACCGAGGCCTTCCTCGATCATCAAAGAACACAGTTGAATGCCAGTGAGATTAAAGATAGGTTGCTATTGTAAAAGACCCGGAGAATATATCCGAATTTGGGGGTTCAACTTGCATTTTTCCGGAAAATGCCCAGGTGTCACATGATCGAGACGGGTCCATCCATCCATGCCCAGGTGGATGAGATCCATTTCCCCTCTCGATCGACCCGACAAGTCGAATGGAAGTTTTCCTTCCAAGCTTCAGGCATTCGGCTAACACGCAGACAGCATGGGAAAGTACCTCGCGTTTTTCAGGATTTTGTGCTTCTATTTCCCATTGACAAGATGGTCGCGAGTAAAGCCATGGGATGAGATCCCACAAGACTTGTAATATCTATTCAAGAGCCTGAAATGTGACTGAGCTCATTTCGTCAATTTTATAGTCTATGGAGATTTCATTGGAATATAACCAGTTTAATATCTCTTTCCTGAAGATCCCCTGCCATGCCAACAGTGCTACTCGTCATTATTCACAGCGAACTTCGACTTTTGTCGAAGAGACGCTGCATGCTTCATGAACAAAAATGGAACCGGAAGTGCAAGGCACGAGATTCCACCCAGAAGGCTTATCGCTGGACCAACTCCCATGGTATGCGCCATAGGTGCTGCCGCAACTGGCAAAGCACAGGCGAGCACAGATCGGAGGATGGTGTTTGCAGAGACAGCGCTTGCAGCGTAGGGTCCGTATGTGTCGACGAGGAAGTTCAAGCATTGCTGGAAGACTAAAGTGAAACCAGCCCCAATGAAGCCTGCATGTCGTATCGAGCTCATAGTCAGAATGCATTGTTCACCAGGATAAAAGGCAAGGTGGAAAGGAAACCAAAGAGAGAGCGAGAGAGAGAAGGGCAAATCGTACCTGCTGCAACCACGGGCAGAGGCCACGGGCATTTAGGAGCTGCCGTCCAGGCAAACCAGAAAAGTCCAGTTGTGAGAAGGACGCCGCCACAGACAAGCGGCGGTAAGCGAGCCTCGGGAGCAGCCTTCCCATGATTCCTCTGGGCTGCACGTTTGTAATAGGGCTGGAACAGAAAATTCATCGGAGCGGCGAGAATGACACCTATGAGGATCCCGAGAAACGTCAAGGAGGATGAGATAAGAGACCATTGACGTTGCTCTCGAAAGACTATTGGGAAGATTTCGAGGGTCAAGTAGATCAAGCTGTAAGTGAAGGACGCATACAGCGCCATACAAGCCACAAGGGGCTCAGTCAAAAGCATTCTGTTATCGTCCGTTAACAGTTTGCCAAATACAGGACAGAGTGCTGAGTGCGGTATGATAGCAACCCGTTAGACTTACCTCAAGGGGCGACCCAAATACTTCGTCAGCAGGTTGCCCGCATCGATTTTTTCAATCTCATGCGGATGCCAGTATCGCTGATCATCGGTGCTCCTGCGGAGTTTCTGCGCCTTGCGCTTGAGAAGAACGGGCGCAAAGGTCTCAGGAAGGCAGAAGAAACATAGCAGGCACAGAAAAAACACAATGATAGCCTCAATGTAGGCAGTCCCTATGGCTGTTAGCAAGAGTTCATACCATATATTATGTTTTAGAGAAAGCAGCGTGAGATGTAGGGAACCTACAGCGCCAGCCCATGCCTGGGCGCATGACTACCGCTGCACCAATGATTGGGCCCAGAGTTGGACCCCCTGAGATGCAGATGGAGACAAATGCCATGGCGATTCCTCGAGCCTCCGGGGACCAGATGTCGCTCAGTGCAGCGGGAACGTTACTGATCGGTGCCGACGCGAATATTCCACCAACAAACCGCGTCAATAGAATACTAGCAGCATTTCTGCTCACTGCAGTACCGATTGTGAAGCAGCCCATTACCAAAAATGGGGGAAGCATCCCGATTCGACGACCGTAAACCTCGCTGATGGGTGCCCAAAGCAAAGGGCCGAACGCCCAGCCTAGTCAAGAACTTCATCAGCCACGTTTGTCGAAGTGTCAGAGTTCAGACCCCTAATTTAATGGGGGCAAATGATTCGGGGGTGGGAGGGGGGGGGGGGGGGGGGGGGGGGGGAGGGAAAGGCGAGGGACGGGAGAAGCAGGAGGACCAAAGGGGACCGGGGGGGGGAGTGAAGCACATGCAAGAGGCAGGACTCATGAGGGTGGTAGCGATG